GTCATTGAGCTTTCATCTCACATTAATCCTGATTTGCTTGGATTTGTCTCGCCCCATTTGGCACAATGGATCAGATTTCATTGCATTTAGGTGTGTCTGTAGATCAGGAATTGGGAACCTCCATTGCAGGTTTAGACCTATCTGTTTGGTCAGACTCTTTGACTTCATAGCATTACTTTCTGCTGTTGGAAGTACTGGGTTTGGGTCCAGTATATATATGTATATGTATGTGGGTGTGTATTCTTCAGTTTGCTTTAGGTTTATTGTTTGTTTTTCTAACTGCTTCCTAACCTGCCCTGAGATACGATGACGAAGGGTGGGATTAAAATACAAAAAATTAAGAAATAACAATGCAAAATAAAACCATGGTCCTCCAAGTGGCACTGAGTTCCATTCCCCATCAGGCCTGGCCAGTATTGCTAGTGATCAAGGATGATGGGACCTGTGGTCCAACAACATCTCATCCCAACACCTGTAAGGCCCTAGAGCAGGCATCCCCAACCTCCAAATGTTTTGGACTACAATTCCCACCATCCCTGACCACTGGTCCTGTTAGCTAGGGATCATGGGAGTTGTAGGCCAAAACATATGGAGGGCCAAAGTCGGGGATGCCTGCCCTAGAGTCACCATTGCCTAGACAGGTGGAGCCTATGCTGTGTGTCAGTCAATTGCAGTCAGGGGGTTGGGCCAGAAGATGCAACCCTGGGCTTCCCAACCTAATCCTCCACATATATAATACATGTGCTTGTATCCAGGAGCAGAGTTGACCCAAGACCAGTAAAGGATGATGCACCAGGGTGAATGGGGCACTCCCCAACCAACCTTAGCCTGCTCTTAGCTTGTCTCCACTTGCCTGCCTTCTTTCTTACAGACGACCCAGGGGGTGGCCCTGACTGTCAGTTTCCTCCTTCTTAGTCTCAGTGCTGCCCTTGTACAAAGCAGCAAGGAAGAGGAGTGTGGTGCAGTGGTTAGAGTGTTGGACTAGGACCTGGGAGAACAGGATTCAAATCTCCACTCAGGCATGTAGGTCACTAGGTGACCTTGGGCCAGGCACTGCCTCTCAGCCTAACCTGTCTCCCAAGATTGTTGTGAGGATATAATTGGAAAGGGGGGCAAAACTAAATGGGCCGCCTTGAGCTCTTTGGAGGAAAGGTGTAAAAGGAATGCAATAGTAAATAAAATATAAAAAACAACAACCCTAGAATGAGTTGGCTGTGCCTGTCCTTGGCTCTGGCTCCACCTACTGTTGGGCTCCCTGTCCTCTCTCTGACGTCTTCATTAGCCGCCTAAATGTTTTGACTCTGGGTGCCTGTCTAATTTCAGCTGGCAATTGATTCTAGAAGGCTGGAGCTGCCACACTAAAAGCCTGGTTGCTAGCACAAGCAAGGTGCACCTCTGGGGTATATGATACTCTCAGCGGTGAAGCCCAATAGATGCCCCACATATAGTGTCCTGTGGTAATCCATTTCTGGGGTTAGCAATGCCAAGAACACAGCATCCAAACCATCTCAGTCCAGGAATGGTCCTAGCAGTCTTAACCAGCCAAAGCTGGCAGAAGGCATTCCTAACCATCAAGGCCTCCTGTGCCTCGAGTGACAAAGGTTTTCATTAATACAGTGGTACATTAATACAGGGGTTAAGTACTTAATTCATTCCGGAGGTCCGTTCTTAACCTGAAACTGTTCTTAACCTGAAGCACCACTTTAGCTAATGGGGCCTCCTGCTGCCGTCGTGCTGCCGGAGCACAATTTCTGTTCTCATCCTGAAGCAAAATTCTTAACCTGAGGTACTATTTCTGGATTAGCAGAGTCTGTAACCTGAAGCGTAAGTAACCTGAAGTACCACTGTATGTGCATTTTTATATTGCTTGACTGGAGAATGGCACTGCATAATTTGGAGTGAACTTTGGATGGCTGTGTTCTGGTTTACATGTTGCTTTTGGACATTGCAGAATTAGGTAGGTTTGCCTTTAAATGTGAACTGAATTAAATGTCTCCCTTATCCCTCCTAACAATAGCAACTGAAGAAATAAAAATGCCATGAAACACAGCAAAAAGTGTTGGTTGATTATGGAGATCAGAACCATATAATTTTTTAACAAATGGGAGGACATAATTACCCTAAACGGTAAAAAATAATGGAGTAAAATAACCCACAGAGAGAGAGCATACTTCTTGTACACATCCATTTCAAAGTGTGTGTGGAGGTATTCAGGGAAACACAGAGAGAGAGAGAGAGAGAGAGAGGGAGAGAGAGGAGGAGGAGGAGGAGAGAGGGCAAGGTTGGGCCCAGGTTACCTGAAAGATCAAACTCCCTATATGAAACTGCCTGAGTGCTAAGATCCTTGGATGAGCAGCTCATCTTGGTCGCATCAACATAGGAACCAACTCCTAGGGACTGTGAGGGCTTTGGCCCCCACAGTAGATTATTTGAGAGGGTCAGACCCCCACAAAGTTGATGGTCATTCCCATTCAAATGGTGTGTGTGCACTGCGTCATGCGATCGATTATGCAGGGCGGGGCTTACCTGGGCCCCCCCAATATTTTCTTCAAGTTGGCACCCCGCCCATCAACGTCAGAAGCTTAGTTGGTGGCAGCATGAGAAAGAGGCTATTCCGAGCTGTCCCTCCATATTGTGAGACTTCCTCCCAAGAGGATGGCTCCCTCTTTGTTATTCTTCTGACGGCAGGCTCAGACCTTCCTCTTCAAGACACACTTTTGACAGTAAAGGTGCAGGCGATGCTGACAACCAGGCTGCCATTATAATTATTGCTTTTAACTAGTCTGTTTTTATAACATTAGATTTTTGTAAGGTTGGGAGATGTTGAGAGCCATCTTGGATCCCAGCTTGGGAGAGAGGTGGGATATACATACATTAAATAAATAACAACGAGACTGGGGTGGGAGGAACTGTCCCCCTCCAGGTGTTTCTGGACTACAAATCCCTTCACCCTTGGCCACCAGTCATGCTGGCTTGGGGCTAATGGGAGCTGGAGACCAGAAACATTGTTTGGAAAACCACAGGTGTTCCCTTCCCCCTACAATAAACTTTAGTCCCTGTAGCTCCCCACAACTCCAGCTCAAGACATTATTTAACCTTGAGCAACACCTCGTGGCCAAGTTCATATTTACAACTAACCCAGAAAGCTTTTTTGAGATTGTTGCTCATTTCTGGAGGAAAAGGGAGATCTCCTGCTTTGAAGGAGACATTGCGTTTTCCCCAGCTGCTGCTGAGAAAATATTTTCGCTCTCATACCGCCCTTTCTCCTGTTGTTGCACCGTGTTATGAATTTTCAATTGTATGCTCCCCAGGGCAGGAAACTGTCCTTATATCCTAAAGCGTGTCATGCACACTAAAAGCATTATACAAAGAAGGAGAAGACACCATTGTAACTGCTTTGTTTCTGCTTTATTGTCTCTTAGCAGCAAACCGCCCCAAGATGCAAACTTAGATGAGCAGTTTGCATCAAAGACCACATGTGACAGACAACAAAACCAGCATGGATTGCATCCCATGATTAGTCTTACTGAGAGTATATCCATTGAACTAAATAGACAGGACAGGAATTATAGTATACACTTTGATAGACTAAATGTGAAGAGATGTAAAAACTGTAAAAAAAAAAAAAAAGAGTGTGAAAGGCTATTAGGAGAATCAGCTTTCTCAAACCATATTAAGAATATTAGATATAAGAATATAGCAGTGTTCAAAACTCCCATTGTTCTAGGCGCATTTTGCTACAGGGGATTTCATTAGCGTGAGCTCTGGGTGCAGTACTGCGCCTAAGATTTCAGATTAAAACTGCAGAGTGGAAGGAAAGGAGGACCTTTTTCTGCCTTCCCACTTCTAGCTAGTCTCTGAAGACTGGAGAAGAGACCATTTTAAAAATGTTAGGGGAGTGGGGAGACATTCCGTTGTTGTGCCCGTAACCTCGGTTTAAGGTGCCATTTAGCTCCTAGCTTTCATATCTCAGTTTCTAACACTGGAATACAGATATTAAGAATCTGTAAAGAATGTTTATGCAGGTCAAACCCCGCCTTGAGTGATAGAGAGCAGGCACCCTGTTCTTGCTGAATCTGGCACCCAGCTCAGATAACACAGGCATGCTTTTCCTCTGAGAAGGTGACCTCATTCTGGCATCTCCAAGTAGGGCTGGGAGAGATTACTGAGAACCAGGAGAGCTGTTATACAGTACATCATACTGTTTTATTAGTCGTTCTGTGATGCTTCTGCACTGTTACCACAGAGAGGAACTACCGTATTTTTCGCTCTATAAGACACACTTTTCCCCCTCCAAAAATTAAGGGGAAATGTGTGTGCGTCTTATGGAGCGAATGCAGGCTCCATGGCTTCAGGGATAGCTGCCTGAAGCCTCTGGAGCGCAGCAGGAGCTCCTGCCGCACTCCGGAGGCTTCGCATTGCTTTCGCTGAAGCCTGGAGAGGCGCTGCACAGCTTTCCCTCTCTGCGCAGTGCCCCTTCAGCAAAGTGGGAGGAGAAATTGAAGGGGCTCCGTTTCTCCTGCCGCTTCGCTGCACAGCGCTGCACAGAGAGGGAGAGAATTTTTTTTACTTGTTCTCCCCCTCCAAAACTAGGTGCGTCCTATGGTTGGGTGCATCCTATAGAGCGAAAAATACGGTATTGTGTTAGAACATGAGCAGACAGATAACAAAAAGCCCTGACCATTTGTGGCACAAAAGGTTCCAGGATTTCAGCAAGAAGTTGCAGCACATGTTGAAACTGGAAAAGAAGCAGAATGTCCTCTGATGTTTTCCCAGGTACACACAGTACCGAAAGCAGGAACATGTGTGACAGCTTTGATATCATCATCGACACATGGTGTCATGAATGCTCAATTAAAAAAAACAACCATTCACCTTGAAGGAAAGCTTGTGCTCTAATCCTGGGCAACCCTACTCAGGAGAAAGCCTCACTGTGTTCAACGGAGTTTAACCCCTTGCAAGTTTGTTTAGGATTCCACCCTCAATATAGAATCCAGTTTCCATGGTTTTGCACCAGTGGGTGGCAGAAATTCCTCTTGGTTGTAATGCCGGTGTGTGCTGTAATTCTATGGAAATGTGAATAAAAGGGAGAGAAAGAAGGAAGAGAAAATGAGAGAGGACTGCAATTTTGCACACATAATCTCAATCCCTGAGAATCTCAGTTTTTGAGCTTTTTTTTTTTTTTTTGAGAAGCGGCTTTGTATGCCATCATGACTGTGAATATCTGCTTGGAATTGTGTGTGGGGGGTGTCATATACCTAATGATATTTTGCAGCATTTGCGTCTTCTTAGTTTAGAGAAGTGATGTATGGAAGTGAGAGCTGGACCACAAAAAAGGCTGATCGCCAAAGAATTGATGCTTTTGAATTATGGTGCTGGAGGAAACTCTTGAGAGTCCCATGGACTGCAAGAAGATCAAACCTATCCATTCTGAAGGAAATCAGCCCTGAGTGCTCACTGGAAGGACAGATCCTGAAACTGAGGCTCCAATACTTTGGCCACCTCATGAGAAGAAGACTCCCTGGAAAAGACCCTGATGTTAGAAAAGATGGAGGGCACAAGGAGAAGGGGACGACAGAGGACGAGATGGTTGGACAGTGTTCTCGAAGCTACCAGCATGAATTTGACCAAACTGCGGGAGGCAGGGGAAGACAGGAGTGCCTGGCGTGCTCTGGTCCATGGGGTCACGAAGAGTCGGCACGACTAAACAACAACAGTTTAGAGAAAAGATGAGCAAGAGGGGACACGACAGAAGTTTATTAAATTACACATGGCATGGAGAAATTGGATAGAGAAAAGATTTGCTCAGTCTCTCATAATTCTGGATAGAACTCATGGACAGGTGGTGAAACTGAATGTCAGAGGATTCAGGAGAGAGAAAAAGACAGTACTTATTCATGCAGTCACCTGTCAGTGGCAGAGCTTCATGCTCCGGCACTGGGGACGGAGAGCAGGCGGGGCGGGGTGCGTCCTTGGGGCAGGGTGTGCTGCCTGCGCGGGCGTGGCACCCAGCGTGGGCGGGGGGGGCGGCTGTGATGGAACCCCACCGGGATCGTGCTTCCGGGGGCAGTGTGCTCCCCTTGCCCTCCTCTTCCTCCGCCAGCAGCTGCAGTTATTATTATAATATATTTATTCATGCAGCACCTTTTCCCCTGACAGGGACCCAAGGCAGCTTACAGATAAAATAAGAACAGATAAACACATTAGTTAAACTATGGGACCCCATAGTTAAACTGTGGAACTCCTTCCTTCAAGAGCCAGTGATAGCCATCAGCTTGTATGGCTTTAGATAAGAAGGTTATATAAAGATACAGTGGTACCTCGCAAGACGAATGCCTCGCAAGACAAAAAACTCGCTAGACGAAAGGGCTTTTTGTTTTTTGAGCTGCTTCGCAAGACGATTTTCGCTATGGGCTTGCTTCACAAGACGGAAACGTCTTGCAAGTTTGTTTCCTTTTTCTTAACACCGTTAATACAGTTGCGACTTGACTTCGAGGAGCAACTCATAGCACGCGGTGTGGTAGCCTTTTTGAGGTTTTAAAGACTTTGGTGATTTTTGAAGCTTTTCCAAAACTTTCCCGACACCGTGCTTCGCAAGACGAAAAAAACCGCAAGACAACAAAACTCGCGGAACGAATTAATTTCGTCTTGCGAGGCACCACTGTAAGGCTATCAATGGCTGCTAGCCATGGTGGCTGTGTGGTGCAGTGGCTAGAGTGTTGGACTAGGTTCTGGGAGACTAGAGTTCAAAGCCCCACCTGGTCATAAAGCTCACTGAGCGACTTTGGGCCAGTCACTCTCACTCTCAGCCTAACCCACCTCACAAGGTTGTTGTGGAGATTAAATGAGGAGGGAGAGAACCACGTAGACTACATTGAGCTTTTTGGAGAAAAGGTAGGGTAAAATGCAAATAACACTGCTGCTGCTACTACTACATCTGAACAACAGTTGCCGGAAATTGTATGTGGGGAGAGTGATTTAGCACGCAGGCCCTGCTTTCATAGGCATCTGGGCAGCCCCTGTGAGAGCAGAAGGCAGGACTAGATGGGCCTTTTAGCTTGATCCAGCTGGTTCTCATTATGCTCTTATCTTGGAAACCAAATATTGTTTTTAGACAGTAATCACTGGTCCTAAATAACTTTAAAAATTGAGTTTAAAGACTTACAAAGAAATCATCTCACTACTGTTACGGAAATTATGGAAGGGAGGGCACATCTTTAAAGTTGTTAACAGTTACAAATATTATGCCTGAATGCATCCTTTCAACTTGACAGCTCAGGGAATATACCTAGCTTTATGAATCATATAAAATCAGCACCTCCATTCCAACACCATTTTGCCCTTGGAAAAAGGACTTTCCCCCCTGCCACCTCCCCAAGCTTGAAGACATGTATAAACACCTCCTACCCCAGGAAATGCCCAGAGGTGACAATTGCTGGGCTCATTGTTCTCCAAGCGAAGCCAAATCTCATCACCAGACTTGTCTTAGGCTCCAGACATGCAAAGGAGGTTCTATTGTACTTTGGGTGGGTGTTTGCCTATGCTAATCTTATAGCTGGGTCTTGCAATGACATGTCTGCTTATGCTAATCTTGTATGAAGGACTTGTATGGACATGTTTGCCAAGGTTAAACTAGTGAAACCCCTGTCTACCCCTCCCCTTTTGTGACATGTCAGTGATGTAGCAATGATGTAGCAATGATGCTGTACGAACTGTATTCTGGGATATGGTGGGAAAGTTTTAAAAGTCCTTGTCACCCCATCCTCGGGGTTCAAAATTCCTCTTTGAACCTGTTGCGCAATAAACTTTGGTCTACAGCTGTTTGCTCCAGTTGGTGGCTGGACTCCTTCCTTTATTCCGCAGGGACCCACGGTCTCTGCCCGATGAGCTGGGTGACTGAGCAGCCTCGCACCTAGATTTTCCCGTAACACTTCTAATGTATTTATTTTACAACAGATGCACTATCTGATTCTGTAACCTTCTTTCACTTGCTACTAGTTTCCCCATGATATTTGTATTTTTGTTAAACTACAGAATTTTCCAATAAAACCCCCTTTTTTAAGGATGTGTGTGCTGGCCACCTCCCACTCACATTGGGTCCCGTGCCATCCAAGGGAAGGGTGTTCGTGGCTAACACAGAGTGCACCCCTTTGCTCGGTCCACTCCGCCCCTTTAAAGTTCTCAGCTGCCTGGTGGAAGAAGACTGGACAGGAAGAATGAATGTTAGAAAAATGTTGGAATGAAACTATATGGCTTTAATAGAAATGTTATAAGGAAATAAGTATAAATAGATAAATAGAGTATTAAAGGAAAAATAAGGTTAGAATGTGTTAAGATAATTATAGGATAGAAAACAGAGGAAGATGGAAAGGAATTGCTGAAACAATTAACAGAAGTGGAATACAAACAGGGAGGTGTGAGGAGGTCGTGGAAATAAGTGAATGAAAGATAGGATATTGAAATTGTTTGATTTATTTTAAACTGCTTTTGTTTTGTTTTGTTGGTTTAATGTATTTAATGTGTCAATGTTATGTAGTGTTTTTGTATTGTATTGTATTGTATTGTACTGTTTTTGTAGTGTTTAAATCGTTAGAAAATCAATAAATATTAATTTAAAAAAAAAAAAGTTCTCAGCTGCCAACAGGCAAGGGGCTGAAATATTCCCACAAGTCTGCCCCTTATCTACCAGCCTCCAAATTCCCCTAAGCCCAGGGCATCTTGAGGTAGTGAGGTATATAGCGTCCAAGTGTGTTGATGTTAAAACAAGAAGCCATTAGAACAGGTTTATGAAACAAGTTCTGAAGTTTATTAAAACAGAAAGAAGGACTTTTAAGACAAAGATATGCAATGCTGAAGTTACAGAAAACCACGATATTCTCTTTGGAGCAAAAAAAACCAAAAGAAAGCAGATTAAAATGCAATCTACCCTCACTGGGCTTCCACAATCCATAACATATCAGACTCTCAGAAGAATCTTACTCCCGAGTAACAACCCTTTATTTCCTTTGTTCCTTGTCACATTGAGTTCCTCCAGGATGGCTTCCTGTTTAACATGGGCTCCCCTTGTCAACCTCATGCTCCGCCCCTTGCCTTCCAGGTTCCTGGAAGTTTGGAGCAGGATATTCCACCCCTCACATACTTTTCACCAGGGCTGGCCCAATGCATTTTGGCACCTAAGGCAAACCACAAAATGACATCCCCCCCCCCTCCACCAGGAAAGAAGGGGTGAGTCAGGAACAAGGCAAGGTGCGTGGAATCAAATCAGCCTTAACTGATGGTTGAAGTGGAATCAAAGGGTGTCAGGGGGGTAGGGGAAGGGAACCACTTAGAATCATGCCAGGTAGATGCAGAGCTCAGGAGACCTCAGAGGGCAGACCCACCATTTCCTTCTGGGTGGGGGGTGGGGTGGAGAAGACCATCAGAGGCCACTGGAGAAGGCTGCCGAGGAGGCAGTACACCCAGCCCCCAAGTAGCACACCACAGCTGTGACCGCTATGTATCCTTGAAGGTCAGATCTGTTGCCCCTGTACATTGTGTCGCCTGAAGCAGTTGCCTCACCTTGCCTCATGGGTGCACTGGCCCCGGTTGAGATGCCTCCCTTGACATCTGAGCCTCAGGGCATTCAGTAGCTTTCCAAGATATCCCTGTAATTCCCAATGCACAAGCAAGAAAGACATGTTTGTATGACATGCAAGTCCATGCATGCACAATATGCATCTGCCCATGCAAAGAGTACAGTGAAGTCCAATTCCTTCATGGCTGCTGGGGCTTGGGGAGAGAAATATTGCAAAGCAGAAAAAAAAGCTGAACAAGCAATTTCTGTCGTTAGCCAGTCTGCAGAAGCAAAATGTAAGGTAGGGCAGCTGCAGAGCACATTATGCTAGCAAGAGTAGGGCAAGGGAAGAGGTGGGAGAGAACATCTGCTTTGCATGCAGAGGCTCCCTGGTCCAATCCCCAACATTGGTTGGGAAAGGCTCCTATCTGAAACTCCAGATAGCAGTTGCAATAGATGGACCATTGGACGCACCTGGTTTAATAAACCAAACAAACAACCATTTGCCAAAATTAATGAAGATTGCAGGATTGTTTCCCAGGACAAAGATTACCTAGAAAAATATTTTTGTGGTTGTACCTCAGTATGGACATATATTTCTTTCCTAATCCAAACGAGCTCCACAAAGAAACAAAATGTGAGGATTCACCCTCCAGAGATTCTTGCTTCAATCTCAGCCCTCCCTTGATGCTTGACTGAACATTGCTTCTCATAGTGTCTAATCTCTTCTCTGAGGGACTTCTTTCTTACACTTGGCAAAGAAGAATCTTTGCAGGGAGACAGAAAAAGACTTGTAAAATTTCTCATTGGAAAAGTTGTAGATGAAGGGATCCAAGCAACAGTTGACCATGCTGAAGACTAAGGAGACATAATAAGCTATTTCTACACGGTACCGAAGCCCACAGGATGTCCAGTAATATCTCACAATCAAACCCACTGTCTGGCAGATGTGGAGGGGCGTGAAGCAGATGCCAAAGATGACCAAAGTGATGGTGATCATCTGCTTGGACTTGGTCTTAATCACCTTGCCTCGAAGATTGGCTTGACTGATTTTAGCAACGTAGGCTCCCAACATCACATAGGACACCAGAGAGATGCCAAAGGGAATGAGGAAACAGAAGATACCCAGGAAGATTCTGTATGTTAGATAGAGGTAAGCCAGCTCTGACCGGTAGATGCTCAGGCACTTGACCGAGTTGCCGATGACTGAAGTCTTGAGGAAGAAGAAGAGTGGAAGTCCCTGCAGGAAGAGGAAAGCCCAGAAGACCAAGACCAGCTTTTTCAAGGCAGACTTCTTCCTCCAGAGGGTCTTGGCATTGTAGTGGACAATGGCTTGGTACCTGTGGATGCTGATGAGCATGAGGAAGTAGATGCTTCCATACAGGTGAGTGCTGAGCAGGAAAACTTGAAGCTGGCAGACAAACTGCCCAAAGGGCCAGTGGTTTCCCAAGCTGAAATAGGCCACCATCAGTGGCATGACCGGAAGGACAATGATGTCTACCAAGGCCAGGTTGAACTGAAGCATGGTGCCAGAATTCCAGCGCTTGATGGCAAACCAGAAGATCCAGAGGCTGATGCTGTTGAAGATCAGCCCACCCACTGAGAGGATGCCCCAAAGGATTGGGATGGAAAAGTGGAGCTCCCATGGCAGGCATTGTGTCACGTTGGTGGCGTTCATTATGTGACAGAGGCAGGTGGCTCCAGATGCTTTGGAAGAGATGTCCACACGACTGCTCGTCCAGGAAGAAAAGAGGAGAAACAAAAGACAGGTTTTCAGTTCCCTGCCACTTCCTAGAAGATATGGTTCAACTGTGTCCTTTCTGCTGTGTAGTTGTGTTGTGTTGTGCTGTGTGTCCCCCACCCCCTTTTGTATGTTGTAGGTGAAGGTACATTGCCTTTTAAGGTCTTCTAATATGTCCTCAGACAACAGGAAACAACCCCAAAAGGTGGAACCTGTTGTTCATTTCATGACCTTTGCGGTGTGCTCAGAAATTATCTGGTCCTTCAAATGCTGGAGAAATCTGAGAGTGTCTTTAAAACTAGGGCACTTCAATTAGAACACTTGAGCATTCGTCCTGATTTGTGTGCAGAAAAATCTAAGAAGAGCCCTGCTGGATCAGGCCAGTGGCCCAGCTAGCCCAGCAACCTGTTCTCACAGTGGCTAGCCAGATGTCCCAGTGCCAAGCCTGCAAAGCAGGACCTGTGTGCAACAGCTCAGATTTGATGACAATTGCCATTTTTGGAGCGTGCATTCACATTTGTTTGCACGGAGGCTAGATGAAGCTGTGTCAAAGCAAATGTTATCCCAGACTTTGCAGTGCATTTTCTAATTTCGAAGGGGAGTGGGTTTGCCATGTGAGAGCTCCCAATGGGCTCTAAATGTGCAACATACTAGTCATGGTGGCTATGCTCTGCCTACACAGCAAGAAGCAGCAGTGCTTCCAATTGCCGATCGCAAGAGACCACAGGAGGAAAGAAGGCTCTTGTGCTCAGGTCCTGCTTGTGAGTTTCCTATAGAGGCTTTTAAAAGGTTCAGGCTTTAGGGTGCGGGGTGGGATGATGATGATGATGAACCATTGTTCTGCCCGGACACTGAGGTTCAGTGCAGAGGGCCTTCTGGTGGTTCCCTTGCTGTGAGTAGCCAAGTGACAGGGAACCAGGCAGAGGGCCTTCTCGGTAGTGGCACCTGCCCTGTCGAACACCCTCCCTTCAGATCTCAAGGAAATAAATATTTGACTTTTAGAAGACATCTGAAGGCAGTCCTGTTTCAGGAAGTTTTTAAAGGATTGATGTTTTTAGATATGCTGTAAGCTGCCCAGAATGGCTGAGGAAACCCATTACCCTAAATGGCCTCGGTCCAGTATACCTGATGGAGTGTCTCCACCCCCATCGTTCTGCCCGGACACTGAGGTCCAGCTCCGATGGCCTTCTGGCAATGCCCAACACATTTCCCTAGTTCTCTACTGTTATGTACTGAGCTGAATCCTAGGATCCAGAATGCAGCAGTCTGATTGGTCCGCAGGAGCCACCCAATCCAGCTCCAGGTGGAAGTGAATCAGCAACCTGATTGGCCTGCAGGAGCAGCCAATCAGGCTTCTGGAGGAAGTGAATCCACAACCTGATTGGCTTACAGGAGCAGCCCAGATTTAGTCAATCACATGGGGCCCATTGTGTAAATAATGTACCGTATTTTTCGTTCTATAGGGCGCACCGGCCCATAGGACGCACCTCGTTTTTTTGGGGGGGAAATGAATAAAAAAAATTATTCCCCCCCCGCCGCGGCTGCCGCCCCAAGCCTCGCACGCACGGCGGGACCTCCTGCCGGGCGCGCAAGGCTTGCAGACACTCGCCCGAAGCACGGGGAGCCCTCCGGAGGGCTCCCCGTGCTCGAGCGACAAGCTGCCGCCCGAAGCCTCGCGCGCTCGGCGGGACCTCCTGCCGGGCGCGCAAGGCTTGCAGACACTCGCCCAAGCACGGGAGCCCTCCGGAGGGCTCCCCGTGCTTGGCGACAGGCAGCCGCCCCAAGCCACGCGCGCTCGGCGGGACCTCCTGCCAGGCGCGCAAGGCTTGCAGACACTCGCCCGAGCACGGGAGCCCTCCGGAGGGCTCCCCGTGCTTCGGGCGACAGGCTGCTGCCCCAAGCCTCGCGCGCTCGGCGGGACCTCCTGCCGGGCGCGCAAGGCTTGCGGACACTCGCCGGGGCTGCAGGCTGCTGCCTGCAAGCCTTGTGAGCCCGCGGGAACTCCCACCGGGCTTGCAAGGCTTGCGGATAGCTCCTGAAGCCTGGAGAGCGAGAGGGTCGGTGCGCACCGATGCCTCTCGCTCTCCAGGCTTCAGCGAAAGCCTGCATTCGCTCCATAGGACGCACACACATTTCCCCTTCATTTTTGGAGGTGAAAAAGTGCGTCCTATGGAGCGAAAAATACGGTATATATAGCAAGACTTTGGGGGAAAGTTTCATTCATTGCTACTACGAGCTGAATAAAGAGCATGAAATTCACACTCAACTCCGAGTATATTTCATCTACAGTGCTGCTATTTTTTTTCCTGCTGGGGGTAGGGAGAAAGAGAAGGAACAGATGTGTGTGAAACATGTTTGGTACAAGACTTTCTACATGTGTTTTTTTAAACTCCATTGCAGTCAGTGGCACCATCAGGACTGGACTTTAGGGCAGATGCCCAGGGGACCCACTTAGCATAACAAGTAGAAGCCCCCCCCCCTCACAATGCAGCTGGGCTGGCTTGCCATATTTTGAAGTACACAAAGCAACACACATTACCATAAAGAGTCTCCTTGCTGCTCCCTGTAAGAGCGTTGAGTCCAGACTCAAATATTGCCTACACACACCACTGATTTCAGTTCCCTAATTCTGACCACCCAGGTTCCCTATATCCAAAATCCATTTCCTCTGTGACATATTCCCCTGCAAGCCAGAACAGAAGCAGGAAATCAAAAAGAGGTATGTACTTCCTGAAATCCATGCCCACCTCTGAGCCAAAACAAAACTGGGCTATTGGCAACTTGCATGGAAGTGGGCAGCCTTTGGCCCTATGGATGTTGCTGAACCACAACTCCCATCAGCCCCAGCAAGAATGGCCAATGGTCAGGGCTGATGCAGGTTGTAGTTCAGCAACAACTAGAGGGCAAAATATTCCCCATATTGGAATTATGGTAGATCTTCGCTTTTTGCTTTCAGACCTCTATCTAATTATCTGTGCCTAAGGGAAGGTTGAGGGATGTGGGTGGCGCTGTGGGTTAAACCACAGAGCCTAGGACTTCCCGATCAGAAGGTCGGCGGTTCGAATCCCCGTGATGGGGTGAGCTCCCGTTGCTCAGTCCCTGCTCCTGCCCACCTAGCAGTTCGAAAGCACGTCAAAGTGCAAGTAAATCAACCGGCGGGAAGGTAAACGGTGTTTCCGTGCGCTGCTCTGGTTCGCCAGAAGCGGCTTAGTCATGCTGGCCTCATGACCCGGAAGCTGTACGCCAGCTCCCTCGGCCCATAAAGCAAGATGAGCGCCGCATCCCCAGAGTCGGCCACGACTGGATCTAATAGTCAGGGGTCCCTTTACCTTTAAGGGAAGGTTGGGGGGCTACTTTTGCCTCTGGCCCAGCCCATCACTGGTATGCAGCCCCTAACATTTGTTCAGAAGGGAATGTGACACTCTTGGATTGAAAAATGTTCCCCACTCCAAGATAAACCATTGCTTCCCATTGCATCCAAATGCAAGAAGCATCGGTTTGGTGCAACCCAGAAGCAGAACCTTCAAATTTCCTCCATTCATGCATAGAGGAAGGAGCAGAAGGAACTTGCAAGATAAGGGCTTGTGCCATTGCTTGTGATCTGGGCCAGTAAGTCACAAACTGGTGTGACTGTGAAGCAAATCTAATGGCCTTAAAACAGGACTGGGGAAACAGCTGTCCTCTTGATGTTGTCCTCCAGCTCCCAGCAGTCAACATCTGAGGGGCCACCCGTTGCCCACCATTCCATTTGAAGAGCTGATCAACAAGATTTAGTGTTTGTAAATTAAAAAAACACATATCTAGGGCTTCCCAAGTGTTCTGCAAAAACAGCATTTTAAAAAGCCAGGGCTGTGACAATGAAAAAAACCCAAAAGAGTCCTGTGACAATGTAACAACTAAGTGGTGTTCAGCCCAACCTGACTTGTTTAGTTAGAAGCCAGTCCTGTTGTGCTCAGTGAGGCTTGCTGCTGAGTAAGCATGCATAATACCACATCTTAATGGCACAAGAGACATAGCAAGCTGCAGTGAATATATATATATATATATATATATATATATATATATATATATATATATATATTTGCAGGGGAACAGTTAGGACCAGAGGTGCCAGCTTGTGAGGGCGATTGGTGGGGGTGTTGTTGCACATGTGACATTGCGATATCCTGGCATTGTGCACATGGACATCATGCCTCCCTCTCTAACCCAGGCAGAAGCTTCCCTGGTTTTGGGAAGGAGGCACCAAGTACTGAGTAGACCTGCCAGAATGCTATTTGCAGAAATAAATGGGTCCCACGGTAGCTTTCCTGTGGTTTGACAAGCCACAGCCCTAGAAATTTCTCACCGTTATTTCCTCTACTGGGCTTGGTTTCTTGAGAACAATCAAGCATCGTCAGTCACAGGAAAATAAGGCTGAGGCAGAATGCCAGCAGCCCATGATGCTCACACGAGGCCCCTGCAAGGAGGGAGGTACTTGTGGGCGTGATGAGCATGGTGCTTCCTTGGTGCACATTGGGGTTCTTGGGGTCCATTGCTTCATGTCTGGGGACAAGTGGGGCCTTTGCACCTCCCTTGGGATTTGGCCTGGCCGCCTCTGGTTTTTGTCCCTTTCTCTTGCCATCCTAGGTAAGCCAGTAAAAGGTAAAGGTAAAGGGACCCCTGACCATTAGGTCCAGTTGTGACCGACTCTGGGGTTGCGGCGCTCATCTCGCTTTATTGGCCGAGGGAGCCGGCGTACAGCTTCCAGGTCATGTGGCCAGCATGACTAAACCGCTTCTGGCAAACCACAGCAGCGCACGGAAATGCCGTTTATCTTCCCGCCGGAGCGGTACCTATTTATCTACTTGCACGATGTGCTTTCAAACTGCTAGGTTGGCAGGAGCAGGGACCGAGCAACGGGAGCTCACCCCGTTGCGGGGATTTGAACCGCCGACCTTCTGATCGGCAAGTCCTAGGCTCTGTGGTTTAACCCACAGCTCCAGTGGTGGCTGACAAAAACTGGAGTGATTCATTCAGGGTTGGGGTGGGACAGGAACTACTGAATTTTTTTAAAAAAAATTTTTTTGCAACGAGAGCAATAATCAGAGCCCTGCTGAATCAGCCCAAGGAAGACCCATCTAGTCTACTATCTGGCCTGTCAGGATGCTACAGGTAAGAGCTGTGTGCAGGGTGTTGACCAAAGGTGGACAAACTAGCCCAGATGGAGAATGACCGCTCCCCCACCAGAGGTACTACTCCTCCCCTAACAGCCAAATGATGAATAGTTACCTGAAAAGGCATGGTCATAACAAAAAGTTAAGCCAGAGGTCAAATCAAAGCCAGTTACTAACTGGGTCGAAATGAATCTGTGTGTGTTTGTGTGTGTTTATTTCACAACATTTATACACAGCTTGATTGTAATAAAACCTCTAAGACGGTTTACAGGAAAAAACAAAATATATTACAAAACAGGTAATTAGAAACATTTTAAAAACAATTAAGATCCGCATTAAACTAAAAAGAGACTAAAACATGTCAGCTCATCCTCTATGCATCTGGGTAGGCTCGCTTGCTTAAATAAAATTGTTTTAAGCAAGCACTGAAAAGAGAACAGTGAAAATGCGTGTCTAATGCCAACAGGTAAGAAGTTCCAAAGTGTAGGTGCTGCTACACTAAAAGAAGAATTCCTTAGACGTGCACAGTGGGTATTACGGTACGTGGCACCTGTAATAGTGCCCGTTCTCTGCAGATCGAAGCTTTCGAGTGGTGTAAGGTGATCCCACAAATAAACTGACCCCAGGCTGTTAATGGCTTCTCGCACGAATAATAACACCTGAACTTGGCCCAGTGGCAAGTGAGCAACTGTTGCAGGTGTCTGAGCAGAGGTGTTATAGGCAGACAGAAGCAGGTCACATTCTGACAGCAACTGCACTGCAGCATTCTGCACCAACTGCAGCTTCTGGATCAAGTACTGTACAAGGGAAGCTGTATGTAGAGTGTGTTGCAGACCTGGTCCCATAACAGAGCCAGGTCTGCAGACCAAAGTGGGATTTCTTTGTGGGAAGCGGATTGCTGTTTCCCTTTCCCTCTCCTTCTGTACAACCAGATTGCAAACTGGTTTCTCTATGTACCCTACTGAGTAAAGATAAAGATGTTCTGCTTCCCCCTTTCACAATATTTGCCAATATAGGAGATAGTCAAACAGTGCTCCAGAGCCTGCTGTTTCCTCTTAACTGTGCACAATGAATCAAACAGCCAGGAGCCATGAACGTGAAGAGCATTCTGCTTATTTGCCAACCACCTGGCAAGTCTTAAAACTTAATAGGTATGCTGCTGATGCCTCACTTTTTAAAGAAAATATACCTGTGGTTAAAACTGGAGGTCACATTCATGCGGCAGTTTATTCCATTTCCCTTACTTAATTTTCACATTATATTTGAGCTTTCACGCAATGCCATTTCTGGGAAACAAATGGACTGTAGTTCATGTTTAGTGCTCACGTCTATGTTACCTGATTGCAGAAAGTATCTCTATGCAGCCCTCTTAAAACAGAAAACTCAGAAGTGAGGAAATTTGGGACAGCTTACCAGTTCCTTCCTGCCATTTTCATGGGAGAGTCACAGGGGAGCAAAAGCAAGTTTGTGCAGACAGGGTGGGGGAGCAGCAATGTTGACCACCGATGTTCATTGGTGTGAATGAAATTTAGCATGACATGTCAGCATATTGCTCTAATGCAACGGGTGCCACAGTGTGAAAGGAGTATTAGAAAACACGAGAGAGGAGCTAGCATTATAAGGAAGACAAATGCAATATTCCCCACTCCCCTAAGTCTCTTTACCCTCCAACTCAGAAACAGAAACTCTCATGAGTCTGAGTGTGCATATTATTAAGAATTTCACATTGAAAGCTGATTTCTGTTCCTTTTCCTTTGCTTATTTGTATCCTCTGATTTTATTTAGTTCGGCCTCGATGGTAGCAGATGGGCAGCTTTAAATTTCCACATATTTCAATAAATGTCTTGTTTTGTGTTTTTGTTTGTTGTTGATATTATAAAAACTAATAATTTTTTTGCAAAAAACAAAACAAAACCCAAAAGGCAACGAATACAACCATAAAACCATAAAACACTATGCAGCTCCAGCAAGTTAAGATTCCTATCAATTATACTTTAACACAGGGATATATTTTTTGTTTATCAAGGCTGGGAGGGGGGTTGTTTGTGTTTTGCTAAGAGATCCAAAACTGCACACACTTAGAGGATGTGTTGCTTGCTGCATGTTTGTGCCTTGCTTTTCCTCCCAGGAACTCAGGGCTGTGGATCTTGTCTTCCCCTCCCCACTTTTTATGGTCACAGCAGCCCTGTGAGGTAGGCTAGGCTGAGAGTTGGTAATTCAGTCCCCAAAACTGTGAAACTGCTTTGCTTGTGGTTATTTATCAGGCAATTTGGGGTCTGGTAGTTTGCTGTAAATATCACATGTTGCATTTAAGCTGCTTTTCTGGCTTTGTGCGTGTTTATTTTCCTTTGCATGATCTGTGAATGGCGCTATATCTTTGTAACTTGCTTTCCCCCCCAGATGCTGATAGTTGTGTACATTATCCTCCCCACCTTCATATTTGCAACAGCTCTGTGAGGTAGGCTAGGCATACATATGTATATAAGCAGCAGTTCTTGTCAATAGATTGCTGGCACAATCCACATACAGTTTATGTGGCTCAGATCCTGTCAGCATCCCTGCACCTGACAATATCTAACATTGCTTACAACCCCATAGTGTTTTATCTTTTACCTTTCCTTTTCCGAAGGACATTTTCTCACTTGGACACCAATAATCCTCTTAGGGAATTGGAAAAGAGCCTGTGAAATTTCTCGTTGGCAAAGTTGTAGATGAAGGGATCCAGGCAACAGTTGACCATGCTGAAGACCAAAGAAATGTAATAGGTGACTTCTATGTGGTACAGAACCTTGCAGGACACACCATAATATCTCACAATGGAAGCCATGGACCCACAGATGTGGAGGGGTGTGAAGCAGGTGGCAAAGATGACCAGGGCAATGGTGATCATCTGCTTCGACTTGGTCTTCATTACTTGGCCTCGGAGATTGGCTTGACTGATTTTAGCAATGTAGGCCCACAACATCACGTAGGATGCCAAAGAAATAGCAAAGGGAATGAGGAAGCAGAAGATCCCCAGGAAGATACCATAGGCTAGATAGAGATAGGTCAGCTCTGACTGGTAGATGCTCAGGCACTTGACCGAGTTGCCGATGACTGAAGTCTTGAGGAAGAAGAAGAGTGGAAGTCCCTGCAGGAAGAGGAAAGCCCAGAAGACCAAGACCAGCTTTTTCAAGGCAGACTTCTTCCTCCAGAGGGTCTTGGCATTGTAGTGGACAATGGCTTGGTACCTGTGGATGCTGATGAGCATGAGGAAGTAGATGCTTCCATACAGGTGAGTGCTGAGCAGGAAAACTTGAAGCTGGCAGACAAACTGCCCAAAGGGCCAGTGGTTTCCCAAGCTTAAATAGGCCACCATCAATGGCATGACCGGAAGGACAATGATGTCTACCAAGGCTAGGTTGAACTGAAGCATGATGCCAGAATTCCAGCGCTTGATGGCAAACCAGAAGATCCAGAGGCTGATGCTGTTGAAGACCAACCCGCCCACTGAGACGATGCCCAAAATTACTGGCAGGGCAAAGTGGATCCCCTCTGGCTGGCATTGTGTCATGTTGGTGGTGTTCATTCGGTGAAGGAGACAGGTGGCCTAAGTAGAGTTGTCCGTACACGTTCCAGTTCAGAATACAGAGTCGGCAAGCAGGAGGAGTGATAATTTGCTTGTGGTAGGTGAAGTCAGCTGCTAGCAGTGCCCTTCTGTCACAGCCCTGAAAGTGTGGCCGAGGTGGGGCCCTTCTCCCCTGCCCATTTCCTATTTTTCTCAGGGCTTCTTCTGAGTCAGTTTCACACCCAAAAGAAAGACTGAAACTTGCGTTGCTTCTCTTGCTGAGAAAACTGGCACTGACACTTCAAGTCTTTCGGTTTTTGTTTTTATTTCAGAGAGTTTAACACTGAACTCTAAAAGCATGGGGCTGAATCCAGCTAAGGCCCATTTGCATTATACGTACATTTAAAGCATCATCATACTACTTTAAACATCCATGGCTTCCCCCAAAGAGTCCTGGGGACTGTAGTTTGTTCAGAGTGCTGAGAGTTGTTAGGGGACCCCCTATTCCCCTTCACAGAGCTGCAATTGCCAGTTTCCCGAGGAAAAGAATTGACTCTTAAAACATTATGGGAATGGTAGCTGTGCATGGGGAGTAGGGAGTTTCCTAAGAACTCTCAGCTTTCTGAACAAACTACAGTTCACAGAATCTTTTTGGCAGGGAAGCCATGACTGTTGACAACGATGTGATACTGTTTTAAATGTACAGCGCTGAAAACACCTGTCATCCTAAAAGTAATAAATCACTTTAATAAATGTTTTGTACTGTTTTTTAATGATGTTTTAGTACACTGTACTGATATTTCAGTACTGTACATAAATGATGGCATATAATACAAATTAAATAAACAAGCTAGCCAAGTACAGTGGTACCTCAGGTTAAGAACTTACCGTAATTCGTTCCGGAGGTCCGTTCTTAACCTGAAACTGTTCTTAACTTGAGGTACCACTTTAGCTAATGGGGGCTCCTGCTGCCACCGCGCCGCCAGAGCACGATTTCTGTTCTCATCCTGAAGCAAAGTTCTTAACCCGAGGTACTATTTCTGGGTTAGCGGAGTCTGTAACCTGAAGTGTCTGTAACTTGAAGCATCTGTAACCCGAGGTACCACTGTACACTGATTGCACTAGGCCTGCTCTGGCCACAATGGCTCTGTTTTGCTTTCATTGTCAAGAGACAGTAGATCTCTGAGTATACCCGTTGCCAGGAATTGCAAGTGGAAAGAGCGCTCTTGGACTTCAGTCCTGCTTGTGGACTTCCTGTTGGAGTATATGGCTGGCCACTGCAAGAACAGGATGCTGGACTGGCCGGGCCACTTTGTTTGACCCTCTTTCAGCTCCATCAAAGCTGGTGGCTATGGCTACCTCTTGTGGATAGTGAGTTCCATCCTGTGTAGAGTGAAGAAGTACTTTCTTTTGCCCTGAATTTTCCAACATTTCAGCTTCACTGGATGCCCTTGGGTTCTGGTACCCAAGGGATGGTCACCATTAAATGTCACCTGAGTTGAATTTCTCCTCCATCCCTACCTGTGATTACTAATGACTCTGTGCAGTGTCAAAATTGCACTTGATTACAACCATTCCTCTGTGCATCCATGCTTCTCCTCAATTGCTCAGGTCCCGATTCATAGAATTGTAGTGCTGTAAAGCTGGAAGGGACCACAAGGGTCATTCTAGTCCAACCCCCTGCAATGCAGGAGGCTTTTGCCCAACATGGCGCCCAAACTCATGACCCTGAGATTGAGAGTCTCATATTCCACCAGCTGAGCTACCCCAGTGCAGATGGAGAGGTTGAAGTGCCAAGTACCAGCAAAGATGGTGGTGCCCATTGGGCAGGAGAAAGGGATCCCTGGTGGCGCCGGAGCTAAGGAGTGGCAGAGTCAACTCATTTGACTTCTGTTCCTATCCTCCTTCCTGCTGAGTTCACTTATTTACTTACTTATTGCACTAATATTCCATGCTTTTCTCCAAGGAGCTCAAGGTGGCATGTGTGGCTTTCCCCCTCCTTGTGTAAACCCCACAACAACCCTGGGAGACAGGTTAGACTGTGAGGCAGTGACTGGCCCAAGGTCACCCAGTGAGCTTCATGGCTGTGTGGGGGATTTGAACCCTGGTCTCCCCCAGCTCCCAGCCTGCCACTCTAACCTATGGGTAGGCAACCTAAGGCCTGGGTGCCAGATGCGGCCCAATTGCCTTCTAAATCCGGTCCACGGACAGTCCAGGAATCAGCGTGTTTTTACATGAGTAGAATGTGTCCTTTTATTTAAAATGCATCTCTGGCTTATTTGTGAGGCATAGGAATTAGTTCTTTCTTTCTTTTTCAAAATATAGTCCTGCCCGGCCCCCCAAGGTCTGAGGGACAGTGGACCGGCCCCCTGCTGAAAAGGTTTGCTGACCCCTGCTCTAACCACTTCACCACAGTGTCTCTCCAGTTCTACAGGGGCAGCACTAAGGAGGAGGAAGCTGATAGGCATTGTCTGCCCCAGACAGGTTTTAAATAGGCAGGCAGGCAGGCGACAGCTAGCTAAGAGCAAGCTGAGGGTAGATGGAGTATAGGGCACTGCCCCATTTGTCCTAACTGAGCAAACTCGGCAGCACACAGTTCTCACCTTGTTTTCCGTTGTGAAGCACGCGAACCATGGCCCACAGTGGAGGGGATATTTCTTATACAATTAAGCTTAGTTAATAATCCAAAGTATTCCCACACTGGCCTTGTATAAATATTCCTCATTGACTCAGCACTTTATTTCTATGCTCCTGTTTCTTGGTAGCTGATCTTGTCGAACTTCTTTGCACTTTGTATGGTTTAAATTGATAAAAAATTAAATTAAGAACAAAGTGACCTGGAAAACATCTCCTGTGAGCTGAGCCAAGCCTGCTGCTTATTACAAGTAGCTATGAGAATGGGTTAAGCCAGGTTGGGGAAACCTCAGGACTGGGGGCCACACATCTGGCCCTCAGCACTCTCACCAGGCCACGCCCCTTGCTGCTCCTATTTTGCCCCCTGAATGTTTCTGTTTGACTGGAATGTGTCTTTGAACCCTCTTCATGCCTCTTGCTTATCTAGATCGAGGATAGGGGTGTGTGTTAGTGTGAGAGAGTGGAAACCAGCCTACTGTATGAAGGGAAAATATACCGTATTTTTTGATCTATAAGATTCACTTTTTCCCTCCTAAAAAGTAAGGGGAAATGTGTGTGCGTCTTATGGAGCGAATGCAGGCTGCGCAGCTATCCCAGAAGCCAGAACAGCAAGAGGGATTGCTGCTTTCGCTGCGCAGCGATCCCTCTTGCTGTTCTGGCTTCTGGGATTCAGAATATTTTTTTTTCTTGTTTTCCTCCTCCAAAAACTAGGTGCGTCTTACGGTCTGGTGCATCTTATAGAGTAAAAAATACGGTACATTAAGCGCTCCACCTGCTTTTGCCTGGCATGTGGCCCTTGGAAGATTGCCTGGAAGGGGATTAGTCCTTGAGCTGAAAAAGCTTTCCACCTCTGGGTTAAAGAGTGAAACACTGAGCTCCTGGTGAGCCTTGGGTGGTGGTCAATCAGGTGTTCAACAAGCTATCTGTTTGGGCTGATTACCTGGGAATGCAAGTACTTTGAAGGTCACGGTAGATGGTTAGTGGATTGCAATCATTATTGGGGAGTGGGGCACAGATCATATTCTTTGAAGTTTTCACGAGAAAGAAAGCTGGTGGGAGCAGATCTTCTACTTGGGGCAGTCACCTGAACCCTTTGGCCTATTGCTGCAAAGAAGACTCCTAGATGAATCTCCGACTTCCCTCAATCAACCAGAGCTTAGTGAGGGTGCACAATTTAATTCTTGGCCCCAACATACTTCCAGTTCTTAGCTGGAGAGCCGTTGTGGCTTCCAGTCCTGACATGAGCTGTGCAGTACTTAAGTATGAAGTACTTAATTTGTTAAATAAAGAAAGAGTTGACCTTTAAAAATATTGGCAAGATTTGTGTGGGGGGGTGCATCCCCCCTCAAGTATGCATGCACAAATTCCTCATTATCAGCCTTCACAAGTCAGAAATTTCGGATCCCTGACCCGTTGCAAGCTAAAACAACCAGGGATTGTCTGCCATAATCACTAGCAGGTTTATTGCAGCATAAGGTTCCACCTGACCATGAGGCCTCTGTCCAGTGAAAGTTTACTGTACAATAAATGCATTCTCCTTTATAGTGTGACAAGAAGACTTCCTTTCTCACTTTTAAGCTTTCAGATGAGAAATGTCAAAGTGCTAAGTCTGTACTGGTTCATACTTTGATTCACATCTTCTCTGCAACCACACAGCCTCTTTCAGCTTGGAATCCTTCCCACTATTTCTAGTGTTTAATGTATGTGTGCCGTTCCTTATGTAGCCAAAACAGCACCACCCAAACACAGGAGGGAGGTATCAGCAGCCTTGGGAGAACTCAAAGTCTGCAGAAGTACACGCATCTTTTGGGGAGAGGGACCCTAATGGGGGAACCCCCAAAAAACCCTCAGCAAGGATGGAGTGTGTTTGGTGGACACAGGAAACTGATTATTGAAGGATGGGGAGTGGAACAGAGAAGTGAGCAGGGGAATGTAAAGGAGTCGCTGGGACCCTGAAGAGCAGCGCTCTATGGGCCCCTCTAGACCTGGGTTTTATTGCAAGTGTATTCTGCAGTGTGTTCTCGACACAAAAAGAGTGCATTAGTGATGGGTATCTTTCTGCCTTAGTTTGTTCTGAGATGCGCTCCCAACGGCACCACATTTTGGTTGTCCAGAGCAGGGTGGGGACTATAGAGCAACAAAACCGGAACATTTGTGAGCGTGAAAAGTTCTGGGATTTCAGCAGGAAGTTATGGGACATGCACAGATGAGAAATGAAGCCATGTGGCCACCCCAGAACTTTTCACAGGTGGCAGACAGCATTGAAAGCAGATTTGCATATGGCCACTCCACTAGCATTATGAGAACAAATAATCATGAATGTACAATGAAAAGGCTGTCTGGAAGGGCCCTGCCCTGCCACGTTTTCTCACAGGTCCTTCCAAATGTTGCTTGTCCTTTAAATTTGCCAACAGTTCCTCAAACTAGCCCTCAAACCTGGAACCCAAATGCGGGTGGACTGATGCTGAATTCTCATATTGTACCCTGTTTTAGATACAGAGTGCACCAGACCAGTGGCAGCAGAGGGAAGGGCGGACAATATTCAGACAAATGATGGAGCTGGTAGGCTATTGTTTGCAAGAGCAGCAGAAATAATCCTGTCTCACTTCTGCCACCATTTGCTCTTGCGATGGGTGGGTTTGTCTCTCATTTTCATTTCCTCTTTTAGATTCAGCTGCTTGGGAACAATCAAGCACCATGAGCCACAAGAAGAAAAAGCTGGAGGGGAGCTCCAAAAAGTCCATCTTGTCCATGGGATGCTCCTGCCTTGGTTGCTGGAAGATGGAAGGTACTCGTGGTCATGAACGGCATGAAAATGTTCTTACGTTCCTTGCAGTCAGTTGCTCTGTTGAGCCCCCTTGTGGCCCTCAAGTGGAGTCCTTATACCTTCCTGAGGATTCTGCCTGGCTTCCTCCAGTCTTTGTACCGGTCCCTCCGTGGTGGGTAAACCAGCGGCTGAGAAAAGCCTGAGTGGTTCATCCGTGAGGAACGGCTGAAAAAAAGCAAAAGGGTGTAAATATATAAGGAACTGAGTTACCAAAAATAAGGTGAAATATTGAAGAAAGATAAAAGTGATTATAGAAATGCTAAGAATTTAGTAAGATGTATGGAAGTCAGAAAGAGGGAGGGAAGGAGGTCGATGCTCTGTTAGAGCAATGTATTAGGATATGGAATTATGTAACAAAATGTGAATATGAAAAAATTGAAAACTTAATAAAAATTATTATGGGTGAAAAAGCAAAAGGAGAACATCAAGAAGAGCCCTGCTGGAATGATGCTGTAGTTGGCTACTAGTTTCCAGGTCCTTCTTTGCACAAAACTTCAAAATGCAACTTAGTCAGACCACTGCTATTTTCACCTGAGATTCAAGAAAGTGGACTCTCCTTCACTGGAAGTTTTTAAATAGAGATTGGACAGCCATCTGTCAGGGATGCTTTAGCTATGATTCCTGCATTGCAGGGGGTTGGACTCGATGGCCCTTGGGATTCCCTTCCAGCCTTACAATTCTGTGATTCTATGGTCCTAAGTGCATACCACCACATTTAGGTTGCACAATTAAAGCTGATTTGGCACCTTTTGCAAAACCCACTTGCCTGAAATCAGACTTTTTGCAATAAAGTAACAGATGTAAAAATGCCCTAGAAATTATTGGATAACAATTGCTTGGGGCAACATCATCAAACCTCCCTGGAAACCAGTTGGCTTTTTCTTGAGCATTCATTCAAATGCAATATAAGCCACCTGCCAACTTTGGCCAAAGGATCAGGAAGATGGCAGTAAAGTTGTAAAAAAAAACTTAAAGGAGAATCAAAGTGAATATTCCCTGAACTCCAAATTAAGTAAATAAGTGAATAAGTAAGTAAGTTTGGTGTACCATATATCATATACCTACACGATTGAGCCAGCATGTATATTCTATAATCTCATAGCCTCCCACAAGTACTCTGATTTTCCAGGGACAGTCCCAGGAATTACAAAAGCCATCCCAGCTTCTGATTTGATCCTGGAATGCCCCTGTCCCGTCCCCGTCCCCCCGCCAGCACTGCCAGCGCAAAGCTCAGAAAGGAGGATGAGTTGGTGCTTGTTCCAAGCTATGACAAAGGTGACTGTGGCTGCTGCAAGGGAGACCCCTGCTGCCTCTCCATGGTTGCCACTGGCCTCCTCTGCTGGGCAGCTATTATTAATTAATTAATTAATTATTAATGTTGCGATACATATTTGAAATCTTTACATAATGATACATATGCATTATATTCATAAATTCACATTTTCACATTTCATTATGTACCAACGTTTATCCCTTTCTTATTTCTTGCCCTGTGTCTTCCCTCCACCCGCACCTGTTATTATTTTGTAAATTTATTATTGAGATTGTAATTTTGTATCTTAATAATTAAGCTTTCAATCTTATATATCTGCTTAGCTTAACTTCACTTTGTGAAATCAGTCTATACATAGCAATAAATTCTTGTTGGAGCATCTTTTGGTCATGTATTCTTCTACACATTTCCATTCCTGTTTGAGATTTTGATTAGAATGCATTCTAATTGTCGCCGTCATTTTCGCTAATTCAATCATTTCAAAAAATTTATGTTGCCAATCTTTCAATGTTGGTACTTCTTCTGATTTCCAATTTTTTGCAGTCAATAACCTTGCAGCGGCTGTTGCATATAAAAAGATTCTCTTCATGTCTTTGAGGATGTCATTTGTTATAATTCCTAAAAGGAATGTTTCCGGCTTCTTACCAGTTGTTGTTTTAAACATTTTTTTCAGTTCCTCATGTATATTTCCTCCCCAAAATTTTAATTTTATCACATCCCCGCCAGACATGATATAAGGATCCCTCTGATACCTTACATCTCCAACACAGATTCGATGTTACGTTTATAAATTTTAGCCAGTTTTACAGGGGTTAAGTACCACCTGTAAAACATCTTCATAATGTTTTCTTTGATAGTAATACATGCGGTGAAATTAATATCTGATTTCCAAAGTTTTTCCCAATCATCTAATGAAATCGCTCATAGTGGCTGCTAGATAGGGGGTGAAGAGAGCAGCAGGATTGCGTCCTTTGCTGGTGCCCGGGGTACACACATGCGCCAGACAGGACCAGGGGCTGGGCCCAGAGGGTAATCCCCCCCCATACCAGCCCAAGTCCTGCCACTCGCCACCTGGCCCAGGGTGGGGCCTGACAGGCCTATAAGATCTGCTGCTGTGGCTGCTACCACCCAGGAGGACTCCCCTGCTCAGTGCCTGAGGGCCCCAGTCCTGTCACTCACCACCTGGCCCAGGGCGGGGCTTCATGGGCTCTATAAAGGACTGCTGCCACTGCTGAGCAGAGAGGGCTCCGTTTTCTTTGGTTTTTTGTTTAAATTGCTGTTATTTTTTACCTATGTCATTTTAAACTGTGATATTAATGCTGTATTCTTAGTTTTAGATTTTGATTTACTGTATTTTTCGCTCTATAAGATGCACCAGACCATAAGACGCACCTAGTTTTTAGAAGAGGAAAACAAGAAAAAAAATATTCTGAATCCCAGAAGCCAGGACAGCTAGCGGGATCGCAGCGCAGCGATCCCGCTAGCTGTCCTGGCTTCTTGCTTGGCCATGCACAGCCTCTCCCGGGCAAGGGGAGCCTTCATCCCCTGCCTGGGAGAGGCTGCGCGCAGCTCAGGCTCCCCCTAGAGCTGCGCTCCCTTTAAAGAGCGTGTGGAGTGTGTGTGTGGCTCTTGGGGGCTTTTCCCCGAGGAGGGAGAGGGGCACCGCTTCTCCCTCCTCGGGGAAAAGCCCCGAAGAGCTGCACACACGCTTCATGCGGCTCTTTAAAGGGAGCGCTGAGCAGAGCCTCTCGCCTGCATTCGTTCCATAAGATGCACAGACATTTCCCCTTACTTCTTAGGAGGGGAAACGTGCGTCTTATAGAGTGAAAAATACGGTATGTGGAAGTTTTCCATTTGGTTGTGTATTTTTTTTTTTACGTGGTTTATTTATTGTTTATGACTTTCATAGTTATGTAAATCTTGTCGTGTTGTAAGCCGCCTTGAGCATTGTTTTTAATTGTGGAAAGGCGGCATACAAATAAAAAATGATGATGATGAAGTCTTGCCGCCACTGCAGAGCGGGCACAGGGAAAAGAGGGTTCATAGGGCTGTGCTGTGTCACACCGCCCACTCGCCCACTTGCACAGGGGGGAGCCCAGCCAGCCAATGGGTGCATTCCCACAACACTGTGGCAGCAAGACCAGGTCGGGCTCTGGGCCCCAGAGCCCCACAGTGGCAGACAGGGCAGGGATCCCTGTGTGGGGGCTCCAGTAGCATAGCTAGGGGGCAGGGGGAGGGGCGCCCCGGCAGCACTTACCTTTGGAGGCGGCATGCCAGAGCCCAAGGTGGCACGCAAGCCCAGGTGCCCCAGAGCCTATCGCACCACTCCCAAATTACCGTGGCCCAGGGCTGGGGCTCACAGTGCACCAAGCTGCTGCCTTCCCCCACCCCAGCCTCCAGAGGTTAGCTGAGAAGGACACAACCGGCACACACTGGCCCCTGTAAGCAGCAATGGGTCTGCAGTGTGCCCAAGCCAGCACGTTTCTCCTGGGCGTCCTCCGCCTCCCCCTCAGCTGTGCTCCACCTGAAGGATGCCTGGGAGGGATGTGCATAGCTGTCAACCTTTCCTTTTTTTGCAGGAAATTCCCTTATTTCAGTGCCTTTTCCTGCTGCTTCCTGCTGCTATCCCGGATTGTTAGATATCCCGTAGGTGAGGCTGCTGATCCCTTATTTTCAAATCTGAAAGTTGACAGCTATGGGGATGTGGCAGCTTGGGTGTCAGCCCCGCGCTGCTGCTGCTGCTGCTGCTGCTGCTGCTTCTTCTTCTTCTTCTTCTTCTTCTTCTTCTTCTTCTTCTTCTTCTGATCATTTTTATTTTAGAAGAAGAGTTTGGATTTGATATCCTGCTTTATCACTACCTGACGGAGTCTCAAAGCGGCTAACATTCTCCTTTCCCTTCCTCCCCCACAACAAACACTCTGTGAGGTGAGTGGGGCTGAGGGACTTCAGAGAAGTGTGACTGGCCCAAGGTCACCCAGCAGCTGCATGTGGAGGAGCGGGGAAGCGAACCTGGTTCACCAGATTACGAGACTACCGCTCCAAACCACTACACCACACTGGCTCCCAAGCCCCGCGCTGCTTTTGTGGGCAGCGTGGGATCAGCGCATGCAGGCCACATCCCCCTCAGCCCCCCTCCAGGTGGAGTGTGCCAGTGAGGGACGCAGCTCTGGAGGCCAAACCCAGCATGCCTTACCCTGGCATGTCCCGCCTGCATGGTGTGGTGTGTGCGTGCTAGCATGCACCACAGGTGCCACTGGAGCTCCCTACACCACTGGAGGACACCTGACTTGCACCCCCTAAAAAAGCATGTGACTGGGGCTATGCCCCCCGGTCCTCTCCACCCTGCTTGCCTGGATGAGAGGCAGCCACTGTCAAGCACCAGCCCTGCGTGATGCTCTGGCTGGGAGGGACAGCAAAAGGGCAGAGTTTCCTGGGCAGGGAGAAAGGTGGAGCAATGGGCAAGGAATATTGATTAAAAATTATGGTCAGAGGTGAAGAAAGATCTAGAAATATGGTCAAAATTGAAGTTATCATTGCTTGGCCGAATTGCTGCGATAAAGATGAATGTACTGCCTAGAATGTTGTTCTTGTTTCAAACATTACAAATTGTGGACAAAATGGACTGTTTCAAGAGGTGGCAAAGAGACATTTCCAAATTTATCTGGCAGGGCAAAAACCTAGAATAAAATTTAAGATATTAACAGATGCAAAGGAAAGAGGGGATTTGCCCTGCCAGATCTTAAACTTTACTATGAATCAGCCGCTTTTGCTGGCTGAAAGATTGGCTACTTCTTGAAAACGTGGACATTTTGGATTTAGAAGGTTTTGACAACGTTTTTGGATGGCATGCATATTTATGGTATGATAAAGTTAAAGCGCATAAGGCCTTTAAGAACCATATTGTCAGGAAAGCATTGTTTAATGTTTGGGTGAGATATAAGGACTTGTTGGAAAGTAAAACACCAAGGTGGCTATCACCAATGGAGGCAAAGGCATTGAAAAAACCAATATGGAGACAAACTGGCCAAAATATTGTGAAATTTTAGAACAAGTTGGAGATAAATTAAAATTGCAGAGTTTTGACAAATTAAAAACCAAAGTCAGAGATTGGTTGCATTATTATCAAATAAGGGAGGTTTTTAACTTAGATAAAAAGATTGGCTTCCAGGAGGAAAAATCTAAACTGGAAACGGAATTGTTAGAACCTAAAACTAAAAATTTGTCAAGAATGTATAATTTGCTGCTGAAATGGAATACACAGGATGAAATGGTTAAATCTGCTATGATTAAATGGGCGCAGGATGTTGGGCATAACATTATGTTTGCTGACTGGGAACGGTTATGGACTACAGGTATGAAATTTACGGCTTGTAATGCTTTAAGAGAAAACATAATGAAAATGATTTACAGGTGGTACTTAACCCCAGTCAAGCTAGCAAAAATTCATCACTTGCCTGATAATAAATGTTGGAAATGTAAAGAAAACGAAGGTACTTTCTTTCACCTTTGGTGGACGTGCCCAAAGATCAAGGCATTCTGGTAAATGATATACAATGAATTAAAAAAGGAATTGAAATATACTTTCTTAAAGAAACCAGAGGCCTTCCTCTTGGGCATGGTCGGCCAATTGGTGCGAAGGGAAGATAGAACTTTTTTTATGTATGCGACAGCAGCAGCAAGAATACTCATCGGGAAATATTGGAAGACACAAGAATTGCCTACCCGAGAAGAATGGCAGAGAAAAGTGATAGACTATATGGAACTGGCAGAGATGACTGGAAGAATTCGAGATCAAGAAGAAGGGTTGATGGAACAAGATTGGAAAAAGTTTAAAATATATTTACAGAATCACTGTAACATAAAAGAATGTTAGGAAAGGTTGGAGAAGAAATATTAGACCGTATTGGCAGACAGAGTATAATGGAATTAAGTAAATATAAAGTGTAAACTAAAGGATAGAGGAGAATTAAATATTTTTGAATGTTAAAATGTTAAAATAAGTGAATGAAAAGAAGGTTAGAAGGATTTGCTGGAGATACAATTTGAATTAGAATACAAAGCAGAGAAGTGAGAGGAAGTCACGGAAATAAGTAAATGGGAAAACGGTTTGTTAAATTTGAATTCTTTTTTTCTTGTTATTTTTTATTGTGATTTTTGATTTTGTGTATTTTTTCCTTTTTCCTTTTTTTTCCTTGTATGGTGTGTATCTTTTGTAAGATGTATGTGACTGATTTTCTTGTTTTGTTTGTTCTTTCTTTTTTGTAATTTTAAAACTTGAATAAATATTCTTAAAAAAAAAAAAAAGGAATATTGATTAAAAATTAAAATTAAAAAGTGCTTTGTGCACCCTTTTTTAATCTTGCCCCTTTCTAGAATTTATTTATTGCTGTGTGTTTTTCTTTTTGTAAATCTCCCAAAGAATAAAACAGAACTGGGATTAAGGGGTTTCTCAGGACGATGGAGTGTGTGTGTGTCCTATGTCCCGTTGGTGTAGCAGTGGTGACGATCGCCCTTCTTCTGATAGGAGGACACACACAAAAATGGTAGGCGGAGTAGGGTCAGTTGTGGGGAGAGTGAGAAATGTCCCTATTTTGTCTGAGGAATGTTGGGGTATGTAACCAGTAGCCAGCTCCTGCAAGAGGAAGCTTGTAAGCTTTGTGTGTAGTCTTAAGTATTACTATTAGTACAGTGGTCCATCGGGTTACAGACGCTTCAGGTTACAAACTCCGTTAACCCAGAAATAGTACCTCGGGTTAAGAACTTTGCTTCAGGATGAGAACAGAAATCACATGATGATGGTGTGGCAGCGGCGGGAGGCCCCATTAGCTAAAGCGGTACCTCAGGTTAAGAACAGTTTCAGGTTAAGAACGGACCTCCAGAACAAATTAAGTTCTTAACCAGAGGTACCACTGTATTACTATTACTATTACTATTACTATTACTATTACAAGAGGGACTCTTACCCACTTGGAGATTCAAGCCCTACACCTGGAGGGGGCTAGGAAAACCTAGAGACTGGAGCTCTGGCAACCATATCAGGAAATTCACAGATAAGACATGACTAGGATTGCTATATTTCAAACTCTGAAAATCCGCCAGAAAAAGTATGGCAATTTTTTTTAAAAAGGTTTTGCGCTTTTTGAGTTTTTGAGCCCAAAACGACACCGCCGACGTGGGTTGCCATACACCTGGATTTTCCCAGACGGTTTAGCAGTTTCCACCTGGACACTGCTTCCAACTGCAGTATTCCAGATATGTCTGGGAAATTCTGGATGTGTGGCAACCCTGTGGGCATGACGGCAGGGGCCTTCTGCTGTTGCTGCCCATCAACTGAGGGCTCATTCACACTTCCGTTTGTCCCTTGATTCCTAGTCATGGGTCTGAGCCGTTTATCTTTTGCCCCACCGCTTTCCCCAGAAATACCCACTGTTTACTGCTGAAATGGAACAAACATAAATCAGCAGAAAACCCGGTCGACTTTCGCTCTGATTCTGCAGTAAACCAAGGGTTTTCCTGGGGAAAGTGGGAGGACAAAAGAAAAACCTATTGGACCCATGCTTAGAAACCAAAGGACAAACAGAAGTTAGAGGCATATGATGATACACAGCTTCATTTAGCAGTACAATGGTACCTCAGGTTACAGACGCTTCAGGTTACAGACTCTGCTAACCCAGAAATAGTACCCCGGGTTAAGAACTTTGCTTCAGGATGAGAACAGAAATCACGCGGTGGTGGCATGGTGGCAGCAGGAGGCCCCATTAGCTAAAGTGGTACCTCAGGTTAAGAACAGTTTCAGGTTAAGAACGGACCTCCGGAACGAATTAAGTTCTTAACTTGAGGTACCACTGTACAAGGAGTGGGGCAGAGATTCCCTCTCAACATAGTGTTGTTGTTGTTGTTGTTGTTGTGTTGTTGTTGTATTCATATCCCACATTTCCCCTAGACTCAAGGCAGCTTACACAAATGAAAGCCAATGATTTTTACACTTGTTCTTATCCAAAACGCTGAGAAGCTATTAAAACCAGTGTGTTTTCTTTAAGATTCATGATGGCAGGTGCTGCACAACTGCCCAACTGCCCACTGCAGTGGACACTTCTGCATTCTAGTCCCCAGCATAATTCCATACTGGTAGAAGTCTAAAAAGCCATAGAAACAGACTAGAAAGCAAGCAGACTTGCTCCACAGAGAGCTCCCTCACTACAAGCATAGCTACAGGAAGATGATAAGGAAGACTATACAGTATTCTCTATTGAAGAAGGCTCTTGCCTTTCTCCTGCCACTTTGTAGCATCCATGGAAATTAATAAAATGTGTGTCTCATCAGAAGAATGTTTCCTAGCTCAAACAGTGCATGCAGTGTTGCTTTGGTTTGGTCAGGCTTACCTGGAGTCAGACATGGCAGCAAGAGCTTTGCCTTGACCCACCTGAGATGGCCTTGCAGCCCACCTGGTGGTCTTGACCCACTGTCTGAAAAGCTATGCTCTGCACTGATCAGCAGTGGCTGTGGGCTTCTAGGGTTTCAGATGAGGGCCTCTCCCAGCTCTGTCTGGAGACGCCAGGGACTGAACCTGGGACCTTCTGCATGCAAAGTGGGTGCTCTGCTTCTGCCTATGGCCCTTACCCTCCTTGAGATCATTTAGCCAACTGGCAACATTCAGAGCCTGGTGATTCTGGATTTCATTTTTCCTGCCAACCTTTTGACTCAGTGGTGGTGGACTGTTTTGCATTAGAGTAAAATTACCAGTGTTTTTCAGGAGGGATTCAAGTGCATACGGTTTAATTTAGATTTGTGCAATTAAAGCTATCTGTCTCACTAGCTTAACGATTTCACCCCTTTTATCAGACTATTTGCAGTTACAAACATTGCAGGGAAAAGCACAAAAAACTGGGTTGACCAAAGGAGGTCCCTTCTAGGTTGGTGGTCCCTGGTCCCCCCCCCCCCCAGCAATATACCATCGGCATAATAGTAAATTAATGATGGATTTGTACTGGAACATCCACACATCATTCTGCTTTGTTAGTTGTTCTGCAAGACTTCCCCTATGTCACCACATTCTTGCTGTCTTGTGCTATAGGGCAGCAAAGGTGTGACATCCCGCCCCTTTGGAACATTTGTAGTATAAAAAGTTACAGGTTTCAGCAGGAAGTTGCGGAACATGCACCAACGGGAAGCACAGAAGCATGTCTGTCCAAAAACTTTTGCAAATGGTATTGAAAGCAGGATTGTGTATATCCATCCTGAGGCCATCATGAGCACAAATAATCATGAATGCACAATTAAAAGCATACCTGGTGGAGGAGACTTGATAGGAGGAAGACGTGTAAACACCCTGCAAGCAAATCAGGATGAATGCAAGATGCACACTCATTGTTCTAATGCTGCTCTGGAAACAAATCCGAACAAATGCTCAATAAAGACTGGACATGGTCTAATCCCACTGTAAGCTGTGTGCAAGCAAAGCAGCATGAATGCTCAATAAACATGCTGTCTGGAAGTAATCTGGGGTGTCAAAACCAGGGTTAGGTGGCTTCATTGTTTCAGATGAATTAACACAGATCATTGTGATATTGCGTGCATCTGTAGCATCAGTGCATGCTGGCAGTCAAAAATTCTGCCACCCAAATCTGTCTCACAGACAAGAGTGTGCAGACAGAGAGCCTCAGGGGGTGACAAGAGCCCTAGTTCTGTGGCAGAGCACATGCTCGGCATGCAAAATGTTTCACGTGCACACACACACTCACATGCAAACGCAGACACCTATGTTTCGGTGTGCTGGATGAATCCTCTCTTGCCTTTATACTTCAGCATTAATCAACTTACCTGGATGACCAAAGAGGCCCAGCTTGCTTCTTGGGTTTGGTTGCCTGCTTCTGGTACTCCATCCAGCCGCTCACAAGCTCGTGGATGATCATCAGATAAAGGAGGAAGATGAGGATGGCCGGGTCCATTTGGGGCACTTCTGGGTCTGCTTCATTGGGCCCGGGGGACATGGATGCAATGGAGCAAAAGGCAGAGGAGGGATAATTCTTGTCTGCTCTTCCTTCTCTGTCTGGCAAACAGGAGGAGTGGGGATGCAAAAGCAGCTGTCATAAATGATGGCTTGCTGGCTGGGACCGTGCAGAGTGATTTACTGCTGTTGGAGGCAGGAGACAGGTGCTTTCCATGCCGCTGAGCAGCTCTGATGTGGCCGCACATGTTGTCTCCGTCTGCCCCTCTGCCTCCACCACCACCTCTCGTCTGTCCGCAGGCTGGCTCCTGTCCTCCGCTCTGGTGCTATTTACTGCATCGTTCTGCGGATGCCTGTGCAGGCAGACGCAAGAACAAAGGAGCGTTTTGCATGTTTCTTGAGACACAAAACAAGCTTGTCTCCAGATCAATCCATTGGGAGGAGCAGGGGCAGAAAAAGCACCGGTTAGCTGCCTCCCTTACGGTGCTGCAGGGGTCCAAAGCCAGCTTATCAGGAGGACCTAGACTTCTACGGACATTAGCCTTCTGCAAATATTTTGCAGAGGGGTAGCCATGTTCGTCTCTTGCAGCAAAAACTACAGAGTCTTAAAGACTAATGAAGGTTTGGGAAACGGAGTTCTTATAAGAAGAATGGCTACGTTTCCGGATTCACCACCGAGGCAGGAAAACGCTGGCATTATTCTCTCGCCTCTCTTTGTGTTTAGTATGGTGATCGCCTAAACAATGTACTGCGAGTTTAAATCTGGCTTTGTTCACACCCTTACACCCACAGATTCAGTCAAACTCCTGAGTCTTGCTCCAGTCTTACTTTTGACTGTCTAATAAGGATTGAGAAGAAATTCAGTTCAGTTTGCATTTAATTTGCACTTTTCAAAACAATTCAGGAGCTGGAACATAGCAATTCTTCAAAATTTACAGCTCCTTGAATTTTGCAGTGCGGTTCTCTAGCCAAGTAAACCATGTGAAAATGGAAAACTGAAGTAAAGTGCGCATTAAAATGCATAATTGCTTAAAATAACATTCAAAAGTGCATTATATTAAGCAAAATTGCTTGTCATAGTGTATAGTAGGTCAAACTGCATATAATAATTTGTACATTAGGAGAAATTTGCTGATAAATTTTCATGAGGCCTTAAAAAAAAAAGGAAGGAAATTGCAAAGTGATGTGGAAGTGTGGAGAATTGAATTTAAGACTGGAAACATGGGAAACTGGGAGAAACCAAAATTGACGAAGCTGCCCATCCCTACTTCCTAATGATTATATTGGCATTCTTTATTCACAATGCTCTAGGAGGAGGAACAGGTTATAAAATAGAATTTTACATAAAGTTACCAGATTTTTTTCAATGAATCCAGGGACACAATATATATATATATACAATTTTTTCAAAAAAAAAGAAAAGAGAGAGAGAGGGGAATAGTTATGAAAAACAAAAATAAAGAAGTAATATCTTCTCTTCTGTGGTCTCCTCTGTTGCGTGGCCTTCCTCTGGGTCCTGGCCTTTCTTGGAGCACTAGCCGTGCTTCCCCCCTCCCTCCCTCCCTCTCCCTCCTTGCACTGCGATCCCCTACAGGCTTACTCAGGAGTAAGCATTAGCAGAAACCCCCTCCTTCTGCTGCTGCCCTGCCCACCTGTCTGGGCATCTGCTGCACAGGCATCGTCCGGTGGCCGCCCATCCATGCCGTGGTGCGCCCAGTCAGTGTGTCCGGGGCAGAGCCGGTGGTGAGCGAGTGGGAGGAGGCACACTTGGGCCGGATCAGCTTGTCTCCTGCTCGCCTCTCGTCTGCAATGGCCAACGACGAGCTGTCTGAAAAGCTGAGCCACTGCTTGCAAGTTGAGGAGCACAATGGCAAAGCCAAGCAGCAGCCACAGCCGCCCAAGCACCACCTGGAGGCCAAGCCAGAGCCAGAGCTGCCAGTCTTGGACAGTGGCGCCAATGGCAAGCTGAGCACCAAGTTGCAGTGGCGCACCAAGCTCAACGACCCTGCGCAGCTCTCGCCCAGCGGTGGCGCCTAGCAGCGTGTCTTCAGCTCCTACACCGAGTCCCCATATGATGTGTCTTGTGCGCAACACATCATATGGGGACTTCCAGAGAGGAAAAATGGCGGGTGCCACAGCAGTGAGCAGCTCCTGAAGCCAACCACAGCCAACTGCACTACCAGGCTGGCTCCAGGCTGCTGAGACTGCTGCTGCAACCGCTGCTGCCACATTTCCCAGGGACATTAGATGAAATCTGGGGATGGAATTTGTCCAGGGACAAATTTGCAAATCTGGGGACTGTCCCTGGAAAACGGGGACATCTGGTAACCCTAGTTTTACATGGAAATTAGTTCCAACCCAAGAGAGTTTTGCCTGTTTAGGAGCACTTGTTGCATCAAGCCACTCGTTATATAAAAGAAAACAGTCTAACTAACACACCATTACATATGCCATACCTATAGTGCGTATGAAAGAGTTAAGGCCTTTCCTATAATAGACTTCTGCAGTATAAACTGTAAGCATCAATACCTAAGTATTTTGGTTACAGCTGTATCTATTGTGGTATGCACATGTTCATGTGCTGGCTACTTCAGGAAAACTTGAATGTACATATATATATTATTATATGTATAATAATGCGCTTATAATTACACTTATAGTAATGTGTATAACAATGCAGGTAATATGCAGAAAGGGACGCAGGTGGCGCTGTGGTCTAAACCACTGAACCTCTTGGGCTTGCCGATCAGAAGGTCAGTGGTTTGAATCCCCAGCTCCTGCCAACCTAGCAATTCAAAAGCACGTCAAAACTGCAAGTAGATAAATAGGTACCTCTCAGGCAGGAAGGTAAACGGTGTTCCCGTGCGCTGCTCTGATTTCACCGAAGTGGCTTAGTCATGCTGGCCACATGACCCGGAAAAACTGTCTGCGGACAAACACTGGATCCCTCGGCCTATAGAGCGAGATAAGCGCTGCAACCCCAGAGTCGTCTGCGACTGGACTTAACTGTCAGGGGTCCTTTACCTTTACCTTAATATGCAGAAATTGTTTGATTGGAGCCAGTGTGGGGAATGAGTTGCTTCTCACTGATATCTAGTACAAGACAGGAATGTGGGGGGCGGGGGAGTCTGTGTGGATAAGCTGGCCACAGATATTTTTTAAAAAAAATCCCACTGCTACTCCAGATGCAGGCTGCATTTAAAACATACGGATCTCCCCACTGCCACTACCAATCAATCTTGGGAATTGTAGCTTTCTTAAAGTTGCTCAGAATTGTAGCTTTGTGAAGATAAGTTACACTTCACAAGATTCTCTGGGGTAAGCGTTTTGCTTAAACACGCCAGATTCTTGCAATGCTTACAGCGTACTTGGAAGGTTTGTTCAGTTATTATGCCCAATATGGGAATGAGGAGGCGGGACTCAGAGACAATTGTTTACCTGAGGCACTACAGAGCCCCAGGCGACACTTGCAGACCCTTCCCGTATGTTCAGCAATGTGCGTAATAGGAAGGTACATCCTGAGGTTTTGCTCCTCCCATCCCAATGGGGACACATTTGGAAGCAGATGACATGAGCAATCCATGCGCTGCTGCCACCACTCCCAGCACCACCCACCTGCTCTGCCACTGCTGTTTGCCTTGCTGTGTCTGCTACTGGTAGAGCAGCGGTGCAAATTTCAGGCAAGACCATGCTAATTTCAAGATCTCGCCCAAAATTATGTGAGATATTGTATGCTCCACAAGATCTCACGCAACTTCAGTCAATATCTCAACCAAAATGGATGTGCTATGGCCCCAAACCGGTGTTTCTTCGCCGTTGGTAGCAGGGCACCCACAGGGTTGTTGGACAATCAAGCCAGAGGCCTACCTAGTCCAGCTTCCTGTTCTCACAGTGGTCAACCAGATGTCCCAGTGGGAAACACTTGCAAGCAGGACCTGAGTGTAGCAACACTCTCCCCACATGCGAATCCCAGGAACTGAGCATTCAGAGACTGAAATATACTCGAGAGTGGATGTCATGCTCTTTATTCAGCTTTATTCAGCTCATAGTGCTGAGGAGGAATGGAGGTTCCCCCACAATATCTGCTTTATATACATTATTTACACAATGGGCTGCATGTGATCGGCTAATTCCGGGATTTTCCTGTAGGCCAATCAGGTTGTGCATTCACTTCCACCTGGAGCTGGATTGGGTGGCTCCTGCGGACCAATCACACTGCTGCATTGTTCTAGGACCAATCAGACTGCTGCATTTTGGATACTATTTTTCTAGGACCAATCAGACTGCTGCATTTTGGATCCTATTCAACTCAGTACATAACAGAGACCTACTGCCTCCAGAAATGAAGGGTAGAATGTAGCCATTATGGCTGGTAGTAGTATATTTCATTTATTTTCCTGCTGCTCCCTTTTCTGGGGCGGGGAAACTTTGTGTGGAGAGGGGGAAAGTTTTTTTTAATTAAAAAAATGAATTATGTGACGTTTAAGGGGACCCAACTGTATGCGTGGAAAGGGGCTAATCCAGGAGCAAAGTTTATAAACAGAGAAACAGAGTACCACATGGAAAGAAGTTGGAATCCGGTTCCCATAGCAACAAAGGCAGTTGCCAGGCTACCTGAGAAAGGTATAACTGGCAGCATCCTTGCTCCCATTGTGCAAGTGGTCCCCCTCATGGCCCAGTTCCGCCCATGGATTCTGCTGTTGTTATTAAGTCTCTCCTTCAGTCTTGGCAGTGAAAGCAGCAACCTGCCCAAGGTGAGTGAGGACAGCATCAGTATTTTTGTTAAACATAGGAAGTGTTCTGCTTCATCACTCCAATGACCCATCTAGTCCAGCAGTTATCATAATGGCCAACCAGATGTCTTTGGGAATCCCATTAACTTACAGAATATGATTACGGTACTTCACTGAAGGTAGGCAAATTTTAACCATAAAAATATCACAATGGTCTGTTGATGCCTCTTCTTTTTAGATCAGGGATGGAGAAGCCCAGAGGCCTCTCTAACTGGCCATGAGGACCCTCCCTGAGCCACATCCCTTACCAACCCCTGCTTCACACCTTCCTGTATCATTTGAGTAAATGGAACATCTGTGTGTTTGCCCTGAAGGTCCAACCCTGAGCGCACCGCTGAGTTTATTTCCAGGACCATTCTTAAATGTTTCTGCTTCTACTTCTGGATGTCCATTCGCCCTCACTTGGGCACTATCTGATTTTAAACTCTTCATTCTTCTTTCGAAACAGGGATGGGTGATACATTTGCCGTGTCAGTTTAGCCAGAAAGCAAACAACTTCTCTCAGGAGAGAGGGAATTGGAGTGGCTCATTTTCTAAACTAATGCAGGGGGCTTATGAAATCAGTGTGGGACAGTATTAATAAGATATAAATGTAGGAAGGTGGATGGGTGGATAGTCTTGTGATGCGACAGGTCAAGGGGACGGAATGTTCATTGTTTGAAAGCTCTACCCCTCTATCTGATCATTGTGGTGCCATTGGAAGTACCTTTTCCCTTTAAGCTGCCCCTTGTCACCCACCCTGGCCACCTTTCCTACACATGAGCAGGTGTCTGCTTCTCAGATAAGGAAGCCAATTCTGTTCCTCACAACGGATGCGATCTTAGAATGAGCAGATAGGGACAGAAAGAGTGACTGTCACTCAATGAATCTTAGCTGGTTTATTTATCGGTTGTATTCAACTAAGTCCTGCTCAGACTGAATAAAATTATTCACCCTAAGCTATTCATGCCTATTACCTTCAATGGTCTACTCTGAGAAGGAGCATCATTGAACACCTATTCATTCATTCATTCATTCATTCACAAAACCAGCTTGCAGTCACATAACACAGACTTCATTTGCAACAACAGCAATCACAAAACAAACATTTTATAACAGCAGTCTAACTGTGATTAGAAAAGCTAAACAACAGGAGTTAAGAATAAAACCTAGCACAGCACTTGAACTGAAGAAACGAAATACAGTAATTAACACTGAAACAAGAAGAAATGTAGACCAGTTTTAAAAAACTATTTTAAAATTTATATTAATGAAAACTTATTTTATTACTTGTTATTTTATTATTACACCTATATCCCACCTTTTCTGCAAGTAGCTCAATGTGGTTGGTTACACACTTCTCCCCTTCTGCCTTATATCCTCAGAACAACCCTGTGAGGTAGGGCAGACTGGGAGAGAATGGCTGCCCCAAGGTCACCCAGTGAGTTTTGTAGCTGAGTGGGGATCTGAACCCCAGTCTCCCTAGTCCTAGTCCAGCACTCTAACCACCACACTGGCTCTCTCTTATTAATCCGTTTTAACCAATTACATCTGCATTCATTTGCATATGAATCAAGACAAGACTGTTAAGAAATAATGATACATTCTGTGTTTTTAGACAGTGCATGTATGTCACAGCAGATGCCTCTGTAGAGAGGGAAGAGTGGTAATCTCTTCTGTTCCATCTGCAGTTTTCAGAAACACTTGTGTTAAAAACAATTAACATTAGCAAACAAAGGATTGCTTCCAATGTTAGTCACATTTGGAATAGGCCCAATTAAATTAATAGACATGGCTTAGATCTGCCCAATCGGCCTCCTCTGAGTATAACTTAGTTCAGGGGTGGGGAACAGAATAATAGAATCACAGAATGGTAGAGTTGCAAGGGATCCTGAGGGTCATCCAGTCCAACCCCCTGCAATGCAGGAATCTCAACACATGGGGCCCCATCCAATTTGAAACCATACAGGACCCTGCTTAGCTGGGTCAACTATGAGAGGTGGACAGGGGCAGCTCACCTGTTCATCTTCTGACATGATGATGACATCAGGTGGCTATTGGGTGGGCAGTCCCACCCATCTGTGAAAGTTGACCCATGGAGAGGTATCAGCTTTGATGGTGCATTCCTTGCTAATGCACAGAGACATCAATCCTGCTCTCTGCTTTGCCAGTGCATTTCCCTCATGGGATCCACTGACGAAGCTGCACCAAGCAGGATTGAACCCTGCCCCGCCCTGCCTATCAGCCAATGTCATCCAGTAATGTTGTCCGATTGACCAATGTCAAGTGGGCCTCCTGCCCTAGAGGAGTCCCAACCACCACCATCACCAACTCAGCTTAGTACAACCCAAAAGCAACATGTTGCCTGCTGATTTGGAGATGCCCTTTGAGTTGATTACAAAGGCTTTTAATTAATTAAGTTCCATTTATTAAACATTTTGGCCCAGATAAGAAGTCAATCCCCCTTTCTGTCTACCCAGTGGGTTTGATTGGGTCATGGGCACAGTTCTGAGACCAAGAAGCTAGACCAGTTTTTCCCAACCTCATGTTGTGGCCTCCCATTTATGCATTTTTCACCTGTAGTCCCCTTGGAATATACTGGGGGCCCCCAGGGGGCCACGTGGTCCCCAGCTTGGAAACACAGTTCTAGACCACACACTTATCGCAGGACAGCACAACCAGTTTGCTGAATGGTTGCAGGAGGGTTGTGTTTTCTCTTTCTTACTCCAGGCCGTCTACATAGCAAGGAGACATTCAACCAAACATGCAGAGGAAAGCTCCCACAGAACTACACAGCCAATCAGAGCACATGATACCTTACTAGAGATCATGCTACATTTTCTGACTGCTAAGCCATTCCTCCACCATCACTCCTTAAGTAGTTTACAGAGAACAGAATTAATACCCTAAATTACAACCTAAACGATCCCTGCTGCTGCATTTCCAACAATAGAGAGGCTGTGAGGACCGCTCATTCATTCCCTGAGCCTAAGGCTCCCCATTCCTTTGTTAGAAAGCATACTTTTGCCAGAACCTCCTCTTGCCCTATTGTGCTCAGGTGCTCATTTCTTTCTCCCTCCCCTCCCTGCTGTTCACATAATCGCTCCCATCTTTGCAAACAGGTCACTGGGTACCCAAATGTACGGAGGAAGTCTAACGAAAGTTGCCCAGAAGGCAAAAAGCAAGCCCACCATGGTGGAACCCAGCTCAGCACAGATCATTAAGCAGCCACGGAAGAAGAAGAAGCGCATTCGGAGGCGGCGAATAAAATCCTGCGGCTCCCAACGGCAAAGGACCAAGCGCACCAGCAAGCTCAAAGTGCAAGGCAGAAGCTGCTCAGCCTTTAGGTAAAGGGCCGCCTCTCATTGGCTTCTCCCCATCTACAACTCTTCACAAATGGCACCTAATACCTGCACTGCATCTGTAAGAACTCAATTGTATTGTGTGGCAGCACCAACCCTTTGGAACTCCCTGCCTATTGATACCAGGCAGGCACCTTTGTTGTATTCTTTTTGGAGCCTGCTGAAGACATTCTTATTTAGACAAGCCTACCCAGATGTTTTAGGGACGTGGGTGGCGCTGTGGGTTAAACCACAGAGCCTAGGACTTGCCGATCAGAAGGTTGGCGGTTCGAATCCCTGCGATGGGGTGAGCTCCCATTGCTCAGTCCCAGCTCCTGCCAACCTAGCAGTTCGAAAGCACGTCAAAGTGCAAGTAGATAAATAGGTACCGCTCCGGCGGGAAGGTAAACGGCGTTTCCGTGCGCTGCTCTGGGTCACCAGAAAGTGGCTTAGTCATGCTGGCCACAATAGCTGTACGCTGGCTCCCTCGGCCAGTTAAGCAAGATGAGCACCGCAACCCCAGAGTCGGCCATGACTGGATCTAATGGTCAGGGGTCCCTTTACCTTTACCTTTTACCCAGATGTTTAGAAAGTTTAGAAACGGCGTTTCAATGCGCTGCTCTCATTCGCTAGAAGCGGCTTAGTCATGCTGGCCACATGACCCAGAAAAACTGTCTGTGGACAAACGCCGGCTCCCTCAGCCAGTAAAGCAAGATGAGCGCCGAAACCCCAGAGTCGTTCGCAACTGGACTTAACTGTCAGGGGTCCCTTTACCTTTACCTTTTTACCCAGGTGTTTAGAAAGTTAGCATGTAATTTTATTTGTTTTAGTCTGTTTTATTGCCATTTTAACTTTCTGTATGCTTTAAATTGTGGTTGTAAAATCTTTTAATGAAAATGTTATTGTTTTATCTCATTGAGGATATTTTTCCTCCAACCAAGCTTATTAAATAAAATAATGAATGAATGAATGCAGATGACATACTGCCTGGGAGTTAGGTCAAAATTTGGGATAATGGATCTGTTCCAAATCCTGGGTCAGGGGCTTGATAAAGCACATGATAAAACACATTTAACACACACTTAAAGTGCATCAGTTTCCCCTAAACAATACTGGAAGCTAGAGTTTCCCTCTCACAGAGCTAGAATTCCCAGCACGAGATGGGATGGCAACCCTTAAAATTCATGTAAAGGTGCTCTTGATAATGGCACACTTTGAGATTATGGAAGGTTGGATGCAGGGCACATTGGCCTAAAGGCTTTTGCTTTTGCCTTTTGTGGGAGTATTCTGCAACATGTCACTGACACAATAAGAGTGCATTAAAGGTAAAGGTAAAGGGAACCCTGACTGTTAAGTCCAGTTGCGGACGACTCTGGGGTTGTGGCGCTCATCTCGCTTTACTGGCCGAGGGAGCCAGCGTTTTTCCACAGACAGCTTCCGGGTCATGTGGCCAGCATGACAAAGCTGCTTCTGGCAAACCAGAGCAGCGCATTGAAATGCCGTTTACCTTCCCGCCAGAGTGGTACCTATTTATCTACTTGCACTTTTTGGCATGCTTTCAAACTGCTAGGTTGGCAGGAGCAGGGACCGAGCAACTGGAGCTCACCCTGTCACAAAGATTCGAACAGCCGACCTTCCAATCGGCAAGCCCTAGGCTCCGTGGTTTAGACCACAGCAACACCCATGTGCACTAATAGTGCATTAGTGGTGGGTTTATACTGGACCATCCACATGTCATTCCACTTTATTAGCTGTTCTTCTTCAGTGCTACTGCATTATTGTTGCTTATAAGCACAATAAAAACTGAGCAAAGTAAATAAAATAAAACGAACCAGAGCATTTGTGGTATGAAAACAAATGCAATAATTTCGGCAGGAAGTTACAGGACATGCACCGGTTGGAAACAAAGCAGCATGTCTGTCCTGGAACATTTGCAGCTATAAACAGTATTGAGAGCGGCATCATGAGTGCATGGTAAAAAGAGTGCCTGTTGTAATGCCAGGAGTACAGATGATTCCTAGTAGATGTTTATATGCTTTTTGTCTCTTTTGTCTTGTACAGGCTGCCACTCCAAAGCCAAGAGAGGTGTTGCTGTTTCAAGGGGGCCATAGTCAACTTCACTCCAGAACCCAAAGTTGAAATCCTTCCATTCAAGGTATCCAAACTACATGAATTATGACTACAGTTTCGACCCCAGAATGTCCCTATTTCTCCCTGCCAGTGCTGCCGCCGCCACAGCCCAGGGAGGAGAATGAGCCAGCTCTTGTCCCTAGCTGTGACAGTGAGGGAGCATCCTGTGGCCTCTCTGTGGCCTTTCTACGGTCGCGCTTGTCATACTCCTCCCTTGGGCAGCTTGTAGCAGCTGCTGGGGGGTGAGCAAGGAGGAAGAGAGGCTGCCACTGCTGAGGCCCAGCCCCATGTGCCAAGCTGGCTCTGAGGGGCAGGCAGAGGACAGGACTGCCCTGGGCAGGAAGAAAGAGGAGTGGAGCAGAGGGCAAGGATTCTTTTTCTTCAACAGTCTGGAGGCGGTTGGAGGATGGATGGCAGCCAAGAGATTGAGGTTGAATCCTGACAAGACAGAAGTACTGTTTCTGGGAGACAGTGGGTGGGCAGGTGTGGAGGACTCCCTGAATGGGGTAACTGTGCCGCTGAAGGACCAGGTGTGCAGCCTGGGAGTAATTTTGGATTCACAGCTGTCCATGGAGGCACAGGTCAATTCTGTGTCCAGGGCAGCTGTTTATCAGCTCCTTCTGGTACGCAGGCTAAGAACCTACCTGCCCACAGACTGCCTCGCCACAGTGGTGCATGCTCTAGTTATCTCCCACTTGGACTACTGCAATGTGCTGTATGTGGGGCTACCTTTGAAGGTGACCCGGAAACTGCAATTAATCCAGAATGCGGCAGCTAGACTGGTGACTGGGACCGACCGCCGAGACCACATAACACCGGTCTTGAAAGACCTACATTGGCTCCCAGTACGTTTCTGAGCACAATTTGAAGTGTTGGTGCTGACCTTTAAAGCCCTAAATGGCCTCGGTCCAGTATACCTGAGAGAGAGTCTCTACCCCCATCATTCTGCCCGGACACTGAGGTCCAGTGCTGAGGGCCTTCTGGCGGTTCCCTCACTGCGAGAAGCCACGTTACAGGGAACCAGACAGAGGGCCTTCTCGGTAGTGGTACCTGCCCTGTGGAATACCCTCCCATCAGATGTCAAAGAGGAGAACAACTACCAGACTTTTAAAAGACATCTGAAGGCAGTCCTGTTTAGGGAAGCTTTTAATGTTTAACAGACCACTTTATTTTAATACTTTGTTGGAAGCCGCCCAGAGTGGCTGGGGAAACCCAGCCAGATGGGCTGGGTATAAATAATAAATTATTAAATTATTATTAATTATTAAATTATTATAATAAATTAATAAATTATTATTATTATTATTATTATTATTATTATTATTATTATTATTAAAATCATTTATTTATTTATTTTACCAAAGAATAAAATAAAATCAGGATTAAGGGTTTTTTTTTAGGATAGTGGAGGGTGTGTGTGCTGTGTCCCATTGGTGTAGTGGTGGTGGAAATGCTCTGCAGGTGTGGGAGACAAAAAATGGGGGTCAAAGAGGGTCAGTTGGGAGCAGTGAGAAATGTTCCTATCTTCATCTGATTAATGTATCTGGGAATGGTATTGTTTAGGGGGGGCGTTGCTGCTGTTATTGATACTATTCTTTTATATCTTATCATATGTGGACATTGTACCATTTGGTTGTACTCTTTTTGATGTTGTTTTATTTATTGTTTATGACTTCTTTTTGTAATTAAGTTCCCCGCCGCCACCCCCCTGCATGTTGTAAGCGGCCTTGAGCATGGCTTTAACTATAGAAAGGCAGAAGGAAAAGAAAATTACTGTATTTTCCCGTGTATAAGACTATATCCCCCACACACATTTTTTTTTTTTTTAAGTTTAAAATTGGGGGTCGTCTTATACACGGAATGTTGCAATTATTTATTTCTTAATTTTGGGCTCAAAAAATAGGGGCCGTCTTATATATAGGGGCGTCTTATACACTGAAAAATACAGTATGTATGATTTATGTATGTATTAATGTACTTTCCCTTCGGAGGGCTTTAAAAGAGGATCAGACAAATTCACAGAGGAGAAGGCTGTCAATGGCTACACCACAATGGCTATCTTCCTGCTTCCCTGTCAGAGGCAGTATTGCTTCTCAATACCAGTTGCTGGGAAATGCAGGGGGGGGTGCTGTTGCTCTCAGGTTTTGTTTGTGGGCTTCCCAGATGCATCTGGTTGGCCACTGTAAGAACAGGATGCTCAGGACCAGCCCAAGATATTTTGGCCCTTTAGGCAAGCCGCAAAACAGTGTCTCCCTCTCCGCAAGGGAAGAAGGGATGAGTGAAGATCTATACTGGGAACAAGTGGAGAACAACCATCTGCATCAGGATCTGCTGCCCCGTGGATCCTGCTGCCTGAGGCAGTCCCCTCACCTTGCCTCATAGGTGGGCTGGCCTTGACGATGCTGGAGTAGATCCAGCAAGGCTCTTCTTAATGATTTCACCATTAAACAAACAAACAAACATTGCTTTGTTTTGTACATAATCCATTCTATTCCAGATTAGTGACTATAATGGGGGTTGTCTCATTCTGCTTGTATGGTATAATGCATTTATATTTATGTTTTAAATCTAAGTCAGTTGGCAACCTTTGAGTAACAAGCAACTAACAAGTCTAAGTCACAGGGATAACAATTTAATACTAAGTGTGGCAACACCAGTGCTCTGGAACTCCTGCCTATTGACGCCAGGCAGGTGCCTTGACTACATTGTTTTAGATGTCTGCTGAAAACCTTCAGCATGCCTATCCAGGGGCACAGAGCCATAGCAGCCAATCAGGCTTGAAGCTGGTTTAGATTTGTGATGCAGATGTGCTGTCCTGCTCCTCCTCATGTCTTCCTTTCCTTTGCAAATACGTACAGGGACATTTAAACATTCCTGGGGTGAAAGCTAAGGAGAAAGATGTGCCCAGCAAAAAAGTGGAGAGTTCTGAAAAACGAAAAAATGTTATCAGCATAAAAGAAAACCCAAGGTAATGCAACCACAAGACAGTGTTTTGAATAAATGTGTGGTGCTCTCTGGAAACTGTTATCACCATTGTTCTTAGCACAGGTGCATAAGAAGCTGCCTTGTAGTGAGTCAGACCATTGGTCCATCCAGTTCAATACTGACTACACTGACTGGCAGCAGCTCTCTCGGGTTTCAAATGGGGGTCTTTCCCAACACTACTTAGAGATGCCGGTGCCTGAACATGGGACCTTCTGTTTGCAAAGTGAGTGTTTTACCACTGAGCTACAGTGGTACCTCGGGTTAAGTACTTAATTCGTTCCGGAGGTCCGTACTTAACCTGGAACTGTTCTTAACCTGAAGCACCACTTTAGCTAATGGGGCCTCCCACTGCCGCCGCGCCGCTGGAGCCCGATTTCTGTTCTCAACCTGAAGCAAAGTTCTTAACCTGAAGCACTATTTCTGGGTTAGCGGAGTATGTAACCTGAAGTGTATGTAACCTGAAGCGTATGTAACCTGAACCATATGTAACCCGAGGTACCACTGTATAGCCCTTGGATAGAAGTTACCTGACAACATCTCCCTATTCTCAATGTCATTCTGAGATTTTATAATTCAAAAATCAATTTTAAGATTAATTTAAAGTTGCAACCCTGCATACCCAGGATGGGAATGGTGTCCCCTTTCAGAGCCCAGAATTATGAGAGAGGTGCCTGTACTCTTGTCACAGCAGCAAACTAAATTTCACAATGTCCTATAAAACTTTTAAAAGTCATCCTTAAAAGCTTTAATGACATTTCAAACTTTAATTAGCTGCTGTTGTGCAAAATGTGTGTCTGTTTCTAGGTGACTTTGCCCACAGTGTGTTGCTGTGAGGAAGGACCCTGTAGGTTAAATATTGTACCTGTCTCCTTCTGCTCCACACCCCAGGGCTAACAGCAACTTGGGGGGTGGGTATTTTGAGAAGGAAAACACAAAGGTTACACACCATCCTCCTCTTGTGCTACAGTTTTCATCAACATCAGAGGACTCCACTGGTGCTTTTAAGATTCTAAAAGCACACTGGGATATCTGATTACAGATCACATTTAACTCAATTCTAAAACCACACATTGTCTGTTGAACCATGACTGACAGATTAACACTCCATGAAGCTGCTGATAACATAGGGAGCTTATTGAGGGTGTTATATGCAGCTCCCTGTCAGGGCTCTTAACACAAGCCTGCAGCAAGACGGTCTCCTAGAGCCTGTACTCAAGGACTCCATGAGCATCTAACTCACTGTCCCTGTGCACAACATGATTTGCTTTACAGAAGTGCTTTTGACATCACCAGCCAGAAATAGCTCTCTGGTACATTTAACACAGTACGATTGCAAGGGTTCATCCACCCTTCACCTAGTCCTGTGCCTAGAAAGCACAGGGCTGAGTGGTTTTCCGCTTGCCGCATGCTTTCTAGGCATAGGTCCAAGCAGTTTTGCATTTGCCCCACAGCTTTGCCCTGGAAAACCCACTCTTTACTGCTGAATTGGAATAAGCAGCAAACCATGGGAAACCCAATTGCCATTTGGTCCACTTCAGAAGTAAACCACAGGTTTTCCTGGAGGAAAGCAGTGGCACAAGCTGAGTTGTGGATGAGCCCATACAGTCAACATCAAGAATGAATAGGTGGGCTCAACTTGAATGACAAGTCTTTCAATGTAATTTAATGCTTCCCTTCCTACATTCAATTCAATCCCTTTGTCTCCCATGCTGTCTGGACAAAAAGGTTGAAACAACCCAGCGCTGTGGAGAAGAGGCAATATCAGGCAGTCTCCGAATACCAGTTTATATATCCAGGTAAAACAAAACAAAAAGTAAACCCATTGGCTATCTATAGCTGAAACTGGAATGCTTTACAAAGACTGTCCCTGGACTTAGTATATTAAAAATGGTGATTGGCTGTTGCTGAGAAAACAACTCACAACTTAGAAGTGATAAAACAGAACAGGGGGGAAATGGACAAATGATGCACAATATGGTGGCCATTTATTCACTATGCAAATCAAACTGGTCTTCAAGATACTCTCCAAAGTATCTTTGTAGATATGGCTATCCTTAGTAGTATGGCTTGAAATGTATTTCCCCCCGGGAAGAACAATTTGTAATGGATAGAACAACTTTCATACTGTTCTCAGGACTTTATATGCTGGATATTTGGATTATCTGTTTGGATTACTAGGAATAATCTATGTTAATATGTGGCCGGATATTTGTAATGAGTGTGTATTATGTTATATATGTTACTATATATGTAAAAACCAATGAAGATTGTTATACAGTGGTGCCCCGCAAGACGAATGCCTCGCAAGAGGAAAAACTCGCTAGACGAAAGAGTTTTCGGTTTTTTGAGTCGTTCCGCAAGACGAATTTCCCTATGGGCTTGCTTCGCAAGACGAAACGTCTTGCGAGTTCTTGCGAGATTGTTTCCTTTTTCTTAAAGCCGCTAAGCCATTAATAGCCGCTAAGCCGCTAAGCCGTTAATAGCCGCTAAGCCGCTAAGCCGTTAATAGCTGCTAAGCCACTAAGCCGCTAATAGCCGTGCTTCGCAAGACGAAAAAACCGCAAGACGAAGAGACTCGCGGAACGGATTAATTTCGTCTTGCGAGGCACCACTGTATTTTAAAAAAATCACCCTTGGATCGACAGGACATTCACGTCTACCTCTCTGCTATGTAAGACTATTAAGTCCAGAGAGTCTCAAAGTATGCCTTGCTGTCAGACTGTTACCCTTTGAGTATAGCGCTCATTATGTTTTATAAATCTCTTTCCTCCGCAGGAAAGTCCGTTTACTATTGCACTGGCAAAAATGAAAACCAACAGCCTTGTACCCTCTCTACAACAAATGCAAGACATAAGCAATTGATCCAGAACCCTCAGTGCCAACAGGAGACAAAGAAAGCTCAAAGGTACAGTTAGGATTAGTTCCCATAAACTGAAACCCTGGGGAGCTTCTGCTTGTCAAGTGTAGGCAATTCTGAACTAAATGGACCAAAGGTCTGGCTCAGTATAAGGCAGCTTTCTATGTACCTGTGGCTAAGTTAGGGCTTCAGCTTGGTGGTAGAACATCTGCTTTGCATGCAGAAGGTCCCAGGTTCGTCCAATCCCCAGCATCTCCAGGAAGGACTGGGAATGGCTCTGGTCTGAAACCAGCTAGATACCAGCTAGTGTAGACAGTGAGCTAGATTATCTGATGCATTTAAAGGCAGCTTCCTATGTCCCGAAGCCTATGTAATGTATATGTATTAGTACTGGAATAAAGGCATGTTCATTTCCTCAGCTGCCCCTGCTTCCATTTCCAGTACCCTTCCTCTGCTGAATTTTGGATTGTAAGTCGTTCGGAGCAGCAGCTTAGAAAAGTGGCATGTGGGAGCATTGCTGCTTAGTGACAGCAATCCTCCTTCCTAAAAACAGAAGTTGGTTTGTACGGGAGGCAGTGGTGGCTGGTACCTGTTGAAACTGGTAGGGTGGAAGATGGGGAGCCCAACAGTAGGTGGCACCAGAGCCAATGATAGGCTGAGCTAACTAATTCTAGCTTTGCCCCATCCTCCTCCCTGCCGAATTTTACAAGAGCAACACTGACACAGAGGAGGAAACCGACACGCACCCTGGATTTGTAAGTATTTGGGCAAGTTGGGGCTGGCTTGGCAGACTAAGCTTGCTGGGGGTCAGTGAGCTATTTGCCCTAATGGACCAGTCCCCACTGATGGGAAGAAGGCATTCTGGCTACGTATCCTGGGCCCAAATCCAGTGAGCAGTTCACAAAAAAGAATTAGTGCAACGTCTCTCTGTGGTCCCCACACCCCCTTGCTTCTTCGTCTACACCTAGGGGAAAAGCAAGCACTGATACCAAATGCCTGATTGGCAGTGAGTTTCTGAGAAGCATGCCCCTGAACACCCTACCGCACGGACTTGCCAGCCTGACGTACAAAATCAACAAATTGGTGCTTGTCAACAAAAAGGCAGAGGCGTTCCCTGAACAAACCCCCGCAAGCCCAGCAGAGCAACAGCACGCTCCCGCAGTGCAGCAGCAGCCAGCTCCTGAAAAAGCAGTGCCCCCGGCAGACGTCTTCCGTGGGTACCCTGCAAGGAAAGGGGGCAAAGGAGGATGGAGTGGAGATATGGAGTATGACCTAGACTGGTTCATACAAGGAGGTGCTACGAATGCACCTACTGAGTCCCACGCGTGTCCAGGGAGCCCCCCGAAGCTGAGACCCGTGTCGGCAAAGGATTGCTATGAAGGATTTTCTCTGACCCAACTCTTCAGCAGCAGAGAGAAATGGAATGGTGAGACTTTTGGAGAAGTGGACACCACTGGAATCCAGCCGGGCCTTGGCGCGAGCAGGAGAGCTGCTATCACTCATGCCCGGAGCGCCATTGTCATCCCATATATCAGCCAGGACTCCTCCAGCGAAGGCAACTGACACCATGGGTCCCCAGGTCCCACCCACCCCTGGCATGTAACCATTTGCCAGCCTGCAGTGAGGGAGGATGTGGCTGGGATGCTTGCACCGCATACCCATGAGGGAAAGGGCCAGATAAACTCTTTTAAAGTCATGAGGAGCTGGAGGTGCAAGCCCCCAGGGACTGACACCTGGTGGACTTTGGATGCAGAAATCCCAATTTCACTGTCAGATCTAGCTGAACAAGGACAATGTTGGGGCAATTTTTAAAAAATATACTCTAGACACGTGAAAGGCTTGACAATAGCAGCAACAATAAAATGTTATTTCACAAAACTATTTTAATATATATATATATATATTTGAGAATGAAAGCAAGGAGTCTAGCTCAGTGTTCTTCAACCTTGGGATCACTGGATGTTCTTGGACTACAACCCTAACCCTAACCCTGGTTTTAGGGCTAAGCTGGCCAGAGATTATGGGAGTTGTAGCTCAGGAATATCTGCAGACCCAAGGGACCAGAATAGTGGTCCACCTAATAAGTAGCAAATGGGTAGAAATAGCAAGGCTGAACATTAGGAGGGACTTCCTAGTACCACAAGCTGTTTGACAGTGGAGCTGCCTGCCTTGGGAACTGGAGATACCAACTAAAGCTGGACAGTCATCTGCCAAGGATGCTATAGCTGCATCCTATATTGGCTTGTAAGACTAGGAGTTAATTCTTTGCAGCTTAGCTTAGAATACTTGGTAGAGGATCATTTGTCTATTCAAGGACCACGGGAGAGAGAGAGAGAATTAAGAACTATGGCTCCAATTCAGAGGGGTGCATGGAACACTGGCAGTGGCGCTTCTTTTTGTGTTTCCTTGCCAGTACCACAAACTCACCTAGGGCTACTTCAAAGCTTGTGGGTCATGACTTTGGCACTTTAAACTGCCTTCCTGCTCTGTATCCAGGAAGACGCTTACATGCACTTCTCACTGAAGATGCACTTTGCCATTGCCTTTGATACCCGAGGTATTTTCAAGGTGACTGTGATTTGTTTTAAGTTTTAAAATATTGAATTTGAAATTATTGTAACCTGGAGTTGCTGTTGAAGGGCAGTTAATAAACACCTTCAAATAAAGGGCTGTCACATGGATGATGGATCAAGCTTGCTTTCTGCTGCTTCAGAGGGCAGGACCTGGACCAACAGATTCAAGGAGTTTCTGACTTAGCTTTAGAAAGAACTTCCTGGGGATCAGAGCTATCTGACAGTGGAACACAGACTCCCTTAGAAGGTGGTGGACTCTCTCCTCCACTGAAGCTTTTTAAACCAAGGTGGGTGGTCATCTGCTATGGGTTCTTTAGCTGCAATTCCTACATTGTAGTGGGTTGGACTAGATGACCCCTGGGGTTCCCTTGCAACTCTACAATCCTATGAATAATGATGCCACCTCCTCCCAATAACCCTCACATGTTTCTAGATAGGCACTTGCTGGTAGCCTTTTTTTAAAAAAATGATATTTATTAAGAATTTTAAAATTACAGGAAAAACAAAGAGAAAAAGAAGGAAAGAAACAAAAAAAAACACAAAAAAAACAAGCCACAATCAAACAATACAAATTGATAAAAATCAAAATCAAAAAATAACAAAACACGTAACACAACACAATCAAAAAGCAAAAATAAACCACAAAAATTTAAAAACAAATCCAATATTCCCAAATCCTTAACTGTCATTACCTTATTTCATCGACCTCCTCACTCCTCCCTTTTTGTATTCTAGTTGGTAATTATCACAGCAAATCCTTTCCATTTTTCATAGTATTCTGTCATTAAATTACCTTAATCTATTTTAACCTTATCTTACTATAAAAGACCCTAAAACTTAAATCTTAAATCTTATTTATACCAATTTCTCATGACCATAACATATTCTTGCATAGTTCTTTTTAACATTTCTGCTAAAGCCAAATAGTTTTGTTCCAACATTTTTCTAATACTCATTAATTTTACAAAACAATTTTTAAAACTTTCTTCCAATCTTCATCCAACGTCTCTTCCTCCTGGTCCCGGGCTGTCAGTCCTTTCTATCCCATCCATCTAGCTCATTAACCTGGTAATCTTAGGTCCGAGGCCCTTAAGTCTCTTCCATGTCCCTTCCGCAGATCTTCTTCATATTTATACCTGTACTTTACTTTGTCTCCTGCTCCTTTCACTCGTGGAAACTCCAACTTGACAGTATTTTTGTCCCTTCTCGACAAATCAGCCCCTTTTCCATAGTCCACACTAAACTCCATGTGATATCTAAAAACATGTTTCAAAGTCCCTCCAGAGTTAAGAACCCCCACAACCCCAAACATCTCACGGCCCATTGCCAGACTTGAAAAGTCAAAACATCCCTGCATCTATCCAACCCCCCATTTCCAAACCAAACAAAACTCTATCTCTCCAAATCTGGCTTTTTCCAAGTTCATTTGTCATATCCAACAACTCATGTTCCTGCTGGGCCACAGCACCCTCCATCTCTGCCACCCGAGGTCCAGCGGCACTTGCTGGTAGCCTTGACACTCCTCTGCATTTCTTGCCATTTCCTTTGCTTTTTGTGTCTCTAGAGGCAATTGTGGGAATGATTTGGCAAGAGCTGGTCAGAAATCCAAGCAAATGTTGTTGAGGCCTCTGGTCGTGGGATGGGAAGGTCTGGTTCTAATGGCTCATACAGGTCATCGGTGGTGCAGATCTCTGTTGGGAGGTCGTGCTTTGCCTCTGAGGGGACTCCAGGTCTGGGCAGAGCTGAACCTGGATGCAGAAATCAAGAAAACCTTTTTCACTGGACCACAAATCCTGGAGGCTGTGCTATGGTCACTAATACTGTGGCACTGTGATCAGCTGTCCCCTCTCTTCATACTTAAGAGGCAAACTGCTCAGACCCAAGAGCAAGCTCCGATATTGGATTTTTATGGGGAAAGCGATGCAGCCTTAAGGTCAGCCGACAGAATGCTCGGGCAGGACGGTACTGCACCCTGGAAGCAAAGCACGAGTGCTAGGGCTGGAGAACCCTGTAGGCATTGGACTACAACTCTCATCACCCTTGACCTCTGGCCATACTGGCTGGGGCCGATAGGAGCTGGAGTACCTCCAGCAGTACTTGGAGGGACTGCATGTTACCCCCCGCCCTGCGCTCAGTAGGTCAGGAGATAACTCTGGAGCATGGAAGCCACTACTAAGAGACCCTGCCTGGTACATTAACACATTCAGTAGGACTCACCCCCAAACCAAAAGGGGAATTTGTTAAGTAAGATTAAGTAAACAGACAGCCTTTGAAACTTATTTCATTGTCTTCTCTAAAGACAATGAGAGCCAGCGTGGTGTAGTGGTTAAGAGCGGTGGACTCGTAATCTGGTGAACCAGGTTCGCTTCCTTGCTCCTCATGCAGCTGCTGGGTGACCTTGGGCTAGTCACACTTCTCTGAAGTCTCTCGGCCTCACTCAACTCACAGAGTGTTTGTTGTGGGGGAGAAAGGGAAAGGAGATTGTTAGCCGCTTTGAGACTCCCTAACAACCACACCCTAGGCCAACCCCAACCTCTCTCACCACTAAAGAAACACAAGTGAATAGCAGAGAACCTGCACAAGCAACGCTGACATAACACCCCACATATATTAAGTAAAATAGAAACATCGCCACCCGACCCCACCCCCACTCACCTTTCCCCACTCCACCTCTTTCCCCCTTTTCTTCCTAATGTCTCAACAAATGAAACTGATCTGTAAAAATGTTATTTGAAAAAAGAGAGACACATTGCACACACTTTTGTAAACCAAGAAAATATTTAATAAAAAAAAGAGAAGCCAAGCTTCACAAATAATTCATTCCCATTAAATTACAAGGCTTCTATATGCAAACATCTAAAAAAAAATACAAAAAAATACATACATGGTCAGTTTTCTCTCCCCATAATACCAAATCCATTATTATTATTACAGCTATTATATTTATTTTTTATACCCCCCCCCAAAGCAGTTTACAAATCAAGTAAGGACAGCTGTACCAAATTTGCCCCAGAAGGCAAATCTTGAGGGCAGAGCTGTCTTCTAGGGCAACAGGCCAGATGAGATTTGGCAACCCCAGTCCAAAAAACAGGCAAAAGATTATGAATGGAGTGTTTTAAGCATCAAGACGTGGGTCTGGTCTCTGCTAGGAGATCAACACAATAAACTTTGACCTATAGGCTCTGGGGAAGCCCAGACTAGAGTGAGGGTGGTGGGGCCGCTGCTGGCAGGGGCAAGTCCACAGTTGGGGTTTCGGCGGCGCCTTGGACAGGGCTGGGCTTGCGGAGTTCCAGTTTTTCAATGAGCTGGTTGTAAAGCTCCTTCAAGGCTTCTCCACTCTGCCCGACAAAAACACAAGTTTTACAAAGGTGAAGAAACCTCAAAACCTGAAGCTGTTAAATCACACTCTAGCTGTTACTAGCATTTCTTTTCACTATTTCTTGTAGGCTGTCTGTTTAAACACACATATACACACACACTTTGAAAGGTGTGTTTATCCATCAGCTGTGTTTAGTTGTTGAGCCGGGGGCCCGTGCAAAATTATGAATAAAGCAAATGGCACCAATGGAGGAGGATCTGGAAACAGAGCCGAGGAGAGAATGGTACGTCTGACAGTCAACGAAACTCTCCTTCAGGAGTGGGGGAACCTATGGATCGGGGGCACTGAATGAATGCAAATTTCACCTTTGTACATGAGGCTATTTCCTCTGCATCCTTCCCCCGCTCCTCTGTATCCTCCATTAAGGCAGGTGGCCTTGAATTTAGGTTTTGAACTCTATGGCCCGAAAGACTGCACCATTCCCTCACTCTCAAGTATATGTGGTATGGATTGCACCGTGTCCTTAGTGGTACAGCATTTGCTTCATGCAGAAGTTCCCAGGTTCAATCCCTGGCATCTCCAGGTAGGGCTGGGAAAGACTCCCTATCTGGAACCCTGGGGAGCCACCGTCAGTCCGGGAAGACAATACTGAGCTAGATCTGACACAGAGGAGTGACCATCCAAGACAGGAAGCTCCACTGGCAATAAATGCAGGCTACAATGCAAAGCTTGAGCTTGCCAATCAGGTAGCCTGAAGTGGTACCTCCTGGATTCAGAACCCACCTCCCACCAGTCTCAGATTCTTCCAAGGTAACAGCTACCTCTACACCAAAGGTCTCACCCCGTTCAGGTACAAAGCAGGATGAGTGAACGGTGTGGCTGGTGATAGTTGCGAGGCCCATATAGAAACACCTGGAACGCCACATTAGCTCCCAGGGTGGGATCTGAGGTTCCCCACCAGAAGTGTCTGTGTCCATGTGTACAAATCCAGATATGGCTTCCGGTTCAAAGCATAATGTGCCTTCCAAGAAAATCATTCAGGGCAAAACAAATGACTGTGGTGCTTGTGTTCACCCCATCTCCCACCCACCACTTTACCTGCTTGGGAGGCTCCAGTGCCTTCTGCAGGGACTCCAACTTGGCAGGTGCCACCTTGTGGTGGAGGTGAAGCAGGAGCCTCAGCACGTGTCTGTGTACATTCTCCTTCCTGTTAAGTAGCAGAAGAGATGAAAAGCCTAGAGCTGAAGGACTCTTGGCTGGGGGTTGGGCAGTCCACTCCCCATCTGTTCCCTCCGGGTACATTGCTGTAGTGGGGAGCAGGTGGCCCTTATTGTGGAGGGGGCTGGTCAAACCCAAAGCCCTCTAAAATGGCTTGCAAGCAAAAATAAAGAACATTCTTAAAAAAATACTAATGAACCTTTTTTTAAAAGGTAGATAACATTTATGAAAAAATAGATACAATCGCAGTTTTTAAAATAAACAAAACTTCCCAACAAAATGGCATAATCAGGTAGGCTTGCCTGGATAAACAAACAAAAGCTTTTAGCGGGCATTATAAACAGTAGATTGAATACAGCCCAGTTCAATGACAGCACCAGCCTAACAGGAAGGCCACTGCCTGCCAATTCTCTGACTGAGAGCCATGTGAGCCTGTTTCAGAAAAGGACAGTACCTCAAGCAGGTGGGGAGGAAGAAGTCATCAAAAAGGCTAGTGCAGAACTCCTCTTGAGTGAACTCATCGCTGAGGAGTGTGAGGTTGCTGGTGAACAGGTGCAGGAAGATGTCACTGAAGGCCAGATCATTGAATGTCTCCCCTGCAGGACCAAAGCAGCAACAGAGAATCCCCAGGTGATCCTGAGAGGCAATCCTTTTTACCAGGCACATTTCTATCCCACCTTTCTCCCAGGCAGATCAGGGAAGGGCCGAAGCATCCACCCTGCACACAGAAGGACTAAGGCAGGATCCCTCTCTTTATGTGTGACATGGTCTAAGTTGTACTGAGCCGTATGCAACCAACTCTGAGACTGCATGCTAGCTCTCTTGTATCTGGTTGTTCTGGGTTGTAGCCAAAATCTAATCCTACTCAGAACAGACACACTGAACTTAATGGATGTGACTAACTCAGACCCATTCACCGTGGGGTGGGGGGGGCGTTCTACTCCAAGTAAAACTGAGTTGGCAATATCGCTCGGCTCTGCAGGCAACTGTTTGGGAAACAAAGGAGGGAGATAATAGTAGTAATAATAATAATAATAAATAATAATAATAAATAATTATTTATACCCCACCCATCTGGCTGGGTTTTCCCAGCCACTCTGGGCAGCTTCCAGCAGAACACTAAAATACAATAACCTATTAAACATTAAAAGCTTCCATAAACAGGGCTGCTTTTAGATGTCTTCTAAAAGTTTGGCACTTGGCACTGGACCGAAGTGTCTGGGCAGAACGGCTGATCCTTTGGAAGGGCAACTTACCAAGGGCGGGGAGCATCCGGAGAAGAGCATTCTTGTTCCTCTGCTTAGTGATGTGAAGCACGTAGTAGAGCCCAATCTCGCAGGCGATCCGGTGCTCTTGCAGAAATCTAGGGTGCAAAAGGGTTTTAAGCTGCCGCTCCCCACTATTTCCAGGAATGAACAGAGTGAATTGAATTCAAACTTTCATTGCTCTAGTTACAAACATCTTTGGAGTTTAAGAGAGAACTGGTGGTGTCCCATGCTGGTCCTACTCAGAGTAGATGCCCTTGAAAACAATTGGGAAGATTAACTCAGATGCAAGCCAGAGATTCCAAGCCCAGCCAACTGAAGGAAGCACTGGCTGCACTTACATGTTAGATTAATAGAATCATATAATTGCAGAGTTGGATTGCAGGAATCACAGTGAAAACATCCCTAACAGATGGCCAGCCAACCTCTAGTTAAAAATCTCTAGTGAATGAGTCCAGCACTAGAGGCCACAGCTTCCTCAAATGTGGAGGGAGCCATCCCTGGAGGTGGGATGGAGCCTAAAGCTCTCTTCTGGCTAGAGCGACAGGAAACAGATTACTTCAACCTGTTATGGTCTCTCCCCCCCCCCCCCAATAGCTCTCCACTTTCTCTGGCCACGGAGTTAGTTCCCTTCCTTATGGGTCTTTTTGGACACACCTCCACTGCTTTGCTCGCAAAGAGGACTTAAATGGCAAGACGCTTCAGTGTTCGATATGACTCACTTGGGAAATAAATCTGGGATTGTGGTGGGGTAAGTTGCTGGGCCCTTGTCTTCCAAAGGCAGCTTCTGGTCAACGGTGAACGTGTGGTCATCCACCACGAAAGACATCAACAGTGGTAGGAACCTGGTAATCAAGTCTACTTCCTGAGGAGCAGAGAAGGAAAGTGAGGGTCAATGGTCAGAAAATGGAAGGCAGGGACGGGAAGAACCTGTGGGTTTCCAGATACTGTGGGACCCTTAACTCCCATCAGTCAGCATGGCTTATGGTCCAGGATGATGGAAACTGTAGTTCAGCATCTGGATCACAGGTTCCCAACCCCTGTTCTACAGCCTGAAAACAGATGACCTTCCAAACTGATGGAGAAGCAACAGGCCCTGTAAAGCAGATTTGCTAAGTCTGGGCTGCCACTCTGAGCAACTTTTCTCATTTAGAAGCCATGCAGAAGTGTCACGTGGGGAACGGCTGTGGCTCAGTGGCAGAGCACCTGCTTTGAATGCAGAAGGTCCCAGGTTCAATCCCTGGCATCTCCATGTAGGAGTATCCCTCATCTTAAACCCTGGAGAACCACTGCCAGTCAGTACAGACAATACTGAGCTAAATGGGCCACTTCCTCTGCTCCTATGTAGATTCTCTCTTCTCCCTCCTGATTTCCCTTGCTACCTGCCCTGTCTCTCCAATCTAGTGCTGTACCTCCAGCTTGTACACAACCACATCTCCTGTCTCTGGCCTACGCAATCATTACTGATGTCCAGCCCAGACCTGGGAGAAGCACTCGCAGCCATACCTGTCTGGAGTGGTCCAGCTATTCTACAGCGTGACACTCTAAGCGAGAATTAGATCTTAGGCAGCTCAAAGTGATGCACACGGGCACTCTTACCATTCTGGGTTCCTTAAAGATCTGACTGTCAATCATGTCCCAGGCTCCCTGTCCCAGTGTCAACATCCTCAGGAGAAGCAGAAGATCAGGGCTTTCCTGAAAATTCAAGAAAAGCAAAGTAACTCATCATCACCCTTTTCAAATTCCAAAGAACTTTTAGAGTCCTGCAGGATATCAGATCAAAGGCTTTATTGTTGGAAGGGAAGAGCATCTTTCATGTACGCAGAAGGTCCTAGGCTCAATCTAAGGCACCTTCAGGTAGGGCTGGAAATGTCCTCAGCCTGAAATCCTGGAGAGCAGCTGCCAGCCAGTGTAGGCAAACACTGAGCTAGATGGACCAATAAGGCAGCTTCCTATGTTCCCATATAGTCCAGCATCCTGTATCACACAGTGGTCAATCAGGCCAGATCCCCATTCTGACTACAGACTGCTATACAAGTCTTCTGCACATTTCTCCTGGCAGCTGGGGAGGATGGAATGGTACTCTCTTGTGGGGGGTGGGGGGTGGAGATGTGATCCTGGGGCCTTCAGTTGCTGACTATCTGGGAGACCATCAATGTCTCACTCACCCTGGGTAACATATCCTGCCCAATCAGTTCTTGCAGGTGGCGGATCGTGCTCAGAGCCAAGGTGTTGATGGCAAATGGATCACACAGTATCATGGATAAATCCCTGTTGGGGTAAGGTGGACAGAAAGTAACAGAACATCAAACACATAGGCCCACAACTGAAATAGGTTTGCTCACACAAAATTATTCTGGCTCCTTTTGAAAGCCAGAAAGCCTGTCAAATAATAATGATATTATTGTAGCCATCTACATATGTAGCCTTTGAAAATATGGAGGAAGATCTGTCTGTAAATGTGAATGTTACCAGGCGTACCTTCCATTTAATTAAACAGGTATTGCAACTGGGAGTTCTCAGACTCTTAGCTAAAAGGACACTTTTTAATCACATGTAAATGAGCTTTCTAAAAAGAGATGCTTTGCTGGCTTCTCAGAGCCAGCCTACTTATGGGCAATCAATGATCTTTGGCTAAAGGCCTACAGGTTAGATTGCTGCAATGCGTTATACGTAGGGCTGCCTCTGAAGACAGTTCAGAAACTTCAGGTAGCGCAGAATTCAGCAACCAAGTTGCATACCAGAGCAAGACGGTTTGAGGATATTACACAGATCCGGGTCCGACTGCACTGGCTACCAATTAGTTTCTGGGCCCAATTCAAAGTGTTGGTTTTGACCTATAAAGCCTTAAATGGCTCAGGACTGCAATAGTTCAAGGACCACCTCTTCCCATATGAACCTACCCAGACCCTGAGATCATCTTCTGAGGCCCTTCGTCATGTGCCTCCTCCTCAAGAGGTCCGGAGGGTGGCAACACAAGAACAGGCCTTCTCTGCAGTGGCTCCCCATCTGTGGAATGCTCTCCCCAGGGAAGTTTGCCTGGCGCCTTCATTATACACCTTTAGGCACCAGGCAAAAACATTCCTTTTTAACCAGACCTTTGGCTGATCTGATTGACATCCTATGCCCTTTTAAAACGTGGGTTTTTTCGGGGGGGGGGGAGTGTTATTGTTTTTGATTATATATTTTGTGGTTTTATATTATGATTTTGTTCTGTGAATCACCCTGAGACCTTCAGGTATCGGGAGGTATATAAATTCAATAAATACAGCTCAAACACAACTCCTCTATAACAGTGGTGGCCTTGAAGATGTGGTAGGACTCCTACTCCCATCAGCCTCAGCCAGCATGGCCAGTGGGCAGGGATGATGGGAGTTGTAGTCTTTAGGATGTTAAGTTCAGCAGAGGGAGGCCTCTTGGTAGTTCAACCTCTCTCAGAAGATTTTGCTATGCTGCCCCTTTTCTCCTTCAAATGTCATTTTCCTTTTCCTTTCCCTAACTACTTGATTTCTTTTTTTCTTGACAAACAAGCTGGCTTGATGTATCTTGGCTACCAAGTATAATACTATAATATTAATAAAAGTATTTTTAAAACTAAGGGTAGTTTAGGGTGGTGGCCCAGGGGAGGGCATCATTACGGCAGCCCGTACGTTATGGAACTCCCTCCCCACAGAGGTGCAGCTGGTACCTTCATCATACAACTTCTGGCAAATGCTGAAGATTATTATGTATTATTTGTTCAATTTATGTACCACCCTTTATCCGAAGATCCCGGGGTAACATACAACATTAAAAACATAATTACACAGAATAAGAAGAAGAAGAAGAAGAAGAAGAAGAAGAAGAATACACACACAGAGAAGGGCCTTGGAAGACAAGCGTGGGGTCTGAGTCAGTTTGTAGGGGGAGAGGAGGTCCTTAAGGTATTGGGATCCTGAGCCTGGAATTAGACCTGGAAACTAATTGGCAGCCAGTGCAATCAGGCCAGGATGGGTGTTATAAGCTCAACTCATTTTGCCCAGGTGAGCAACTTGGCTATCAAATTTTGCACCTCTTTATCCTGGCCTTTGACACACAAGATGTGTTTTTTTCCACACACACACACACACCCCAATATTCCTGTGGCTGTAAATCTGTTATAACCATTTTTTATTCTGAATTTTAAATTGTTGTAACCTGACCTGGGATTTGTTGGTGAAGGGCAGACAGTACATTAGTAATAGTCCAGGAATATCTGAAGGAGTCACAAGTTCCCCTTTCCAAAAACACATTACTATCAAAACAGGTGGTGGAACATTGCGCCTTCCCCTCACGAATATTTCCGCTCCTACCACAACCCTTTTCAAAATATTAATTCCTTTAACACCCAGTCTCAGATTCGTGTGCGTAACTCAAAACCTGGTGAACCCACACTATGAAATCTGTTGGTGCTAATTAAATGAGTTTTCCCCACTCTCTATGAAAATGGAGTGACACTCTGTACAGCAAAAAAAGCAAGGCTGGACCACCTGATTTGCAACAACTCACCCCAGGACTTGCTCTTGCCCTTTCTTCACTCCATCGAGGAAGCCTTGCAGCTCTCTGGCCCTCTTGTTGTCCACAAACCTCTCTCTAATGCAGGCATCCAGGCACCAGGTGAACTGCCAAAGAAGCAAAAGGTTTAGCGCACTCTGTGGGGACACTCACCCTTAGAGAACACAAAGATTAATTTCCTTTCCTAAGGAACAGACAAGAGACCATTGCAGCAAGGTTGTGGAACGGGGGTGCCAACATGTGGTGCCATTGAGCATGGTGGCCTTCTCAAGATCTCTCCCAGGTGCCCACAAGGCCTCTGAAATTTTCTATTTCTCCATACTGTGCATTTTAAAAAACAACCATCTATTTCCAATACATTGCCTCTTACTTAATACAGTGGTGCCTCGCAAGACGAAATTAATTCGTTCCGCGAGTTTTGTCGTCTTGCGATTATTTTCGTCTTGCGAAGCACGGTGTCGGGAAAGTTTTGGAAAAGCTTCAAAAACCACCAAAGTCTTTAAAAACCTCAAAAAAGGCTACCACGCCGCGTGCTATGAGTTGCTCCTCGAAGTCAAGTCGCAACTGTATTAATGGTGTTAAGAAAAAGGAAACAAACTTGCAAGACGTTTCCGTCTTGCGAAGCAAGCCCATAGGGAAAATCGTCTTGCGAAGCAGCTCAAAAAACAAAAAACCCTTTCGTCTAGCGAGTTTTTTGTCTTGCGAGGCATTCGTCTTGCGAGGTACCACTGTAATAATAATAATAATAATAAATTCTTATTTATACCCCGCCCTTGCCGGTTCAAAAACCGGGCTCAGGGTGACTAACAACACATTTAAAACAATTATAAAAGCAGCATAAAATACAGTATAAAAACATGAACAATAACATTCAAAAATGAATGGCTGGCTGAATTGGTCCTACTTGGGCCAGCGAGGAGACCAGGGGAGAATTAGCTGTGGGGTCTCACAGCAGGTCGCTTGTCTTTTCTCTGAACTAAAAAAGCCCCAAATTTATTTATTTATTGTTTATAAAAGTATTTATGTACTCTTCCATTAAAAAATATCAACATGGTTTTCAACAGTAATGCATAGAATCATATAAACTGTGGGAAATCAGACATCAATTAACCACTGTGGAAAGATGTGTTGTGAACTGTCTGTATTGGCCTATTGTAACATTGCCTCCTTGGGGAATTGCTCCACCCCTCTGAAAAGACAAGAAGGAGTTGAGAGGTCTTGTTTCTAACTGGGGGCACCCCCCACAACTGCACGCACCCGAGTCCTTGCACCCATACCTTGTGACAGGGGTCAACCGAGCAGATCTCGCTGATATCTAGGTCATGCAGGGACATCAAGAGCTCTGCCCGCAACGTGCAGTAATGGACATTGCGTGTCCTCAGGAACAAGGTCCGCAGGAACTGCAGCACCATGTCGTAGAGTTTCACATTCTTCCCAATCATTTGGGTGAGCTTCTGGACCACCTTCAATCCCAAAGACAGAAAAGAAACCTGAGGCTGGAGCATCACCCAAACGTTCTAATGGGGAACACCGGGGCATAAAATCAGGGCAGAAACTTTGAGTCATTTAGGTTCTCTCTCAGTAGGGAATTTGAACCCAGGTCTCTCCCCAATCCTTGTCTAGTGCTCTAATCCTCTATATCACACTTTTTGAGATTTGGCCCCCACATCACTCTGCAAGCTTCAGAGCACAGCACAAATTATTCATTTAATTTTTAACAGGCCATCCTTCTAATCTAACTCAATAACATCACAGCAGCATATATAACCTCCCCTCACTGCATTTTATCAACAACCCTAAGAGGGAGGGTAGCCTAAGTGAAATAGGAACTGGCTGAGAGTCACTCAGGGAGTCTTGAGGTCGAAGGGATTGATATTTGATCTTTCAAATCTTGAGTCTGATACTAGGGCTCACCAGTTATTACAGGGCTGGGGAACACCCGGGGCCAAATGCAGCTCTAAGCTCTATCTGGTCCTCAGGACTCTCTCCAGGCCACACAGATACCAGCCATGCCCCTCTCCCCAGACCACACCCTTCAACGGGGCCCTGCTTTGCACCCTTGAGCGCTTCTACTTGGCTGGAATGCGTCTCTGAACTCCGATATAGCCTTTTGCTTGCACGGATGGAGGACAGAGCTGGGGTGTGAGTGTGTGAACAGAAACAAACCTACTGTGGAAAGGTAAAATTCATTGCTCCACCCACTTTTGCCTCTTTCCCTGCCCACCACTAGCACGTGGCCCCCAGAAGGCTACCTACAAGAGTATTTGGCCCATGAGCTGAAAAAGGTTTCCCCACCCCCGATTTATTAAAAGAACCCAGTTTCCCACTCCCAGCCTCAATGCTCAAATCAATGCGCTGGGTGCTTGGACTTCACCTCGCCTTGGCGCCTCATTTTGGGAGTAGGGCTGAAGAAGTTGTGCAGGACAGAGAGGTCACAGCTGAACAAGGCATTCTCCTTCTCCAGGATGTACTGCTTCAGCAGAGGGGACACCTCGTCACCGAACAGGGCCTGGTTATCCTGCCAAATCTGACGCTTCACCTCCACGGCACATGCTTTGTACAGGTCCTTGTCAGCCATCACCAACTTCAGCTTCTTGTCTGGCACCTGTGGCCAGACACACAGTTAGGAGAGAATTTCAGTGAGAGTTAATCATAAGGTTGGTCCCTTCATGAGACCCTGGTAACAGCATCCTTTGCATTTAAGAGCTGGCATTTTTATCACACTCCAAATTAGTTATGACTATTATTTAAGGAAACTTGTTGGCTGACTTTCAGGAAAGAAGGCAGGGCTGCCCGATTCCTTTTGCTCCACCTTGATCACTGAGATCTTCTGATGGAGTTTGTGGAGACTGACCCATCTCTGGAACATAATCAAGCTCAGTAGGTCCAGTAACTCAAAAGAACAAACATCTTTGCCCTCTTAAACAATCCAGTAGTAAAATCAGCAGCAACTAGGCCCCTGAAAACCTTCGAAAACCTCCTCCTAACAACAAAGGGACACGGTAAAGGGATGGTATCCGCAATATACAAAATACTACTCCAAAATCCCACAAACTCCCTAGACACAATCAATAAACAATGAGAGGATGACATAGGCTACAAGATTAACCCCACTCAATGGACCAGAATGTGGTCTAAACCCCCCTTTAAATCCATATCAACAAAAAGAAAAGAACTCACTCTGAAAATCACCTACAGGTGGTACCTAACACCAAGAAAACTAGCACTAATATGCCCAGGAACCTCACCAAAATGCTGGAGAGGGTGCACCTCTACAGGCACATATCTCCACATGTGGTGGGTGGGAGTGTCCCAAAATCCAACTATTCTGGGCAACAGTCATAAGAGAAATATGTAAAATAACCAAGCAAGTATTACAAATCACCCCAGAAATGGCCCTACTAAACATCTTCCAAGACAATAATGCCCACATACACCACAAAGAACTCATAACCCACCTACTCTCAGCAGCCAGAAACTTCATAACCAGACACTGGAGAGACCAATGGTACCAAATAGTATAGGAAACAGCCTTACTAGAAAAATTAACCAATAAACAAACTGACACGGGGACAAATAGAAGAAGATGCCTTCACCCCGGTATGGCTCCCCTTTATCACATACAGAGCCCAACAAGACAATGACGAAAATCCACCAACAGTATACAAATCAATATGACTAACCTGATCCAAAACACTCACGCACCCTACTCACACATGAAAACAAAGACCACCGCAGCCAACCACAAACGAACAGCCACACCCTAGGCCAACCCCAACGTCTCTCACCACCAAAGGAACACAAGTGAACAGCAGAGAACCCGCACAAGCAACGCTGACACAAAACCCCACATATATTAAGTAAAATAGAAACATCACCACTCAACCCCACCCCCACTCATCTTTCCCCCCCTCCACCTCTTTCCCCCTATTCTTCCTAATGTCTCAACAAATGAAACCGATTTGTAAAAAAAAAAAAAAAAAAAAGCGTTACATGGGAAAAAAATACGAGAGAAAGAGAGAGAGAGACACTGCACATACCTTCGTAAATCAAGAAAATCTTCAATAAAAATACATTAAAAAAGAACAAACTTCTTTATAAAAATATTTTAAAGTTCTATTAAAGGAAAGCTACAGGGTTAAAAAAAGATTTATGGTAACAGCACAAAGTAAAGTAACTTGGAAGCTTAAAAAACATCAGAGCTTTCTTATCTGGCTAACAAGTGAACAAACACTTACGCAGCTACGCAGAGTATCAGTTTTCAATTCAGCAGCATAACTACAGCACGAGAAGGAAGATAACCCGTCAGATTTAAGCAAAACTGGCCCCAATCCCATGACTTGATGTAACCAATCATGATGCTCAACTGATGGAACCTTCAAGACAGTGAACTCCCACCCCTCATTATCTTGAGGGAGGAACCACCTGCTTCCCATCAATTTTAATTCTCTGGCCTTGGAAGATTAATAAGGGGCACCTGTGCCTGGCAAAAACTGGTCTTTGTAATACACACAAGTTTTTACTGTTAACGTTACTGACTTTTTATTGTAGTTACTGCTGTATTTTTTTATGCGATGCAATGCCTTGTTATATTTTCTACGAAAGAAACTTCTTGGCTGCCTTTCAAGACGTCCCAGATATATTTGCAAAGCAGATGCTCTAGAAGAGTCACAGCTCATTGGTAGAGCATCTGCTTTGCACAAATAAGGTCCCAGGTTCAATCCCCAGAATCTTCAAGAAGGGCTGGGAAAGACTCTGGCCTGAAAACCTGGAGAACTGTTGCCAGTCAGCATAAACAATACTAAGTTAGATGGACTAATTCAACCAGACTCAATATAAGGAAGCTTCTTATGTTTCTGACACTGAGCTACAATCCATCCCCATGAGAACACAGAATCCTAGGCCCAATACCAATTTCTAGGCATAGGCAGCCTTCCCCAAAATCAGGCAATGCCAAAAATTGAATGCTAGTGATTCAGTGTACCTTGGGCAGGTGTTTCATGACACACATCACCACAGGTTGGATTGATGGCGCCTTGACCAAGGGAAAACTCTTCTCCAGGAGGTCTTCCAGCTTCTTGTATCTGGAGTGTGGGATAAGAGAGGCATGCAGAACATGTTTAAAGTTAAGGGACCCCTGACCATTAGGTCCAGTCATAACTGACTCTGGGGTTGCGGCGCTCATCTCGCTTTATTGGCCGAGGGAGCCGGCATACAGCTTCCGGGTCATGTGGGCAGCATGACTAAGCCGCTTCTGGCGAACCACAGCAGTGCACGGAAACGCCGTTTACCTTCCCGCCGGAGCGGTACCTATTTATCTACTTGCACTTGGACGTGCTTTTGAACTGCTAGGTTGTCAGGAGCAGGGACCAAGCAACTGGAGCTCACCCTGTCACAGGGATTCAAACTGCCGACCTTCTGATCAGCAAGTCCTAGGCTCTGTGGTTTAACCCACAGTGCCACATGTTTAGCACTACTACAATAATAATAATTTTTATTTATACCCCGCCCTCCCCAGCCAAGGCTGGGCTCAGGGCGGCTTACAAGCAATAATAAAAACAAGTTGAATGATTACAACTTAAAAATAAAAAAAAAATACAACATTAAAATAATGAAACATTAAAATATTAAAATGTAGCCTCATCGCAGGAAGAGAAGGAAAGGAAAAAAGAAAGAGAGGGAGGGAATCAAATTGGCTCCAAGTCAAAGGCCAGGTGGAACAACTCTGTCTTACAGGCCCTGCGGAAAGAAATCAGGTCCTGCAGGGCCCTGGTCTCATGAGGCAGAGTGTTCCACCAGGCCGAAGCCAGAGTTGAAAAGGCCCTGGCTCTGGTTGAAGCCAATCTAACTTCCTTAGGGCCCGGGACCACTAGGGTGTTGCTATTTATGGACCTTGAAGCTCTCCGTGGGGCATACCAGGAGAGGCGGTCCCGTAGGTACGAGGATCCTAGGCCGTGAAGGGCTTTAAAGGTCAAAAACAGCACCTTAAATCTGACCCTGTACTCCACTGGGAGCCAGTGCAGCTTGAAAAGAACTAGGTGAATATGCTCCCATGGCAGAGACCCCGTGAGGAGCCTTGCTGCAGCATTCTGCACTGCTGGAGTTTCTGGGACAGCTTCAAGGGCAGCCCCGCGTAGAGCGAATTACAGTAGTCAAGCCTGGAGGTGACAGTCACATGGATCACTGTGGCCAGGTCGGGGCGGGAAAGGTAAGGGACCAACTGCTTGATGCGGCGAAGGTGGAAAAATGTCGCCTTGGCTGTTGCTGTAACCTGCGCCTCCATGTAAAGGGAGGCGCCAAGGATTACACCCAAACTCTTAACGGAAGGCAATGGCACTAATTGGGCCCCCGCAAGAGAAGGGAGTTGGTCCCTCATCCCTATGCCATCCCGACCCAGCCATAGGACCTCTGTCTTCGAAGGATTTAGTTTCAATTGGCTCCCACGAAACCATCCAGCCACAGCTTCCAAGCATCTGGTCAGTGTGTTCGGGGCCGAGTCAGTGTGGCCATCCATCAGCAGATAGAGCTGAGTGTCATCAGCATATTGGTGACAGCCCAGCCCAAAGCTCCGGATAATCTACAAAAAGAACAGGAAAATGTCCTTCCCCACAGAAGTATTCCAAACATACCTTTCATCAACCTTTCCTTCAGAGGCGATGGCTGAGACCCTCTCCAGCAGCTTCTCCCTCAGCTCGTCAAACACAGACTGGTGGAACTCAAGCCTGGGGGTGCCGTGGAGGTCCAGGAATGGCAGGGCGGACTGAAGAGTGGGCAGGAGGATGCCATTTTCTGTCTGTCAATGTCATACACAAACTGTGTCAAGGTAGCATGCTGCAGATCTCATATCTCTAAAGCAAAGGGTGGGGATCTCTATCTGGCCCTTAGAATTCATTACAGTGTCCCCTAGGTCCTGATCGCAAAGGGTAGGTAATAAATTATTACTATCTGACAATGCCTCTTACTTGCCTACATATTGGAGGTAAAAGGTAAAGGTACCCCTGCCCGTACGGGCCAGTCGTGTCCGACTCTAGGGTTGTGCGCCCATCTCACTTAAGAGGCCGGGGGCCAGCGCTGTCCGGAGACACTTCCGGGTCACGTGGCCAGCGTGACGAAGCTGCTCTGGCAAGCATGCACCAGCGCAGCACACGGAAACGCCGTTTACCTTCCCGCTATAAAGCAGTACCTATTTATCTACTTGCACTTAGGGGTGCTTTCGAACTGCTAGGTGGGCAGGAGCTGGGACCGAAAGACGGGAGCTCACCCCGCTGCGGGGATTCGAACCGCCGACGATGCGATCGGCAAGTCCTAGGCACTGAGGTTTTACCCACAGCGCCACCCGCGTCCCTTTACATATTGGAGAGGGACGTTCAAATGTGTGCAGAAACTAGTCTACTGTACAAAGGTAATTTTTATAATTTTTGTCCCACTCAGTTTTGCATCTGGCCCTGCCCACCACTGGCATGTGGCCCCCAGAAGGTTGACCAGAAAGGAAAGCGGCCCTTGGCTTGACAAAGTTTCCCACTCCTGCTCGAAAGAGACTTAATTGTCAAGAAGAAGAAGAGTTTGGATTTGATATCCCGCTTTATCACTACCCGAAGGAGTTTCAAAGCGGCTCACATTCTCCTTTCCCTTCCTCCCCAATAACAAACACTCTGTGAGGTGAGTGGGGCTGAGAGACTTCAAAGAAGTGTGACTAGCCCAAGGTCACCCAGCAGCTGCATGTGGAGGAGCGGAGACACAAACCTGGTCCCCCAGATTATGAGTCTATCGCTCCTAACCACTAGTAGGACCTATTCCTAGGTAAGTGTGCCTAGAATTGCACCCCAAAGCAATTTCTGCATACTGGGTGTTTGCTTGTTTTGTTTTGTATGCGGTTTGCATTTAAAAACAACAACAACCGGGCATCGCCATACGGCCGTTTCCTACGCGAGAGCGTGACTGCACTCTGCACATGCTCCGAGAGGCACCTTTCTTTCTTTTTTATACGAGGCTTGCGCGGGAACACAAAGATGCAACCACACCATCTTTAGCCGGTGCCTCAAAGGTTAAGCCTCCAGGGCCACGGGAGGGACGGAGGGAGGCCCACGCACCTGGAACTGCTCGATGGCCTTCAGCGGCTCCGTGCAGTTGGTCAGAGTCTCTTTCAAGTCTTCCCCGTTAGCCACTCCGAGGTCCTGCAGCCCGGCAAACATGGCGCAGCACCCTCCTCTTTGAATGGGGTCCGCCCGCCCCCTAATGCCTGGGTCTCACATCGCAACCGGCCCCCCAGAGCGCCGCGGAGCACTCCCGTAAGGCGTCCTCCCGCAAACCGCTCCTGTAGCACAAAGGGTTCCGCTCTGGGCGCAGGCTGAAGGTAGGTCTCTCCGCGCATCCCTCCAAACTTTGCGAAGGGGACTGCGGCAAGGTCTTGAGAAGGGCTCGCTCTTATAACTACCACAATGGTACCGGTGCTTTTCACTGCCAGTAATTGTTCCGTGGCTCCTTCTGTATATGCTGCCCATCTAACCCAAGTTCTCTGGAATGCTTCCAGAAACAAACACAATTCGGAATAAAACCTTGAAAAGACAACCTTCGTCTGATCTCAAACGCGCAGCCTTATTAATGTGGATTTTCATGAGCTGCCTAAAGAGTAGGATGACGGCGTTTTGTTGGCGTGAGATACACACGTTTCCTGTGGCTGTTGGGTGCATCAGAAATACAGCCTTAAAATACAACCGTCATCTTTTTTCAAACACGCAGCCTTAATGTGGATTTTCATGAGGTGCCTAAGAAGTAGGATAGCAATGAATAGCTCCCTTGATTAGAGCGTGGTGCTGATAATGCCAAGGTTGCAGGTTCGATCCCTGTATGGGGTGGCTGCATGTTACTGCATTGGGTTGGACTAGATGATCCTCAGGGTCCTGTCCAACTCTACAGTTCTATGATGATTGTTTCATATGTTTGTTTTTCTGTGAGACACACACACTTGTGGCTGGTGTGTGGAATGGCAGTGGTGGTGTGAGGCAAGTAATGAATTGTAGGTGGTGCTATGTATGATTTTGTTAATGGTATAATGTAGTTATATATTTTTAATGTGTTGCAAGTTGCTTGGAGACTTTTGAGTAACAAGGGAAAGAACTAACAAGTGACAATGAAAGTAATTAGTTATGTAAATGTTTACATCTTGCATATATAGGAAGTCTGGCAATGTGTTTGCATTATTTATTTATCCTACAGAACTTATACATTTCTTGACTGTAGTAAAACCCCAAAGCGGTTTACAACAACAACCATATAAATTATTTAAAATATTAATATTAAATATTATTTAATATTTTAAATATTAACATTAAAATACAAAACAAGAACAGAAAACACATGAATGTTTTTGCCTGGTGTATAAAAATATGCAATGAAGGTGCCAGGCAAACCTCACTGGGGAGAGAATTCCATAAATGGGGAGCCACTGCAGAAAAGGCCCATTCTGATATTGCCACCCTCTGGACTTCTTCTGGGGAGGGCACACAAGGACGGGCCTCAGATGGCGATCAAATAACAGTTAAACTAATTATTTGAAACTTACAGTGCTTAATATGGAAACAATATTTTAATAAAAAATAAAATTAAAAACAATGGAAGGAGGGACGGATTTCAGAAGGGATTTGAATATAGCAGATTGTCAGATGTCACTATGCTACACAGCAAAAGCAATCTCCCTCACACCATTTCCAGGCATTCTCAACAGTCAGGGCTTTTTTCCCGCCGGAACTCACTCAGTTCCAGCACCTCTTAGGTGGGTGCCATTGCTATTGTAAGAGAAGGTAGGAGGCGTTCATGGTGAGTTCCAGCACCTCATTTTCTAGAAGAATAGCACAGAATACAGTATTGTTCTATTTTGAGTTGCTATTGGTGATTATATTTTTAATGTAATTTTTGTGGGTTTGCCACCATGCCGAATAATCCTGGCCAGACAGGCATATCTCCTGTGTTAGTTAAGCAGTATCCCAGTTGCTCCTGGCTGGGGCAGCATAGATATTTCTTAATCACAGAGTCGTAGAATCGGAGAGTTGGACGGGACCGTAAGGGTCATCTAGTCCAACCTGTGGGAGCCAGGAAGTCATGAAAAAGGCTTGTAGCGCCACCTGGTGCCTCGCTGACCTCAGTGACCTGCATGTCCGTGCCTTGCAGTGTATTAAGTGCATAGCCTTATATGGAGTTATGTTCCCCCTCTGGGCAGTAATTACCCTATATGGCGATGGGTGGGTTTAAGCCATGACCGGATGTAGGTAATGTGAGACATTGGCAAACGGCCATGCGAGAGGAGAGAACAAAGGATAATAAAAGTTACGGGAGAGGAGAGAAGTTCGAAAGGAGCTGCTCATACCATCCTGAAAATATTGCTGGCTCTCTGTGTCTTTATTTTATGCTAAACTGCACCATTTGTGACAGCTGGCTCCGTCACCAACCCACTGCATTGCAGGAATCTTTTGCCCAACATGGGGTTAGAACCCATGACTCTGAGATTAAGAGTCTCATATTGTACCAACTGAGCTATACATATATATCACTTTGCACCTTTCCACTGACTTCTATGTGATGCTTTGTGGGCTGTGTTTACATCAAATGCATATAGCACCCACCTAGCCCCTCTAGGAATCTTGGGAACTGTAATTTGTGCTTCACAGAGCTACCATTCCCAGTACCTTTAACAAAACTACAGTTCCCATAATTCTTTGAGGGGGAATGTACAGTGTGTACACTTTTGGAGGACCACTGAATAAAGAGAGCTAGGATGAAGCATTACTTTTTCCATTGAGATAGTCACTCCATCCCCTCAGTCATTTTGAATGTATTCGGATAAAGAACCATCAGAAGGGAGAGTATCAGAGGCCTTAAAGTCACCCATCAGCAGTCAACTCTAAAGCACTATCTGAGCAGGTACACAGATCACCTACTCTCTGCCTTGTCAACTTTCTATTTTTACTTTCATTATCATTTCTTTTTTAAAAAAAGAAAAAAAGGTGCCAGTACTCACAATGAAATTGTTACATTAAGTGCCACACTTTTAACATTTGGGGCAGGGGAGAAGGATGCCGGTACAGCGAACTCTTAAGTAAAAGGTAAAGGGACCCCTGACCATTAGGTCCAGTCGCAGACAACTCTGGGGTTGCAATGCTCGCTTTATTGGTTGAGGGAGCCAGCACGACTAAGCCGCATCTGGCTAACCAGAGCAGCGCACGGAAACGCCGTTTACCTTCCCGCCAGAGCGGTACCTATTTATCTACTTGCACTTGATGTGCTTTTGAACTGCTAGGTTGGCAGAAGCAGGCACCGAGCAACGGGAGCTCACCCCCTCGCAGGCATTCGAACCGCCAACCTTCTTATCGGCAAGCCCTAGGCTCTGTGGTTTAGACCACAGCTCCACCCGCAGTACTCTAAATTTGCGTCTTATTTACACATAATTTAGCACATGCAGACTTTATGCAAATCTCTCTTTTTTGGGGTGTCACGTCTAAGCAGCCACTCTTGATGCACTTCTCTCTATTCTACCAAGGCCCCTTTTAGGCTCTGTAGAATCACCAGTGCACAACATCACGTCTGACCATTGGCCTAGAACAAAGTGGAGCACGCCAGGCATCTGGGATGACACTGAGGACAAAGCACATTTCAGGCACAATGAGGTGGGGAGAGTGGTTTTCCTCGTGACACAGAGGGGCTGGGGAAGGGAAGGCCTTTAGACATATTAATAATCCTTCTTTAAAAGTCTGTTTAACAAGTGATTTATGCCTAGTGAGATTACCTTCGTTGTAACTGGTTTTCAGCGCTATATCTTCCTTCCTTCTTTCGTGTCTGTGTGCAAATTAGGAGCACTAATAAATATTTCATGGCAAAATTCACAAATTAGGAGACGGATACAATAGATTGCTGTGCCTCTCCTCTCTCCCCCTGCCCCACTTTTTTTCTTTCGACCCAGAGGGCAGGCGTGTTGGATTGATGAGCCCTTCCACTGAACCAGACGGCTGCTCAGCTCATTTGGAAATGGGGGGAGGGGGGCAGTCCAGACAGCACAGTATCACTCCCTGCTTCTCCTTTGGTGTTTTATGCAGTTCTTTTGTTCTTCTTTGGAAGTGTTATGAAATGACATTGCCTTGTGTAATTCAACCAGTAAGAATCGGTGGTCTGTTGTTCTGTATTATTCACATGACACCTTTGATTCAATAGACACACAGGTAAAGATGCCACAGCTGACCTGGAGTCTCCAGGTTTGCCTGCCTCCCTCCAGGCAGCAGGTGGACGGCTGCAAATTACCGCATAGACCCTGCTGGAGGGAGGTCTGCTCCTTCCCATCTCCCAATTAACCTCATTTGTTAGTCTTTGTGTTTTTGTGTGTACAAATAGCATGCCCTCAGTGACTGTTGTTAATGCTTAATGTGCCATGCTGAACGACATCACTGGTAGCTGCTCCATGACATCACCAGGGGTCACCCCAAGACATTGCTTTGGTGGTGGTGGGACAACCACATTGAGTCCCCGCCCCCCAATCAATTGGTCGATACATTTTATGAAATAAATATAATCACTGGGGCCAGCCCTCCGTCTCAAGTCTGACCCGTGAAATCTCAGGCTCAGGGGTGCACCTTTCCTGGCAATCTTACACACAGGTGGTGGGTGGGTGGGCATGGTGGGCCAAATGTGGCCCTTCAGGCCTACCTGGCCATCAAGACTACCCCAGGACATGTCCATTGCAGCCCCCCCCCGCACTGTGATTTTACCTGGCTGCCTCGATGGGAAGCAAACAAAACCTGATTGCAAGTATCATTCCCTGCACTCATCGCTCCCAGCAACAGGCATTCAGAGGCATACTGCCTTCAACAGTGGAGGCAGAGCATAGCCATTGTGGCTAGTAGCAACTGATAGCTTTATTCTCCATGAATTTGTCTAATCCTGGTACACTGATGTGGCACATTTTCCTCCAAGCAGCAAATAGCAGTTGCTGGGGGGGGGGGTTGTTGTTTTACTAAGGAAAGTAGCATGAAAGGGAAAGGGTAGACATCCCCACTCATGTTGCTTTGATTATAACCTAGTTTGTGGTTACTTTGGGGCCACTATTCTTTTTTTCCTGAAAGAGTCTTATCACAATCCTCCTCCATCACATCTACTTTCACCATCACATGCAACATTCAAATACGTCTCATACTATTAATACATTCACTCACTTAAGGCGCAGGCCCTCCATCTCCTTTAATGAATTATTTTTTGTGTGTGAAGGTCATGGGGAAGAAGTGAATGACCAACACTTCCAAGTACAGTGGTACCTCAGGTTAAGAACTTAATTTGTTCTGGAGGTCCGTTCTTCACCTGAAACTGTTCTTAACCTGAGGTACCTCTTTAGCTAATGGGGCCTCCTGCTGCTGCTGTGCTCTGTAACCTGAAGCATCTGTAACCTGAAGCGTCTGTAACCCGAGGTACCACTGTACACTGCCTACTTTCTTCTCCACTGAACCCCTTCCCACTAATATTGTATAGCCTCATCTTCCCTTGGGCCTTATTTGCTGCTGACATTTTTTAATTTCTGAAAAGTTGAGGTGTCATTTAACATTTGGTAACACCTCAGCAACTCAGCCAGGTAGATAGTGCTGGGAAAGAACTCTGCTAGAAACCTTGGAAAGCTGATGCCCGTCAAGAGTAGATAACACTGGACTAGATGGAGAGAAAAGTGTGACATGATGCAAGGCAGCTTCATATGACTTCTCTTAAAAACTGTATCTTACCTCTCTCTGTTTCCTCATATGCCAAGATTTGGTGGGTTGACAAAAATAAAGATTTCCCTGCACACTGTATATGTGTCCTGCACTTTAATCCAGTCCTTCATCCACCTGTGGCTTGTGCTAACACAGTGGCAGCAGTGTCCCCGTTTGACAAGTGTAACAAGTCTGTCCTGTTAACACTCCCTGTCACTTGTAATCCCATTGCAAATGTGTCCCAGGTCAAGTTTCTTACATCGAGGAGTGTCACTTAAAGGTTAGGGCACAGAGCAGGGGGTAAGAACCTTTTGTGGCCTGGGGACACACTGCCTTCTGAGCAACCTCTTTAGGCCCACATGAAAGTGGTGGGTGGGACCAGATGCAAAAGTAGGTGGAACAACAAATGTAAATTTAAACTTTGCAGAGGTTAGTTTCCGCACCCATCCACCTACTCATCCCTAGTCTCCAGCCAGGCAGGCAAAACTGAAACTGCTAACTTAGATGGCTTTAAAAGAGGATTAGACAAATTCATGGAGCAAAGAGTTATCAATGGCTACTGGCCAATGTGGCTCTGCTCTCTTTCCACAGTTGGAGGCAGCAGTGGTTCTGAATATTAGTTACGGGTGACCACATGAGGACAGAGTGCTCTTGTGTTCGGGTCCTGCTTGAGGGTTTGCCATCGGCATCTAGTTGGCCACTGTGGGAACAGGATGCTGGCCATTGATCTGATCCAGCAAGCTCTTCTTATGAACAGCTGTGCCTGCCCAGCTACTCAAAAGGAAAGCATGGGGTGTGGGTCAATTGTTGAATCAATTGTTGGACAACATGGTGACGGTGACAGGTAAGGCTGTTTGTCACTGAGCTCTGTAATCTGTTCTAGTTTTACTTTGTTTTGTGTGTATATATATATATATATATATATATGTAAAGGTAAAGGTACCCCTGCCTGTACGGGCCAGTCTTGATAGACTCTAGGGTTGTGCGCCCATCTCACTCAAGAGGCCGGGGGCCAGCGCTGTCCGGAGACACTTCCGGGTCACGTGGCCAGCGTGACAAGCTGCATCTGGCGAGCCAGCGCAGCACACGGAAACGCCGTTTACCTTCCCACTAGTAAGCGGTCCCTATTTATCTACTTGCACCCGGGGGTGCTTTCGAACTGCTAGGTTGGCAGGCGCTGGGACCGAGCGACGGGAGCGCACCCTGCCGCGGGGATTCGAACCGCCGACCTTTCGATCGGCAAGCCCTAGGCGCTGAGGCTTTTACCCACAGCGCCACCCATGTCCCTATATATATATTTTGGGGTTTTTTTAAACATATCATTTCCAACAATCATATAACCTAACTTCATATCTTATACAATGTAGACTTCCGTCAACACCTCTGATTTTTCATTGTCATTTATTCTGCATTTCTTAATTTCTCTATTACTGTTAATTATCATTAACTAATAACTTTCCTCATAGTCTTTCTTGCAATATTTCAAATAATCCTCCTTACAAAACTTCTTGCAGTCCGACTAGCGTAATCTGTTCATTACCATTACTTTTCAAATAGTTCATATATTTACTCCAGTCTTCTAAGAATCTCTGGTCCCGCAGATTTCGAACCCTTCCTGTTAATTTGTCTAATTCTGCATAGTCCATCAATTTCATCCGCCATTCTTCTTTCGTCGGTAATTCTTCTTGCTTCCATTTTTGTGCCAAACTTTGTTTTTATTTTGAATAGTTTTAAAGTTTTAAAGACAGTTGGCTCAGTAGTTAATTGCTACGTACAGGCAAGGAACATATCTGCCTCTATCATGGTGCTGTGCCATGCCTTATAAACTTGAAACTTGTATACCTATGCTGGGATGCTATGCTGATTCCTTAAAGGAAAAATTTAAACCTACCAGTTGTTGGAATATTATAGAAGAAACTTTAAAATGGTCTTGAACATGTTGCTAGGCAACGGAATATGTGTGTGTGTGTGTGTGTGTGTGTGACCAGTGTAAAGTTTTGTAGATAATAAAGACTTTGAGAAACAGAACCAAATGGTGTTTATTCCTGCAATGGGAATTTCACTAAGAGATAGCTGGAATGCTGCTGCTGCCGCTGCTGCTGCTACTATAAAGAAGTAAAAGATGCAGGAAAACTTTTCTGTAAAAGGAACTCTGCTGCAGAAAGAAATGAAAACCCAAGAGTGTATCTAGCCCAGGAGTGGTACCTCTGGATGCGAACGGGATCCGTTCCGGAGCCCCGTTTGCATCCTGAAGCGAACGCAACTTGTGTCTGCGTGGGTCACGATTCGCCGCTTCTGCGCATGACGTCTGCGCATGTTGAGTGTCTGCGCATGCACAGGCGGTGGAACCCGGAAGTAACGTGTTCTGTTACTTCCAGGTTGCCACGGAGCGTAACCTGAAAATGCTCAACCTGAAGTGACTTCAACCCAAGATATGACTGTATTCACGCATCAACAGTTATGAGTTAGAAGGCGAGAGCTATGACAAGGATTCTCCCTAAGACACCACCCCCCCAACCAGGCCCACCTTTGCACCCTAATTCAGTGTTTTTGCCTGTCTGGAATATCTGTTTGAACTCTGATGCTTCTAGCTTACCTGTATGGAGAAGAGAGAGGTGTGTGAGAGCACATGTGGAAGCAAGCTTACTGTACAAGGGTAACTTTGGCAACAACTGCTGGGCAGATCTGAAACAAGGTCCACCAGTTGCTGACCTCTCCTTTGGGCATTAACTGTTTTCTCTCAGCCAAATTCTTATTTGTCTGTAAAAAGCAGGCAAAATCCTCAGAAGGCATTTGACTGGGGCACAGGGGAAGGGCAGGGATTAGGGTATTTTTTATCTTCCTTCCTCTTGCCTGAGGCATGAATGTGAAGCTGGGGGTGGTTGGTGGGAATTGGGATGGCATAAATTTGGGCCACACTTTCAGAAATAATGGCTAGCAAACAGTGAAGTAACAAACTCTAGCTCTTCTTTCTCTAGGGAAGAGAAGGCAGAGCCAGTGTGGTATAGTGATTAGAGTGTTGAACTGTGATCTGGGAGACCTGGGTTCAAATCCCACACCCGACCATGAAGCTCACTGGATCACCTTTGGCCAGTCACTGCATCTCAGCCTAACCTACCTCACAAGGTGGTTGTGAGGATGGAATGGGGAGGGGGAGAAATGTGTACACCATATTGAGCTCCTTGCGAGGAAATAAGGCAATACTACTACTACTACTACTACATCTGGAATGTTGTCTTCACCTGCAAACAGTTTGCTGCTTCGCTCAAAACCTCTGCCACAGTATCCTTGTGAGAAGCTGGTGACAAGGGATCCCTGTAGCTTGTGAGCTGTGGTGCTGAAGTGTGGCGTAATCAACACTCGTTGCTCCAGTTGAGAAATATTGACGGCTTTCCCTCCACCTCTTATGACGTCACACTGGGAAGCTGTTGTCGGAGCTGTTGCCATGGGGACACTAGCAATGCTACTGTGCTTGCTGGCATCTGTCATGCAACTCTCGGTCTTTTGTGTGACTCAGGGAATGCATGCTGCTAGACAGCCCCCCACCCTCCCTTGCCCCGTAACACACATCACTGGGCAGCTTGGCAGAAGGACATCAGTGATTCAGAAGGTCATTAGGATCGTGCAATTCCAAAGCTTGCACAGGAGAGGCCCAGGGAAAGAATGTAATACATGGGGTGGGGTGGGCATTGGGAAGAACATAGATGAACCTTGTTGGATCAAACCAAAGTGCTAGCATCCTGTTCTCACAGTAACAACCAGGTGTGCCAATGGGAAGCCCGCAAGCAAGAACTGAGTGCAACAGTGCTCTCCCCACTTAGGAACAAAGGAAATTGCCTTCCACCAGGTCAGACCTTGATCTATGGAGCTTGATATTGTCTATACTGACTGGTGGCAGCAGCAGCAACTCTCTAGGGCTTCAGGCAGGGGACATGCAATAGCCCATCTAGTCCAGCAACCTGTACGTTTATTTTGTGTGCCCTGATTCCTCCAATATTCAGCTTCATTGGGTAATGATAAAGAACCACCAGAAGAAAGAACACCAGGGACCCTTAAGCTGCCCATCAGCAGCTAGTATCTGACAGCAGACTAAGAAGACACACACTTCACCTGGACCTTCCCCACTATGTGTATGTCTGTTTACATTGAAGTATTTATAAATCTGCATCTAAATGCGTACGTCAGAACCTGCACTTTATGTCAAACACTTCCTTTGGTGACATTTAAGCTGCCAGCTGAGATGCACTCATTCCTACTGACTATGGCCTCTCTAAAGCTCTGTTAATCCATGATTCTGCAGAGCCACCAGCATGCAACATCATGTACAGGATGCACCCCTGACCAATGGCCTTGAACAAATCAGAGTACACCAGACATTGAGGATGACATTCAGGACAAAACACATTTCATACTGTCTTGTGTGCAATGATGTGGCAAGTTCTTAGCACCTGGATAGCAGACAGAGCAAGCTCAGGTCACCTGTGTGCAGCCTTTCACACCGTGTGTATTTCTTATTCAGAGTTATTACTTCTAAATTTGCATCTGCACATATAAATTAGCATATGCAAATTGGTGTCCTCTTTTGGGGTGTTGCATTTTCTCTTTTATTTATTTTTTTGGCAATGCATAAGTGGCCATTGAGCTACTAGTTGGCTAGGGCGGCGGAGATTCAGTGCGCAGTAAGTATGGTCTCATGAAATGTGAGCTACAAATTTCACACATCTGTAGATTTAGGATCCCTCCAGACTGGTATTTCTTTGCTTCGTTTTTAAACAGGTGTATTCCGCAGCACGCCATGGGTGGTGCATTAATGGTGGAATTATACTGAACTGTCTGCACATCATTCTGTTTTATTAGCTGTCCTGTAATGTACTCCCAATGTTACTGCATTACTGTTGTCTGGAGGGGCACCTTTATGCTAAAGCACAACAAAAACACCCCTGTCTCAACCCATTTATGATATAAACCTTTACATGATTTCAGCAGGAGGTTACAATGTGTACAGCGACCGGAAATGAAGCTGTATGTCAGCCCCCAAACATTTGCAGGCACAAGCATTATTGAAAGCTGCCCAATACCATCTTAAGTACATATTGTCATGAATGCACCATAAAAAGCACACCTCAAGGGGCCCTTTAAAAAAATTGAACTCCCCCAATATTTGTTTGCTTTGCATAGAGAGGTGGAATCTAAAAGCTGAAATCTATAAATGTTTATTCTAATTGCAGCTTAAATTGCGCAATGGCTCCCCCCTCTTTCCTCTTAAGGAGCTGTTCACCATACCTAGAATAAACCTACTGAAATTAATGGACACGACTAACCACAAGACCTGTTGAATTCAAAGCGACTTGCTTCCAGGTAAATAAGGTTGGGACTGCAGCCTAACATAGGTCCATTAAACTCAGTGGGTCCTGTCCAGTGCTTTTTTTCTGGGGGGGACGGGACACGCAGGGGTATGCATATCCCTAAACATTTTGTGAATCTAAGTTTGGCCTCATTGAGGGGCAGTATTTCAATATGAATAGGAAAATGCGAGTACCCCTAAACATTTTTTTTATTAGAAAAAAAGCACTGGTCTTTCTTGTCTGAGTAGAACTTAGTTGGGTACAGTTCATGTTTTCCTATTTTCTCTTTGCCAAATTTAAATAAAATACTCTGTGTGGGTGGAACCATGGCATATATATGATATACAAAGGAAAATTTTAATTCTGTTGTTACCTTGGTAACATATTTTTAACATATGGATGTGTGTGCATGTATACACTCTGCTCCCCCACAGATATAATGGTTGTGCCCGGTTCATTTAGCAATCTGCCCTTCAGGAAGAAAGATCAGGAATACGACAGTCATTATAACGCAATTATCAGACGGAACCAGGAATGGCTCTGGCAATATAACACAGTTATCCATAATTACTTCATTCATAGAGACTGCCTCCTTCCATATGCCCTATTATGATACCTGAGAATGCCTTCATTTTGATACAATTTATGCATTGGACTCTTTCTTTAAAACAAAAACCAATGGCTATTTTCATTTTAAAAATACATACAATTAAAAATGCATACAACTGCAATTGCAATAATTATTTTTACCTGAAAGGAGGGATTGCAGTTGAAAGAAATTTAACTGTGCAATCCTATACCTGTCTCCTCAGAAGTAAGCCCACTGAAATTCAGTAGAGACTGCCCTGCTCCTACATAAGGGGGTTTAGGTCTGCAGCCTGAATGATATTTAGGATTGCCTTACATATTTCTTTGCATGTTTTCATTTCAGTATAACATGAAAGAGTCCCAATTATCCGTAAGCTTGGAATATCTATTGTCCTAACAGTCTTAGAAAGGGAGTAATTTTCATCATTCTCAAAGTATGTCAGGAATTTTGAAGCCAGTCTCCCATTGCAGGGTTTCTTCTAATGCTCTGCAATGAATATCCAAGCCATGATAAGCATGCTGTTAATCAAACACTGACCCTGTTTTTAAATATATTCTTCCCAGCTAGAAAACTTCACGTCCTAAGGGGACCATTTCTGTTGTTCTCTCTTGAAAATTCTAACAAAAACCTTGATGAAACATTACATATTTGCATATGTGTCTAAGCCAGAGGTGGGGAACCTGTGGAGGGTTGGTTCCTGTTGCCTAGTCCAAACATTGGGGTTCATCTCCAAAGGACTGTCTGCTCCTGCAGGGTGCCTGCCTACTCTTTGAGAACGGGTTCAAAGGCTTTGCCCTGGGCGCCAGGATATTTGTGATATGAACTAGGGCCTTTACGCTGGTGGCATCCTAGGCATGGGCGTAGCTAGGATTCTTGTTGGGGGGGGGGGGACAGGCTTTTATGTGGGGGAGCAGAACATCAGATTTGTATTGATTTTGATTGATTGTGGGGGGGGCAGCTGCCCACCCCCCACGCTACACCCATCCATGATCCTGGGCGCATCGTTTGCGGCATTCAATGGAGGGCCTCCTCTCAATGCTGCAATGCTACCCAAGGCTGTTCGCGTGCACGCGTGTGCCCAGGCTCTCAAGCTGAGGTATGCAACACCAGCAGCCTGCACGGTCGTCCTGACTTCGCTTGAGTAGGAGCTTCTGTGCTTTCTGCTCAGTCTTTACAGGCTTCCGACACTCTTGACCTCAGTGACAGATCTGGGTAGTTGAATGCTACAGTCCACTATCCTCAGCAGCAGCAGCAGCCTACCTTGCAGATCACAACCCAACCCAGGAGGCGGGTGACCCTGATTTATTAGCTTTCTCCTCTGACTCCAGGTAAGCTAACCCTGAGTTGCAGAGCACCCCCACCCTCTCTGTGCCAGCTAATCAACCCTTAGCTGTAGAGACACCCCCTCCCCCCGAGCGCGTACACCCACTCTCTCTCCCCCCCCCTTTTCCGGGCGCGCGCGCGCGCGCTCATTAAAGATACCGAAGCGCGGCTCGCGGACAGAACGTAGCGGGAGTCAGGGGTGGCGGCGGGGGAGAGAAAGGAGCTCCGCGGCACGCGCACGCGCATTCCCTCCCTCCCTCTTTCTCTCTCTCTCTCTCTCTCTCACACATACACACACTCAACCCTCTACACCTACTTCACCTGGCGAGCGGGCGCATGCGCGCCCTCATTCTTCTCCTCCGTTTATCGAGGCGCGCGAGCCTCGCGGGTGCGCGTCCTTCCCCCCCTCCCTTCCTCCGGTCTCGTTCCCCCCCTCCAGTCTCCCCCGCCCCCTCAGCCGAGCCAGGCTGCTGCTGAGGCGACAGAAGCAGCCAGCCCGCCCGCTCGCCTGCCCACCAGACCAGCCCTGCCTTGCCCTGCCCAGCCCAGCGGGAGTGGGTGGGTGCGGGGGTTACCCCTTGCCGTTGCCGCCGCAGCCGCCGCGAGGCCTTGGGCCCTGGGCGCGGCCGACGTGGTAGTGGTGGGGGCTCCGACGACGCGGGAGTGGTGAGGCGGCGGCGGTTGGGGAGCTGGGCCCGGCGTTGGCATGAGGTAGCTGCGGCTCGGAAGGAGGAAAAAAAGGTGAGGGGGGGCGCACGGCAGATGATGGCGGGGGGCGGGCAGCCGCGGGCGGCGGCATGATTTGGGTCTGTCAGAACTGAGGGGACGAAGAGGAGGAGGGAGCGCAGTGGCGGCGGCGGCTTGTGTGAGGGACACACGGCGTGTGGGCGGGGGGAGCGGAGAGCTGACATCTTGGACGGAAGGGCTCTGCGGGGAGGGGGGCCTGGCTGTTTTTGAGCGGGGTGTGTTATTGTGTTCTAACCTGTGTTATCATCGCGAGTGAGCGAGTGAGGATGAGCAGGGATTGGGGCGTGTTCGGTGTGTGGGGTGGGCGGGCCAGGATCTTTTTATGTTTTTTTTTTTTGGCAGGGTGGGGGTTGGGCGGGAGGAGGGGAGAAATCTGGTTACGTTGCTTGTGGTTATGAAGAGTTGTGGGGGTATCTGGGAGCGGGCGGCAGAGGAGCTTGTGGGTAGAGGTAAAGCTTGGGCCTGGGGGTTTGCCCGGTTGTTGTGCGCATGGGAGGCAGCCATGGATCTTATTGCCGTGTTGTGACGGGTGGGAATTTGGGGGAGAGGAGCCGGGGTGGGGGTCTGGTTATTTGTGCGTGGAAGTAACAGGTCATGGGGATATCGTAGAAAAGTATAGGTTGGGGGATCAGGATAGGGTGTCTGTATGGGTGTTTTATCAATAATAATAATAATAACAAATCTACAGTATGATAAGAGTAGGTGGCGTTGAGGGGCAGTGGCTTGGACAGCAGGAGGCTGTTTGAGGGACGGGGTGGGCCAATGGGGGGGTTGATTATTGTGTGGGGTGTGTGGTAGACTACAGTGGGAGAGGCAGTAGATTGAGATGTAAGTGTGGGAAGTTTGGGCAAGGACTGGGTGTGTTGAGGGGCAGAAACTGGAGGATCAGGAGGGATGGGCTGTGAAGAGGATGAGGAAAAGGTTGAGGCCAGTATTGCAGTACATGGTGGAAGGGAGTAATCTTAATATAGGAAAGCGTAGGATATTAAACAGTAGTGTTGCTGTCTTAATCACCATTAATGTCATATTGTGCTGTGTTTATTGTCCATGCTATTTATTACAAAAATGAATTGTCTGATGGGTGTCAGGTTCATGGATATGTGTAAGGCAGTGTCTGCTGTGAAGAGAGACTGGGCTGTTAAGGATCTTTGTGTGTGTTTTTGTGCGGGGAGGTGAAAGTGACATTATGGGGTGAGAACTGGAGCAGAAGCAGGGGGAACAGAAGTTTATGGTCTACTAAGGAAGATGTGGAAATGTATTGGGGAGAGGTTAAGGCAATAGGCAGCACTGGGTTTACTACTCCTACACACATATATAGTTACTGGGTAGAGTGGGAGAAGGACTGAAGGCAACTGAAAAAAGCTAGGGAGATACTTGGAAAAGGGAGAGGCGGGTGAGACAGCAAAAAGGAGGATGTGACAGATGAGGAAGAAGGTGCTGAAGGGATGTCCTTTGTTGTCTTTGTTGGGGAGCAGCACTCTGCCTGGAAAAGGTAGGCTGAGGCACCTTTTGTTTGCTACCTTGGCCCTGGCATGTGCCAGAGTTTGCTGGTGAAGAAGGGTAAGGAAGATGTTGGTGGAAGGACCTTTCTGTTCTGTCCTCTCCCTTTATCCTCTTGCCTCCAGGGTGTCTGGTGCTTCTGTTCATCTCAGCTAACCGATCATCCTTCTTAAGAGTAGGATGAAGGAAAGAGATGAGGCTATGACAAGAATGGGAAACCCTAGGCCTTCTGCCTTCTGTTGCCTTCATTCCCTGCTGTGCCTCCTTCATTTCAATTGTTAGAGAAATCATATGAGAATAGGTTTTTCCTTCCAGCAATTTGCCTGGTACCTGTCTGTATTGTTAGGCTGTTAACATGCTGGAGAGGTGTCTGGAGCAAGACTATGACTACAAGTGTGATTTGTATGTTCCCTTTCATATTGTAGGGCTGAAAGAGTAGCTTTAGCATGTTCTCTCTCATATATATATATAAAATGCGCATCAAATGAATATTAGAAGGGGGAAAGAATTCAGACTGAGATTTACTGTAATTGCAGAGCAAACCATAGCAATAAAAAACCTCCAGTGCTTCTGGGACAACAGAATTTGTATTTGATACTGTACATGTGAGCCTATTATGTGTATGAGTGCTAGACTGGGTTTCTTTTATTTTTGTTTCAGATGGCGGATGTTGATGTTTGTGCTGGTGGGGATAGCACCAGAAGAAAAATGGATGCTCTAGCAGATAGTGCAGCTGAGATCGTTCCGTTGGAGCTCTATGATTCAGCTCGAGCAAAAATAGCTGCTAATCTACAATGGATCTGTGCTAAAGCCTATGGAATAGGTAAAAATCCCCATTGAGTGATTATTCTTTTATCTCTCCCCTTTTGCTTTCCCCCTGTCTTGCTCTCTCAGCTGTTAAATGGATTTGAAATGATCTGTGTTTTACATATCAATCATGTGCCAAACCGATTTGCCTGCTTGCCCTATTCCCATGTTTTTAGATCCCAGGATATTAATAAGTGCTTGGTAGGAACCTTGTCAGTGTACATCCCTTTTCCTCATTGTGAATGGTTTGTAGAAGTGCATATAACTGTGTTTTTGTTTTTGTTTCATGAAATAGTGCTCTCTCACACAGAACCTAGACCTACAAAGGCTGAGCTCTTGAAGGCCCTTAAATCCTTATTATTGTGTGATTCATTCTGGCAATCCTTTAGATCCTTGCTGCTACCTTTTTATGGAGCATAGCTGATTAGAGAATAAGAATCTTGTGGCTTCTGTATCATATTGTAGATATTTCACTCATCTATTTTTTAACCAAGGCTGCTGTATTCTAGAACATAGCAGTGAGGCAGCATTCATTTCTTTGCATAACATTGTGGGTAATGAATATGAATAGATGGGATAGAAAAAAATCTTGTTTGAAACTTTAGTTTTATTTCTACGGTCTTCTGAAGCACTATTACCATCCAGTGTGTTGTATTAAAGTAGATTCTGCTTTGTCTACTTTGAGTTCTTGGTTTTTGTCATTTGTGCCAGGATTTTGGCTGCATATCGGTATTATACTTTTAACTGAAACAAAATGTAACATGTAGAAAATTAGATAGCCCTGTTAATCTGACTAATTTGCCAAACTCTAATATGCTTAATGGATTAACATTAGCTTGTGTTGTGTTAGTGCTAAGTAATACACTGTATTCCTGCAATCACATGGCTTTGGTTTGTTTTCAGCTTTTAGAATGGGGATGATTGTTCATGTGGCACAGCAAAATTAGGAGCTTTGAGCAAGTTTTTGGTTCACTTCTTCTGTTTATGAAAGTATACTATAATTTCAATTAGCAGCAAAGTCAAATAATATTCTATCATAACACAAGCTGTGACTGCAGTTTAAAAATTATAACTGGACACTAAAGTAAATATCTACAATTTCGTTTTTGTGGGTTTTTGAATTAGCTTATTTTGGTAAAAAAAATAGTATCGTGCAGCCACTAACTGGTCTACTTTGGGTAGAGCACATTTGTTGCATGGCCTGTGTTTGTTTAAAACCTCCATGGGAACTAGGCTTGGGCAGTCATGTGTGATGGCAAGTTCTAGACATATCCATACTTGGCGTCAATATTAATGCCAGATTCCCTTAATTGATTTCCTCACCTTTAAAAAAGTCTACTAATTCTGTAAACAAGTATAGAGATTAGGCTAATATTCCTGTGTTTTGCATATGAAACCAGCCATAAGCAGGTTAATATCTTTAAATTTCAGTGTTATCCTCTAATACAAATGAGAAGCCTTCTAGTCCTTCTAGTTCTTAAATGACTTGGATTGCTTCTCAGAATACCTGGTAGTAATACAGTATTGCCTCAAAATGAGCATACCTGTAAAAAATGTCAATTGTACTCAAGGCATATTCATCTAATTTCATATATGCTTCATCTCATCTAACTTATTTGTAAGGCATGGGTTCTGCTTATGCTGGAGAGCACAGTTGTTCAGTGTTGCAAAGGGCATTAGCACTTGGTGGGGGTGAAAGGAAGGAGATGGAAATATGTAAAACTTGACCAGTGCTAAAGGTCTTGGTAAGTGCCTCATTCTGTACAAACTTCATTTGTATGCAATGTCATCTTCAGGTGAGGCCTTGCTTCAGCTTCCTTAAGTATTTGAAGCCAGTTTTATTGTTTCCCTTGAAGCTGAACCTTCTCTTTGGTGGTGCCTTTCCTGTGCAGCATCTCAAGAGAGGCCCATTCTGCTGAAGCTTTTAGTAAATCTGACAAAGCGAAAACATTTCTGCTGTCTTTTGGGAGATAAAATTGACCTGTGTCTTGATAATGGTGGTGTTTCTATTTTAGTTGTTAAGTTTTTATGGAGTTTTAAGTTGTTTTGATTGGTTCTCTCTTATTGCAGCTTAAACTGCTTTGCATTACTAATATTTAAATTTGTAAGGCATTTTAGAAGGAGCTTTTTACTGCATTAGGTGGTATATAAGAGCCACACACCCCAAAAATCAGTACAGTGGTACCTCGGTTTTTTAACGTAATCCGTTCCGGAAGACTGTTCGAGTTCTTAAACGTTCGAAAACAGAAAACAGCTAGGCCTCAGGATCTTGCACTCAGCAGAAGCCACGTGGCATGTTCAACTTCTGAGGCATGTTCGAAAACTGAAGCATTTACTTCCGGGGTTAGGGCGTTTGAAAACCAAAATGTTTGTCAATGGAGAACCACTGGACTATATTGTACTTTTTGAAGGCGCCTGAAACACTTTAGTTCTATATCTCAACTAAAATGTGAGGCTTAAGTTTAGTTTAGTTTAGTTTAGTTTAGGCTGATCCCTTCTAATTAATTATAGAATCACAGAATTGTAGAGTTGGAAGAGACCCCAAAGGTATCTAGTTCAACCCCTTACAATGCAGAAATCTCAACTAAGGCACCCATGATAGATGATCATCCAACCTCTGCTTAAAAACCTCCAAAGAAGGAGAGTTCACCACCTCCCAAGGGAGTTTGTTTCACTGTCAAACAGCTCTTACAGTCAGAATGTTCTTCCTGATGCTTAGTCAGAATCTTCTTTCTTGTAACTTGAAGCCCTTGATTTGGGTCCTGTCCTCTGGAGCAGAAGAATAATTATGATATTAATTAGTTAATTAATTAGCTTAACAAGTTAACTGTTTATATTTGGACAACTTTTCTGATGTACTTTATTGGAAGAAGAAAAATAATAATTTCCTTAATAATAATTTAAACAATTTATGTAACTAAAACAAAAACATAATAGCATATGTATCAATGTTTGTAAACTGATGTGGTTAAACAATTTTTCAAAAGAAATATTTTAAGCACACATGAAAAACTGAAAACAAATCCTTATTTCCTGATGAATAGCCTTTGGACTATAATGTACAGTGGTACCTCGGGTTACATACGCTTCAGGTTACAGACTCCACTAACCCAGAAATAGTACCTTGGGTTAAGAACTTTGCTTCAGGATGAGAACAGAAATCATGCTCCGGTGGCATGGCAGCAGCAGGAGGCCCCATTAGCTAAAGTGGTGCTTCAGGTTAAGAACAGTTTCAGGTTAAGAACGGACCTCTGGAACGAATTAAGTACTTAACCTGAGGTACCACTGCCACTTATAAAAAACTATCTTTAGAAATATTTTCTCTCCAAAAGCATTTTATTTCTAAAATCCAATTTAATTTTTTTTTTAAATCCGTTTTTTAAAAAAAAATCATTGATTTTTATCCACCCTGAGTTTGCTTCATCTTGCATATCACAGCCCTTAGGATATTTGAAGATGGCTATCATATCTCCTCTCAGTCTCCTCTTCTCCAGGCTGAATATAGTAAACTCCCACAACCATTCCTCATAAGCCTTGGTTTCCAGACCTTTGATCATCTTGGTTGGCCACCTCTGCACACAACTCAGCTTGTCAACATACTTTTTAAATTGTTGTGCCCAGAATTGGACACAGTACTCCACGTGTGGTCTGACCAAGGCAGAATAGTGGTACTATTACTTCCCCTGATCTGGACTTCTGTTGATGTAGTCTAGAATAGCATTAATTTATTTTTGCTGCTGTATCACACTGTTGAACTATGTGATGAAGGCAGAAATGATGCTTGGCCTTTGGCTGCTTTTATGAGAACTGCTTACTTGATCTGAATGACGTCATGCTGGCCAGGAATTTTTTTTTAATTATGATGCGCTTGCATGTTTAGGAATGTTGTACTGTGCTTTCTAGTGCAGGAAATGTAGGCATCCTGCAGAAGGAAAGCAAAGCCGGGGAAAGGACAGAAAGTTGGAGAAGCAAACCAGGGGATCACTGATGATCCCCTGAAATTGTTGTTGTTATTTATTAAATTTGTCTACCGTCCTATACTCACAGGTGTCAGGGTGGTTCACAGGATAAAATCATAATATAAAACCACAAAATACATAATCAAAATAAAAGCAATAACAACCCAATAACCCCCCCACCCCCACAATTGCAAAAGTGAACTATGCTGTAGTCTCTCTTGTGCAGATGCAGTGAGAACAATTTCACTTGGATATAGAGCTGGTGGATAAGGTACAAATTTTAAAATGCATAATAGAATGAGGCTAACACCACATGTTGCTGTGTATCCCTGTTGTGTATAACCTGAGGTTGCAAAAAAATAATAAATTAAATGCAAAATCTATGTTTATCCAACTTTAAGTACGGTACTTCATTTATTTCTCATGACTGCTATGTTGCTTCCCCCTCTTTCTTACTACATTTTTGCTTAATATGGTACGGTTTTTTTAAAAGCCTCATGGCTAAACCCTAATAATTGTTACAATCTAAGTATCTTTTAGTGCAGTAAGTACAGGCAACTCCCCATTTATGTGGGGGTTATATTCCAAGGCACCATTCATTTAAGTGAAATTATGTATATTTGAAACACCCCACTCTGCCACTGTCCTGTTCTGCCCCTTTTTGTGACTTTTTCACCTCAATTCCAGTTTTGGCGCAATGCACATGTTTATGGTCGCACACATATCAGACATGCCTAAAACCTTTGCTGCCTATACTGTATCTCTTTGTGCCAACATGTTAATTCTCTAGATCAGCCTTTCTCAACCTTTGGTCCCCAGGTATTATTGAACTACAACTCCCATCATCCACTACCACTGACCATGCTAGCTAGGAGTTGTAGTCTGAAAACATCTAGGGACCCAAGGGTGAGAAAGGCTGCTCTAGATGTTAATAGACTCCAGGTCCCACTAGCCACTGTCTGCATAGCTAGTGGTCAGGTATGATGTGATTTTTTTTAGTCCCAACAGCTTCTGGAAAGCCACACATTGGCTGCATCTTATTTCAGCTAGTGATATTGCTCACATGATATTTATCACAAGTATTTCTTTTTAAACAAGATATGCCTGTTTGCTTAGAGCCTCATTGAGGAAATAGACTTAACTCACATATAAGTGTATAAGCTTGCAGTTTTTGGCTCTGTTATCCTGGTTGGCTACTTCAGAAAATGAGAGTAGAAGTGTTTGTGGAAATCTGAATTAGTGAAGCTTCAGGTTGGGACTTTATTTAAACCATATGTTCTGAGTCTCAGCTCCTTGGTTTTCACATGGTCTAGTTTAAAGTGTGCATGGGGTATAGGGGATGTTAGAGGAAGGGGTATCTGTGGTGGAAGACGTGTCATGTTCTTTCTGGGGTAGTTTGTTCATCTTGGTCCCCATCCTGTACTAAGCTCTCATCTGTGGCTCCTAGAAGCTGTCAGCATGTGACAGCGGACACACTCTGGGAATCACTTCAACTGGCTAGCTAAACCAGGTGAGAGTAGCCGATGAGTGAGTTAGGGACAGGTTCCAGTGGACTGAGCAGATGAGAGCAATAGTGGGTCCAATGGTTATCAAGGCTGTTTCTGCATGTGCTGTAGAGGGAAGTGAGGGGCAGATGGGGCTCTTCAACCTGGGAAGGTAGCCCATCTAGGAGAAGGAAAACTTGGATCCTAAACCTCTGCTGTATTGCAGGATATATTCAAGAGAAGAAACAGTAAGAAGTAAAACCTACACAAATCTGAAGTGCAGCCCCTAAGAAGGTTGGGTGGCACCTTGAATGCCTCCTTCCAGCAATTCCTGAAGCTAGGCTGGTGCCAAACGTGTTGTTCTCTCTTTTTTTTTTGGACCACATCAGTGAGGCTGAGGGCTGGGCAGCCTAGGACTTCCATATACAATGTGGACACCCTGGAGAGGTCACTTAGGTGCTGCTAACACAGAGGCTTGGGTGCACTCCATTGTTTCAACACAGATGAATGCAAACAACAAGAAGTTTAAAGTAAGAAGTAGATTTTAGGGCACACAGACTACAGTGCTTATTGGAATCCTCTTCTAATCACAGTTGTACTCCTTGCAACACTTGTCTGCACAATCTATTGTTTTGGATTCTTGGCAGGAGATGAGATTTTGTTTTATGAAAAAAATTGGAAATATAAAAAAGAGTTGCACCCAGGTGATAGCTGCTCTCTGTAGACTGCTTTTCTTCTATTTATTAATATATTATATCTAGGTTCTGACTTCATTGGGACTTTGATAACATAAAAAAGGCTAACAGTATATAGAAGGCTAGAAAAGGAGGCTTGCAGTATGTTGAATGCTGTCATATAAACAAAGATACAATAAATACTGTATTTTTCGCTCTATAGGACGCACCGGACCATAGGACGCACCTTGTTTTAGAGGGGGAGAACAAGAAAAATAAATTATCCCGCTCTCTGCTCAGCGCCCCTTCAGCGAAGCGGCAGGAGAAACGGAGCCCCTTCCATTTCTCCTGCCGCTTCACTGAAGGGGCGCTGCGCAAAGAGGGGGCGAATTTATTTTTCTTGGTCTCCCCCTCGAGCACAAGGTGCGTTCTGTGCGTTCAACTGTGCTGCCCCCCAAGCTTGTGGGGCTGGCGGTGGGGGGAAGCGCTGCTTTCCCCTACCGCCAGCCTCGAAGATCCATGAAGCCTTCGGAGCGCAGCGCGAGTTCCCGCTGTGCTCCGCAGGCTTCGGGTACCTTGTCCTGAAGCCGGGAGAGCAAGACTCTCCTGGCTCCAGCGAAAGGAACCTGAAGCCTCCGGAACGCAGCAGGAACTCGTGGTGCATTCCGAAGGTTTCAGGCGGCTATTCCTGAAGCCTGGAGAGCGAGAGAGGTCGGTGTGCACCGACCCCTCTCACTCTCCAGGCTTCAGCGAAAGCAACGCGAAGCCTCCGGAGCATGGAGGGAGCGCTCCCTCTGTGCTTTGGAGGCTTCGCGTTGCTATCGCTGAAGCCAAGGAGCCTGAATTCGCTCCATAGGACGCACACACATTTCCCCTTCATTTTTGGAGGGGGAAAAGTGCGTCTTATAGAGCGAAAAATACGGTATATGTTTTGGTAGAGCAGGAGGATTGTTTGTTTTTAGAAACTGTGAAATGTAGGACTTTTGATCCTTATTTTATACCAGTTGGATTATCATTCTACTTATATTAAAAGGGGAAAGAGAATTAATCCTGGATACAAATGGAGTTCCTTTGTTGTCTTTCTAAATCAGGTAGATGCGGTTTGCTTTACTTGGTTCTGCTCAAACAATGAATTGGACCTGCTAACACTTCACTCTTCAAATGTTTATTAGGCTTTTAACATTGTCGGTAGCAATAAAGTATTAGCATGAAGACAAAATGTGCTCTACAGACATCTGAAGACTAGAATATATACTTCTTGGCTGAAAATAGATTGGTTTTAAAAGGCAATCTTGTGGGCTTCATCTACTGATAGCTGAGATTTGCCTAAGAGGTAAGATTGGAACTTGAGACTGGTAGCTTTCATTATCCGAACCAATGTACAGTATTACATTATCTGCAATGTGCATCATATGAGGAACTACTAAGGAGCAAACATAGATATCTGTGCTCACCTGGAACATTGACTTTCTGTGTAATTGGGCAATTAGAATAAGATGCCATTATTTGGATGCAAAAAACTTGTTTGCACTTGTCCTTAGGCTTGTTTCTGGGTGAAACATTTTCATGCTGCTTCAAGGGAACCAGCATTCGTAATTAGCCAGGGGCCAATCACATTTTGTGACTGGCAACGAGCCTTTTGTGAGGCAGTGGAGATGTCCAGGTGCCATTGTTTGGCGCCTAACATCTCCACCTGGCTGACATGGCACCAAAAGACATGCCTCTTTCACTGCTGCCCTGTCCTGTGAATCACCTGGTTGGTGGGGCATTAGGGCACTAGAAGATGCATGCCTTTTGGTGCTGCCATTCCAGCTCATTGGGCTTCAGTGGCTCCCCTTCCTTCAGAAGGCTGGCACTCTTCACGGCTCCCTTGCTGCTGAAACATCTGCAGTGCCAACAACTTCCTCTTCCTTTTTTTCTCATTCAGTGGAGGCCACCTGGGCCCAATTTTGTTGGGGCCAAGGCAGTTGAGCCCCAGAGTTAGTGGGCTGCTCCTGGTGGCGGTGGAGACCAGCGGCAAAGGTGACAGTGGAGGTGCCAACAGCCATGGCAAGAGGCGCAGCCGATGGTGTGCAGGTGCCTGACCCTCTGCTGCTATAGATTGGGGTTGCTGCCTGGAGCCCCACTGACACTGCAAATGCGGAGCTGTTTGTTCTGCTGCTCCAACTTCCTAAACAGCTCCCACATCTTCTGCAGTTCAGTGTAGGCCTGACTCCAAATAACCCTGTGACCCTCTCGTTGCACAAGGCAGCAGCAGGAGTGATACTGCTGTTGCCACCTTCTCCTTCTCCTATTCTCTCTCTGTCAGGTGAAGCTTCCACCCTCCCTCTTCTTCTTCCCCTTCTCCAATGCTGCAGGCCAGCTGTCTTCCAAGGTGGCCTAAGGAAGGTGGGCCACCTCTACATGTCTGGGTGGGGAAGGCTACTCTCACTGCCACCCCGCGGCTCCTGTCCCAGAGGCCGGGTCCAGTCAGCCAGCTGCCACAGTGTTGGGGAAAGGGAAGAATGTATTATTCTGATGCATCATTCAGTCATAATGTGATCAGCATTTTTGGACTTTGTTCTGTTATTTGAATCTAACATCAAGATACTCCGGTTGAGACACTCCTATTGATATGTGTTTCGTCTGCAGTCTTGTTTTGTATTACTGAGGCTCATTTCCTTTACTAATGTGGTAAAATGAGGTAGTATCCTGACCATGTGAATAATGCATAATATGGACAATATGGACTAGATAAATTAATCTGCTATATCAGGGCTTTATAAAGCTCAAGTGACTTTCTATTTCCAGCTACTCACTGCCCCCCTCAAGCCCTGTGTAGAGTTGTGCTTCGTTCATTACCACATGGCTTCTCTTCAATTTTGTGTGAAACCTAAACTAATCTATTAGTACACTTGGATTGTTACATCTCTTGCATGGAGAACTGTTTTTTTAAGATGCAATCCTAACTCCACTTATCTAGGAGAAAGCCCCGTTGAATTACTTCTGAGTAGATAAGGTTACAACTACACTGTTAGTGCTTATTTAAAACATTTATGTGCCATCATTCTACCTGATAGCAAGCATTCTAGGCAACTCAAAATGAAACATAACATTATATTTTATCACAGTTTAAAACATACAATTGCAACACAAAGCATTATTACCAATCTGACAATATTTTAAAATAATATCTATTTTGCTGAGTGGTCAGGTAATACTAGGTAGTAGGGTAGGTTGTTGATTTTGCACAGACACAGGAAAACTTGTAATACTGATTAGGTACTTCCCATCTCTATCAGGCTATACACTATCATTTTATTTTCCTTGTTTATAAAACAACTGAATAGATTTGAAAACTTTACAAATCCTTGTTAATGCTGAAAACTACTTTTGAAATCTGTTGGTAGGAGTAACAAAAAATAAGTAACTTGAAATAAAGTTTTAGTACCGTAACTAGAATTCCTAAAACTCAAAACTGCAACTTCCTTGGGATTTTAGAATAGTATGGATATTGTCCTGCATAATTGTTGTAGTACTTTCATGAGAATTGGGTGAAACTAAGAAGCTAATAGTTTTATGTACATAGCAGTTTCTGAAAACAAATGTAACTCACTGGTGCTTTGCATTGTACTTATTCCTGGGAACCTTATAGCAACTGAACACTAATAAAAATAATCTGAGAAGGATGAAAAAATGTATAAAAGGTCCTCAAGCAGCAGCTTCCTATTCTTGAATGAGCCCTGCATTGGTAGACTTGGAGGTGGTGAGTCTCTCATAAAGAAATTTTGGTCAGAAATTTTCAGCAATACAGCTTGTGGATTATGCCAGCAGCATAAGAAGATCCTGCTGGATCAGGCCAATAGCCCATTTAGTTCAGGATCCTTCTCTCACAGTGACTGAACAGATGCCTGAGGGAAACCAGCAAGCAGGATTTGAGCACAAGAACACTCTCCCCTCGTGTGGTTTCCATAACTGGTATCAATCTTGTTAGATCTGACTCTGACATTTCAATCAGCAGTAGTCATTCCCTCCATGATTTTCAGAGTAAACCTCCATCTAGAAGCACTTGTAGTCTTTGCCTGCATTTTGGACTTTATAGAAGCATATAGCAATTATTTCCTGTTCCACTACAGCTCTCTAGGGCATAATCTGTCTGTTTGGTAATGGTGTGTCATTTCCCTTCAGGGTAATGATAATATAAATTATGTCTGTATATGTAAAATAAGGTATCCTGGGGAAAACCCTAGGATATTCAGCTGGGCTTGTGACCCTCAAGGGGTCATTGGGTGTGCATACATGTATCTTCAGAAGGTCATCAGTGCTGGGATTCTTGGAATGTCAATGGCTATTGAAAGACATGAAGCATGTTCTGGAATGTGTGCTCTGAAACTGCAAATAGTAGCTCTAGAAGAAGTAATAACAGAAAGCTGCTGAATTCTGATCAAAGCCCAGATCAGTCAGATAGGCTTTATCATTTTCTGGACTAGTGGAATGATAAACTACTTTATGCAGTAAAGTGCTGTGCTCAGTGGGTGAAAGCATAATTGGACTAGAGGTATCCTTGGCAAGAGAAAGATGAGCACTTCTCCTGAAATCTCTGCCTTGTTCTGAAGATTGAGCTTTTACAGCCTGATAATGTGGACAGGATACTTGGTAGTGGGTTAGGCTTACCACATGTCATTTGGCTCTTTGTTTATCATGGTTTGTGAGAGCTAATTAAGAGGGATTGACTGGATGCTCATTGTGGGAGGGAGCAATTCCTACCATTTTGAAAGAGGTAATGCTGTGCTCCCTCCTTAAGAGGCCTTACCTGGACCCTGAGGTGGGTTAAAAAAAAGATTAGCAACTATTTTATTAGCTCATTTGACACACACTCCCTAGCCCTTAATCCTCCATAAAAGTTTTTGTCACTCTGTTCCAAAGAGAATCAAGCACAATAGCTGCACAAGCCTAGCCACACACCACGCAAGCAAGGTGCTAGTTTAAGGCTTGGCTCTTTTTGTCATACATAGATCTGCTGATTGATGAAGCAGAGCTCCTCCTCCTCTGCAAAAGAAAGGCCCCCAAGAAGTTTCAGTCCTAGCCTAAGAAAGTGTAGGATCTTTGAAGCTGCATCGTCGTCATCAGAAAGCTTGGTGGTCTCTGCTGGCAAAAGGAGTGGGGTGTGAAAAGCCAAACACAGGCCCACTGGTACCTTTGATTTGATCCAGGCCTCAGAGATGGGCAGTTTGGGCATCCTCTGCCTTAGTAAGTACAATCAGGTGTTGGCTGATGAGGAAGACAAGCAGCAAGCTAGCAATCTCCACCATCAAGTTAATTCTGAGTTTCCATTTGCTGCCACAAAACACAGGGTGCCCATCCACGTAAATGGGTCGCTGGTCTTCATTTGCCAGGAAAAAGTCACAATTGTTTTTCAGCTTGATGATGCCTTGCTTGTGGGATATTTTTGAGGCTGGCCCCTGCAGTGCTAGATCCACACCAATCTGATTGTCTTTGGTGGCTCTGCCAAGTGTGATCTTCCATGGCTCTGCCAAGTGTGATCCCCCAGGAGTGCCTAAGATAATGCACCACCCTTTCACGCAACACAGCCAATGTCTGGTTATCAAAATCAGGGGAAGTCATTCCTGTTATACTGTCCACAAGCACCTGCCACTTATGTAGCTCTTGCTCCAGCTGCTGGAGTTCATGCTTCTGTCTCCAGTCTGCCTTGGTCAGCTCATGCTCCAACACCTCATCTCAGATATCATTTGGTTTGCTGTCATCTATCATGTATTTGGCATGAGACAGTTGAGCACCTGATCCCCTTTGGGCAGTGGCTGCAATGTTCCCAAGAGGTAGTACTGCTTCATTAGTTTCCAGTGTGTTGGTAGGATCTTGGCAGTGCAGGAGGGGTAGAAAACCTCTGGGTATCCATGGTGGGTTGGCTCCACTGCTTTGCTGAAGAGCACTTTACTCTGCATAGAGACTATGGCTTCTGGATGCAACTGCTGCATGGCCTGTCAAGACAGCTTTGAAATCACAGGGTTATAGAGCAGAGCATGCCACCTCTTCTGGATCTCCTGCAGATTAAAACAGCAGTTGAACCCCCAAGTGCAAAGAGGTCAAGTCATGGTCTGAAACACAATGCTGATCAACAGCAAGATCAGTGGGTTTCCAGCGGCCCAAATCCTTGGTGTCCTTCAAAGGCTGCTTGCACTTCTTCATCATCTGCTTGGTGATGCTGGGATTTGGAGCTGGGCTTGGAGTGACTTGTGCAGATTTGGACACCTTCTTCTTGTCACTGGAAGAAGGCTCATTGGCAGAGTAGTGCCCTGACTCCACCCCACTGGAGTTCTTGGCCTGGCTGGATGATTTGGCAAGACTGCTCTCTACAAGTTCATCATCAAACTTCATCATCATGGCACCCAACACCTGTGAGGAGCTCATTTTTTGCCCTTCCAGAGACTTGTCTTCAGAGTGACTCATTGTGCTTGACACCGTCAGTCTGGAATCCAGCATGTCATTCCCAAGTGTTATAGGAAAGACGTGCTGGATTCTCCTTTCTCTCTCTGACCTCCATCTTGGAGATGTGAACCTGAGGTGTTTTGAGAAGTACTGCCCAGTTGTGAATATCCCTTTTGAGGCACAAGGTAATTGAGATGGTAGTGGCTGGTTAATTGCAGATGTTCATGGATGAAATAGATTATCTGAAACAATTTCAGTCTGGGCCTGGTTATGGCATCAACAAAGCCTTGGTTGCTGATTACCTTTACCAGCAGAGAGCAGGGGAGTGCTAGATTAAGAGCTGCAGTTAGTGCAGAACATGGCTACAAGGTTGCTGAGCTGTGTAGCTAAGTGGAATCGTATAGCACCAATCCTTAGAATGCTGTGCTAGTTGCTGTAACTGTTTCGTGTTGCTTTTACATGTTTTTTATGTATACTGCCTTGATATTTTGCAAGAGTGCAGTATATAAAAACTATATATACTACTCCTGAGGCCTCAAATGGTCAGATTCTATTGTTCTGATCTAGTGAGGCAGAAATATATAACATAGTGATAGTCTAATAAACATGCAAAAAACGCAAATGGTGTGTTGCTCTTGGTGGCTTGAAGAATCCTGTATGATAGAAATAAAACGTTTTGAAGACATTGTAAAGTGGTTGAGGTCTGCTAGTTCACATCAAGCCTTTACTTAGAAATAAGTTCTGCTGAGTTCAATGGAACCTGCTTCCAGTTAAGTGTGTTTAGAGAGCTTCCTGGTGCGTATGTATTATTTGGATTGGTGTTCCTCATGCATGCAGGTTTCTTCTAACTTCCCCATCAAAATATGAGTACTGTACACATTCTCCCCACACCTCCATTAATCCGGATTTACCCTTTCCAGGGGAAATCCAGTAAGTGGAAAAACCCTTGCTGCCAATGTCCTGTTTGCAATGTCTCAGCAACTCAATGGCAAATTAAGCCCCTGTCTGGAAGCACTCTCTGTTACATCAAATTAAAAAGGTTGTGTGCATGTCAAAGCTATTGATAAACTACTGCAAACTTTCAGTGAGTATCTCTGGTGTCATTAGCAGTATGCTAATTTAAAAGATGTTAGTGTTTTAAATGTACATTTTAGATATCAAGTTATCATAGTACAATAAAGTTTATTATTTGAATTTGTCAATCTGTAAAACATTTAAACTGTTAAAAAAAGAATAATATTGATATACTGTTGGCTACGGTTTCAGGTTAGGTTGCTTTTACTCTTTCCTGACGAGGTGTTCTGTGGTTATGAGAGGTTCAAGATGACCAGAAATAACCTGATGTATGTTCTGCTAACCATTATAGATTATTATTTATATAGTGCTGGCTACACACATAGTGCTTTACAAAGAACAGTTGCAACAAGGCATTGCCTCAGTGGACTTACAATCTGAAATCGACACAGGGAAAGCAGAGGAAGGGGGAAAATGGAGGCAATAATATGTGATTACTTCAATTTCATGTACTTTTGCTTGGTTACAAAAAGAACTTCCTGGAAAAAGAAAAGAGTCTTGTGGAGGAAGTTAAAGGAAATGGGGGAGGTGGTCACATTGAGGTATTGGATGACCGAGGGTAGTAGAGCCAGTTCACCCAAGGTCACAGAAAGGGACGTGTTGGGAAAGAAATAATTTTTTTGCAGCTACTATAGTAAGTTGCTCATCTATGTTCTCTAATATTCTTAAATGCCAGAAAGCATTTCTGGCAAGCGATGGGCTGCACCTCACAACGGTTGGGAGGAATGTTTTTGCCAAAAATCTCAGAAACCTCATCAGGAGGGCTTTAAACTGACTAATGTGGGGGAGGGAGACAGTGCTCCTGAAGGTAGGAGTCTATCAATTGATGAAGATGATCATCCAAATGTCATAGACCAAATGGAGCAAACAGCACGCAGAACTAGTGGTGGGAGGAAAAAATCCTTAAATAAGAGACATGGGGGAATGATTAATGGACTTCAATGTCTGTACACTAATGCGCAAAGCATGGGAAATTAGATGAGCTTGAGCTCTTGGTACAGCAAACTAAATATGACATAATAGGCATCACTGAAACCTGGTGGGATAAGTCCCACGATTGGAATGTAATAATGGAGGGATACAAACTATTTCAGAGAAACAGACCAGACAAGAAAGGAGGAGGAGTGGGGTTATATGTCAGGGATGTGTATACCTGTGAAGAGATCCAAGATTTAGAACCTCAAAGCCAAAGTGAGAGCATTTGGGTCAAAATTAAGGGAGAGAAGAATAACAGTGACCTCATTGTGGGAGTTTACTATAGATCCCCAAGCCAAACGGAGGACATAGATGATGCCTTCCTGGAACAGATGGCCAAGCATGCAAAAGGAAGGGAGATAGTAGTAATGGGGGACTTCAATTACCCGGATATTTGTTGGATGTCAAACTCAGCCAAGAGCATAAGGTCAAACAGATTCCTCACTGGCCTTGCAGACAACTTCATTGTCCAGAAAGTGGGAGAAGCAACAAGAGGAACAGCCATTTTAGATCTGGTCCTAACCAATGATGACCTGGTTAGTGGGGTAGAAGTGGAAGGATCATTAGGCGCGGGTGATCATGCTCTTCTGAAGTTTACTATACAGCGGAAAGGAGCAGCCAAGCATACTAGGACTCAATTTCTTGACTTTAAGAAAGCTGACTTCATAAAACTTAGGGAAGTGCTGGGTGAGATCCCATGGACAGTAATACTAAAAGGAAAGGGAGTTCATGATGGCTGGGAGTTTGTTAAGAGGGAGATAGTAAAAGCACAACTTCAGGCAATACCAATGAGAAGGAAACATGGAAGGTGCCTAAAGAAGCCAGGGTGGCTATCTAAAGAACTTTTAACTGAGTTAAGATTAAAAAAGGATGTGTACAAAAATGGAAAAGGGGAAACCACCAAAGAGGAATTCAAACAAATAGCCAGCACGTGTAGACACAAAGTCAGAAAAGCTAAAGCACAGAATGAACTCAGGCTTGCTAGAGAGGTTAAAAGCAACAAAAAAGGCTTTTATGGGTATGTTCGTAGCAAAAGGAAGAACAAAGAAACAGTGGGATCACTCAGAGGAGAAGATGGTGAAATGCAAACAGGGGACACAGAAAGGGCTGAGCTCCTCAATGCCTTCTTTGCCTCAGTCTTCTCCGATAAAGAAAACAATGCCCGACCTGGAGAATTTGGAGCAAATGATTCAGCAGAGGAAACACAGCCCAGAATAACTAAGGAGATAGTACAAGAATACTTGGCTAGTCTAGATGTATTCAAGTCTCCAGGGCCAGATGAACTGCATCCAAGAGTATTAAAAGAACTGGCAGATGTGATCTCAGAACCACTGGCAGTCATCTTTGAGAATTCCTGGAGAACAGGCGAAGTCCCGGCAGACTGGAGGAGGGCAAATGTTGTCCCTATTTTCAAAAAGGGGAAAAGAGAGGACCCAAATAATTACCACCCAGTCAGTCTGACATCAATACCAGGGAAGATTCTGGAGCAGATCATTAAACAGTCTGTGAGCACCTAGAAAGGAATGCTGTGATCACCAATAGTCAGCATGGATTTCTGAAACATAAGTCATGTCAGACTAACCTGATCTCATTTTTTGACAGAATTACAAGCCTGGTAGATGAAGGGAACGCAGTGGATGTAGCCTACCTTGATTTCAGCAAGGCATTTGACAAGGTGCCCCATGATATTCTTGTAAAGAAGCTGGTAAAATGCAGTCTTGACTATGCTACCACTCAGTGGATTTGTAACTGGCTGACTGACCGAACCCAAAGGGTGCTCATCAATGGTTCCTCTTCATCCTGGAGAAGAGTGACTAGTGGGGTACCACAGGGTTTTGTCTTGGGCCCGGTCTTATTCAACATCTTTATCAACGACTTGGATGATGGACTCAAGGGCATCCTGATCAAATTTGCAGATGACACCAAACTGGGAGGGGTGGCTAACACCCCAGAGGACAGGATCACACTTCAAAACGACCTTCACAGATTAGAGAACTGGGTCAAAACAAACAAGATGAATTTTAACAGGGAGAAATGTAAAGTATTGCACTTGGGCAAAAAAAATGAGAGGCACAGATACAAGATGGGTGACACCTGGCTTGAGAGCAGTACATGTGAAAAGGATCTAGGAGTCTTGGTTGACCACAAACATGACATGAGCCAACAGTGTGACGCGGCAGCTAAAAAGCCAATGCAATTCTGGGCTGCATCAATAGGAGTATAGCATCTAGATCAAGGGAAGTAATAGTGCCACTGTATTCTGCTCTGGTCAGACCTCACTTGGAGTACTGTGTCCAGTTCTGGGCACCACAGTTCAAGAAGGACACTGACAAACTGGAACGTGTCCAGAGGAGGGCAACCAAAATGGTCAAAGGCCTGGAAACGATGCCTTATGAGGAACGGCTTAGGGAGCTGGGCATGTTTAGCCTGGAGAAGAGGAGGTTAAGGGGTGATATGATAGCCATGTTCAAATATATAAAAGGATGTCACATAGAGGAGGGAGAAAGGCTGTTTTCTGCTGCTCCAGAGAAGCGGACACGGAGCAATGGATCCAAACCACAAGAAAGAAGATTCCACCTAAACATTAGGAAGAACTTCCTGACAGTAAGAGCTGTTCGACAGTGGAATTTGCTGCCAAGGAGTGTGGTGGAGTCTCCTTCTTTGGAGGTCTTTAAGCAGAGGCTTGACAACCATATGTCAGGAGTGCTCTGATGGTGTTGCCTGCTTGGCAGGGGGTTGGACTCGATGGCCCTTGTGGTCTCTTCCAACTCTATGATTCTATGAAAGTAGTTTGCTTCTGACTGTGTGTGCGTGTGTTTTGCCTCTGTTCTCAATGAGCTTTTTGTATTGCTTATAATGAACCCCCTTGTTAGACCTCATTCTTCTTTTCTTTCAGATAACATCCCAGATGAACTGAAGGACCCATTTTATATAGATCAGTATGAGGAAGAACATATTAAACCACCTGTCATCAAGCTGTTGCTGTCCAGCGAGCTCTACTGCCGTGTCTGCAGCCTCATTCTGAAAGGGGATCAGGTGGCTGCTCTGCAGGGACACCAGTCGGTCATCCAGGCTCTGTCTCGGAAAGGGATTTACGTCATGGAGAGCGATGATACACCTGTGTCTGAATTGGATCTCAGCTGTGCGCCAATCAAAATGGTTAGCTTAAGAAAAGAAAGCTTAACTTTTCTTTGCCGTAGTACCCATTCTGTCCTTCAGAGTTTTTCACCTTAGCTTCCTCAATTGTAGCCTGTTTTAATTAGCCAACTTAAAAAAATAAATATCCCCTGCTTTCTTCAAATATATTTGAATGAAACATGTTCTTATTTGTTCCTTAGAGTCCTCACATGGCAATGATTGATGCCCTCATGATGGCCTACACTGTGGAAATGATCAGCATTGAGAAAGTGGTTGCAAGTGTCAAATGTTTTTCTACATTTAGTGCCTCAAAGGAATTGCCCTATGATCTGGAGGATGCAATGATATTCTGGATTAATAAGGTAAAAAACAATGGTGTAAAACAGCATCTTTAGATGTGAGTAGATTTGAACTCTATTGCATACATTTCCTGTAGGGAAATGGTATTCAGTAGTCATTGCACTATTAATAAAAGTTATCCCCCCCATCAAACAATGAGTAAACAGCATAAACATATTTTATATTAAAAGAGTCTAAATTAATAAAACAGTGCTTTTTCTTCATTTGACCATAATGACATAAGAGCAGCCCTACTGGATAAGACCAAAGGTATCCCTAGTTAGTCCAGTTTCCTGTTTTCCACAATGGCCAACCAGAGGTCTCCAGGAAACCTACAAGGAGGGCACAAAGACAATAGTCTTCTCCCACTGTTGTTCCCTTACAACTGATTTACAGGATATCTTGGTGGTAGCACACAGCTACCATGACTAGTAGTCCATGATAGACAAATTCTTGGAGGAAAAGGCTTCTCTTGTTTGAAAGCTTTGTAAATTGGTGTCGGTCATCACATCACATCTTGTGGCAGAAAATTCAGCAGTTTAGATACGTACCAAGTGAAGTATTTCCCTCTGTTGTTCTTGACTTTCCCATGTTCTAGTATTATGAGAGATGGGGAAAGCACCTCTACCCACTCATATCCACTCAGTCTTTATTGTTTTATAGTGAAAAGGATCTGCTTGCTACCAAACATGATTTTGGGGGACTTTAATAAAATTATCCAATGTGGGAGGCTTTATTTATGAGGACTCCAATAAAAGTTACTCATTGTTCAGACACAGGTTAGCTCACACAGCTACTCTGCTTTATTGTGCCAACCCAGTGTGAAAATCCACTTCTCAAAATTAATTTTAAAACTGTTATTTTTGAAAATGATTATATATGAAACCAGAGATTGGCCTTAATTTTTAAAATAGGTTGGAAGTCATACATGTGAAGTAAATCAGTTGGGGTCTTTATTTAAGTCTAAACATAGCTTTTGTGTAGAGGACTTTTTTCACACTAAAGGTGCCTCACTTCAGCTGGATTGTGCCCATTTTGCACTGATAGTGTAGAAATCAAGATGTGGAGGATGTGTGCATTGAGGTTGAGAACTTTAAAAGGATATTAACCTTATCCTTCATGATAGCCATGTACTACCTCCAGTGTCAGGCAGTAGGCTTCTGTATGCCAGTTGCTGGGAATTGCTGTTGTGCTCAGGTCCTTGCAGCTGCCAGTAGGCATCTCCTTGGCCCCTGTGAGAACAGAATGCTGGAATAGATGGACCTTTGATCTAAACTAGTGCAGGGTTCTTAAATTCTTAGACTGTTGGCTGTGAGTCATTTGCAGTGCCATGTCTTTGGAGAATAGTTGGTTGGGAGAGGGGAGAGTCTAGAAAAAAATAGGAAGACATTGAAAAATGAAACAAGCACAGTGTGGGAGAGAACTGACTGGACAAATCCCTGAAGCTGGAATTCCTGATACCTGCCTTAACTTGGGTGTCTGTAATATGTACTAGAAAGCAGAAATGTTTTCTACTGTTTGTTAGCACCTAGAGCCTTAAGATAATGCAAGGAAAAACTGAGTGCAGTACCATTTTGATCATCAGCATGTGAAATACTTTTATGGGTGGCCTCTGTTCCTCCTCTGGTTTGAGTTCAGAAGCATAGAAGACTGATAAGGCAAACGGCAGTTGAACTGAAGCAGTACAAATATTTTTTGGGAAAGGTATGTAATTGTCATTATCTTTTCCCCTATTTTTAGGTGAACCTGAAAATGAGAGAGATAACAGAAAAAGAGGTCAAACTAAAACAGCATTTACTGGAAAGCCCAGGTCACCAAAAGGTAAAAGACACTTTAGATGAATCATGGATTTTAGTTTATTCACATGTATATTACTTGGAAATAGATTGTATTACTTTTCAGCTGCCAAGTAGGATGGCTTACCAAGTAAGCGGTTGTAAGCTGTCTTGCACTTCATTTACATAGAATTCTGTACCGTGTGCAATGCTTCTGGTTTCCTTTCCCTGCATTCTTTGTGATAACTGCAGGTCAATGTGTGTATTGAGCTTCCAAATGCTTGTGCTTTTCCCATGTGTGCCCTGATGTTCCTTGATTTCAAAGTCAATGAGGAAGCCTGTGCATTTGGAGGCTGCTCTGGTATTTTGGATTAGAGTAGTTGTCTGTACCCTGCATTTTACTCATCTCTTAAAATGTCAATGCTGTATTTTCATAATATTTATAATGTAACATATTACTTTCAGGATTTATTGTGAAGTTATTCAGGATCATATTTGCTGTACACATTGATTTGAAGAAATTCAGGAACCCTTTCAAGTACTAATAAAGCATGTGCTAAATAGTCAAAAGAATTATCAGTGTTACATGTGCAACTCTTCCCCTCTTTTCTCCCTTTAATTATTTCAATGCACTAAAAATTGTTAATAAATGCTACACTTTCATTACTGGGGAATGGAAGTTTTTCCTCAAATATAAATAACTTCAAAGTTGGTCTGATTTGTTGTGAATGTTTTGGCCAAACTGCACTGAGCTAAGTAGCACTAAATACTGCTGTAATGATGTTAACTGGTGCGGAGCAAAAAACTCTTTCAGTATCCTTTATTGCAGAAGGAAGCATTTAAATAACTGCCTATGAGACTTCTTAATTTGATGCTAGCATTTCCTTCTGAGGATACTGTTGGCTCAAGTATTTGCCTACTACTATTTCAAGAACCTACCATGGTATGAAAGTGTCTGTGGATTGGGTGCATTTAAGTATTGCTTATAACTTGCTCTGCTGATGTTCCTCTCCTGTTCCCACATTCCCTTCCCTGCTTCCTGAGCAGTCTCCTTCCAAATGGTATTGGAAATTAGTACCTGTAAGTGAATTAATTCTATGTGACAGTTGTCATCTGCAAAACCATGGCTTTTAGTAATTCTTTTATTGGTGTTCGCTTCCATTTAAAATGCTGCTTTCACAACTTACAATATACTCTCTGCTTAAGGATTTTTTTATATTAAAAAAATGTAGATTCCATTACATGAGCCAACATACTGTATGTACAGCATACTCATCACTATACAGCATTTAAGAATTTTGGGGATTCAAAATCTTAATTTGGAGAAGCAAGGAAATCAGTCAAACATTAGGAACAATCTACTGATTGTGTGTTACTGTTCTCCTGTTAAGAAAACTCCTTTTATGCAGTGCTAAGGTGAAGCTGGTCAGTTTAAAGTAATTTGGTGCTTGTATGTCTTAGAAAATGGGTTGTGAGCAGTGCTTTTTTTCTAAAAAAAATGTTTAGGAGTACTTTCATTTTCCTACTCATATTGAAATACTGCCCCTCAATGAGGCCAAACTTAGATTCACAAAATGTTTAGGGGTATGCGTACCCCTGTGTCCCCCCCAGAAAAAAGCACTGGTTGTGAGGATTGACTTCCACATTTGAGCTTTAGGCAGGGTGCTGTTAAAATGTTTCCTATACAATGCAAATTTTATTTCTTGTGCTCATGCATATCATGGCCACTTGATTCCATTACTATTAATATTTTGTCTCAAAGGTATAGATGCTTAGTACTTTAACAAAACAAAACAAAATCTTCAGTATTTTCTGTTCTGCATTCCTATGGATATGATGGATTCTTATTTTGGTTCTAGAGGCATGTAACTTGATTCATTTGTTGTTCTGATTATGTAATTAATCAGCTAAGGGAAGGCTCTGGATTTGCGCCTGCAGTTGGCTTTAAATGCTCAGGAGAGTCTGGTTGTGGGCAGTCTTGGTGATGGAATATTAAGCTATATCAAGTATTTCTTTGCCCTTTTCTGACAGTGATAATTGAAATAGTAATTAGGGGGGAAATCTGTTAAATGGGTCTTACATTTTGTAAATTCTTTTTGTGAACCACATTGAGGGTTTTTTTGTTTTAAGCTATATAATTTTTTTCTGAAATAAATGAATAACTATTGCTGCAATCCTGAAACCATATGGATATTATTGATTTTATGCTAACCAGTTCAAAGCTGGTAGCCAAATGCCCTTGATCGTATTCAAGTTGCATTGGCATGCTCTTGCGATACTAGCATAACATTCCTTGCTGTCATCATTGTGCCAGAGCTCCTGGTGCATGGGCAGCAGATGCCATCCTAAGCATTTATTGGATACCGCAGAAAGTCTTTAAGTGAGAGCAAATGTCCCTAGCTTGTAATAGTTTCTAAAATTGTGTAGGATTTAGCTTCCAGAATGAAGGCAATGCTAGATATCGCTCAAAACCAAGGTTTTCAATTTAGTAACACTTAGTTTGCTTTGAAGTCATCCTTCTGGTATTGCTTAGGCAGTGGGGAGATGAAGGTGGGAAGTATGCTTTAAACTAACCAGATCACCTTACTATGTAAAGTAATCTGCTTGATTGAATAATCATATTCACTACTTAATGGGTGTCAACTTGCTTGAATTTATTATATGATTCTGATTACCATCTTGTATCTTGCTATTTTTTGTGTAAGCCTGATCTGATGCATGCCCTATCGCACTGCATGCTGGAACCAGTGGAATATGCTCGTGTGGTACAGTATGATTCACATTGCATTACATATTTATGGAGAGCTTCAGGCTGGGGGAAAAGCAACTTGCATCTTGTATTTATAAATCTCTTAATTCAACACATCTTATATGGCCCTTGCTCATTTAGTATGATATACCTTTCTTTTGCATCTTTTTTGTATAATACTAATATTGATATTTGACAAAGCTTTGATTATCCTGCTGGGAAAACTTTAAATTAAACTGAACTGAATAATTCAAAACTAATTTTGTTGCATTGCTTTTTCCCTGTCTTTGGAACTTGTAACCAAGTAATACTTGTTTGCAGAAATAATTTCTCAGCCTATGCTTTCCTCAAATATATACACGTTTCATACATAGATATGGCCTTAAGTAGCTAGCTAGCAGTATTGTGTATTGTGTAGTATAGTTTAGATAAAAATAATGAAATATTTTTACTATACTGTAGCGGTATAGAACTGAAAGGTATTTAGTCAAATACTATTTATTGTGTGATTTATTAGCTTAATACAGTCTCCATGCAATCTATTGAATATTAGGATTATAGCACAATAAGTGAAAATGCTTTCTGTTAGACTGGTAACAACTTCAGTTGGATCTGTTTTATGCTATATTATGCAGTAGCCTTAGGCTTTAGTTAATATATTGAAATCCCTGCTACTGAAGTGGGAACTTACTGAGGTGCTGCTTTGCTTATTAAACTTGCAAGTAATTTTACTCGCTAGCAGAGTACTCTTGATACACTGTCAAAGACTATTGTGTGCTAAAGCAATTATTGATTTGGAGCACAGAAGAACCAAAGAACAGATTATATCTGTTTATGCCAGCAACTCATTACATAAAATTAGTGCATGCCGGTAGTGGAATGGAGTCTGACAAGAAGAGCCTTGTAATACAAGTACCAATTGTTTTTCAGGTTGCCTGTTGGATTTATTTGTAATTCAGCTTACAAAACTTTGGGTCTACCAGACTTAATCTTTGCTTCACTGTTTCTCTAGGATTGGTGGGTTGGTATCACTATTTCAAATTAGGTACAGTTTAACCAACTAAAAATGCCTCAAGGAATTGAGTTTGTAGTTTTGTAGACTATTTATTATGGTCAGCCGACCAATGCAATAGAATATCAGATCACAAGATCAGTGATGAATTATGAGAAGTATCAAGCTGAGGAATGGCAATCGTAACATCACTGCTTCATACTGTAATTATGACAAGACAAGTAGCTTTGCTACAGTGACAAATTCTGCCTTCCTCTATTAGGTACGTTATCGCCGAGATCACCTTTCAAATAGGCAGTTACCATTTTTCCCATTGCTTGAAGATTTGATGAAGGACTGCAGTGATGGGGCTGCTTTATTGGCTGTGATACATTATTATTGTCCTGAACATATGAAGCTAGATGGTATGTGGATAAGAAATTCTAAGTGACCTAGTTTTAAATAATGTCTGAGTAGAATGTTACGGATTTACCAAAATAGCTTTATACAAATCTAATTGCGGTATTCATTATAATCTAATTTAAATGATCCAATAACTTTTAGTCCTACTGTTTGCAGTGGGAGCACATTTTTAGAAATATATCTGAAACTAACTACACAAAAATCCTTCACTTTGGTTGGCTCAAACCCCTGGTCAACTGTCCTTTTTGCTTATTATGTGTATCTATGATGGCATGTAAACAAGGATGGCAATGCTGCTGCTGCTTCTCAAACAAGGTTGTTGCTTCCAAGTTACCACCTTTGGGGAGTTGTGATGTGTATTCTAGGCTTGTTCTCCATGCAATACTGATCTATATCAACCCAAGAGATTGATGCAAAGGGATTAGAGAAGTGGCATTCATTAGGAAGAGCCCAGGTTGAATATGTATAATGTATGGTGAATCACATTTCTTACATCTAAGTATGGGCACGTTGTATCCAGAAACTACCACCCTTATACATGTTCTAACTTATCACTTTCCCCTCTCTCATGCCCAGGATACTCACTTTATCTTTCCCGGCTGAGAATATCTCCATGCTGATACAAATTGGCCTCAATATCCCTAGTGCAGCCTTTGCTAACCCAGTGTCCTCCATGCTGGCTAGGGCTTATGGAAGTTTTAGTACAGAACATCTGCAGGGCACCAGGTTGGCAAAGGCTGCCCCTAGTGTGCTGTTGGGACTTTGAGCTGCACAGTTCCTGTGCTGTCTTTGAATACCACTCCTGTAGTTTGACTTATAGGCTGAAGCAAAGCACTGTTGGGAAAAGTGTTGACTGTTTTTTCCTGCATGATAACTGCATGAGCTGAGGGTTAATCCATTGGGCTTCCTTGTGACACTGATCCTTGATGCTTTTATCATTGGTTAGAGATCTGCCTAAAAGAGGTAACATCGATTGCTGACAGTATCTATAACATCCAGCTGCTTCGGGAATTCTCAAATGAATATCTTAGCAAATGTTTTTACCTCACACTGGAGGACATGCTGTATGCGCCTTTGGTCCTAAAGGTAAGGCATGGAGGGATTCACCCAAATTTTAAAAGACACGTAGATAGCTTATTAATGTTAAAATCCTTTTTCTAGCCCAACATGATGGTCTTCATTGCTGAATTATTCTGGTGGTTTGAGAATGTTAAGCCAGACTTCGTGCAGCCCAGGGACCTCCAAGAAGTAAAAGATGGTGAGATATTTTGAACTTCTGTAGCAATAATAATAGTAATAGTAGTAGTAGTAATAATAATAATAATAATAATAATAATAAACAACAACAACAACAACAACAACAACAACAACAAAATTTTATTTGTATCCTGCCCTCCCCGGCCAAAGCCGGGCTCAGAGCGGCTAACAACACATAAAAATAGCACAGTGTACATAAAATTGCACAGTCAATTAATTAAAATACATTCTAGAATCAAATCAGAATCAAATTAATAGCAACCATTGGGTTAGAGTTCTATGCAGATTACAGAAGACAATTTCACTGATGTGGCTAGAACGTTTTATATCAAAGCACTTTTTTGTTAGCCTGTGTGGCATTCCTATGCGTCTCCAGGCTTGATTATCAGAAGCTTAGGTCTTCTAGTGGATGCACAGAGAGTTGCTAGATGAGTGTCTTTTTTATCCTTCCAGACTAGAGCTTAGTTCTTTTTTAAAGTGTAGGCAAAATACAAGCTTATCCTACCTAGTATGCAGTGAGTCCAGCTTGTTAAGTATTCCTACACTTGGTCCAGTACTTGGTGGCAGTGGGTGTCTGGAAACTCTTGGCACTTGATTAAAATATATTGAGGTCTGATTCAGGAAATCGAAGTGGCATTGTCCTGCCCATAAATTAACATGGGGCACCATTCATTAAGAGACAGCCCTATGCAGGTCCTGCAGAAATGGATGAAAATTGCACAAGAACGTTTTATTTTGTTATGACTGGCATTGTGCTCCATGGGCTGGATGTATGTCACTTTCTGCACTCCTTAATCATTCTATTCTGTAGTCTTCAATAGCCCCCAAAATTGGCTCCTTATCCTTGTCTCATGGAAGCACTCTATTTTTATGGTCCTTTCCCATCCTTCATTTGTTATATCCCTCGCTCATCTCCTATCCTTTTGCAATCACTGACTGCCTCCACTTCTGGACTGCCACTATGCTTTGGGAATGTTAAAACAGTTGACTTTATATATATATATATATATATAAAAGTGCAGGTAAATTTGTTAAAAAGTTTCAGAATCATTATTAATAGGCATTCTGCCAATTTGCTGTTCAAAACATATCTGATTACTGTGAATTTTATATATGCTTATCTGAGTTTATTGGATTATGATACTGATGATTTGCAATGGCAAGAAATTTCATAAAATCTTACTTTGAGAGTGCCTGTTAGGGCTCTTGATTGGTGGTAGCTCATTTTTAAGGCAACACTAACACTGTAAATGAATGTGCAGCAAAAACAATGTTGCAGCAGAAGAGTAGCCGCCTGCCTGTTCCTATTTCCAACGCAACGAAACGCAGTTTCATGGTGAATCCAGCTGCTTCCAGTTCACCTGATGTACAACTCCCAGTTCAGCTCCCTTTGGAGTCTTGCAACAGGTATTCCCTGCATCCTGAAGAATTTGAGTATCTGTAAGTCTGTCTTTCTATCTCTACATTCAGTCTTGCTTTCCTTACCAGTTTGGGAGCTACAGCCTATTACTAGTGTTACCTTTAATTGTGTCCAGCAGACTAATTCCCTCCTCCTTCCAACAATTCAAATTAGGCAGCTGTGTGGATTTTCTCCACAGGTTATCTTATTTGGTTTGGGCGAGGTACACAGGCTTACTGAAGGATCCTTATATTTTGGAAATGAAAACATACTATGAGGCCTCCGTTGTCTTTCAGTTTGGTCTGTAGACTTTTGGGATACTGAAGGCAGCAACATTTTCTTTGTTCTGCATTATGTTCCTCCCACTTGCATGAATAAACTTGGTGAGAAAGTGCTTGAAAGCCACTGATACTCGATACATTGCTTGTGATGGAAAATGTAACTCAGTTCTGGTTGGATGGCCGAATCTTGATTGTGCTGCTTATAAACCCAAGTCTCTTCTGTGGCTGAGAGTCTCCTGGCTCTTTTAGTCCCCTGCTGTGAGAAGCTATGGTGGTCAGAGTCAATCTCTTTCCCTCTCCTGTGCATTGGTGCTTCAGCCCCCTTCTCTCCTTCCCCTCCAAAGCTCTGTATAAGAATAAAGAGGGGCAACTGTTGCAACCTCCCAGTGCAGCATCTTTAATATGGTTCTTAAGAGCATGCGTGTCTGAAGAAGCAACTCTAGTTGAGTTTTAGGCAGAGTCTTAAGAGATACACATTTGGTAAAAATAATAATAAAGGAATGTATTCAAGAGCAAGAAATGTAAGAAACAAGGAAGTACAATTCTCAGTCTGTTCAGGCACTGGTTGTGGTGGGAACCTTTTGCAAAAATCTGTAAGCTAATCGCACATCCAATATGAAAAAGAAACCATTTTCTGCGACTGAGTCTGTTCTGTCATTTATAGGCTTCTTTCTAGCTTTCATGGGGTCCTTTTAACCATCCATGTAAACGGAAAGCTTCTTAATGTAAATTTCAAATGTCTCCTACATTAACTATTAGTTATTCAGTAACACATTATGTACAGTAAGACAGCTTTAAAGTTTCAGTAACTTGAATCTTCCTAGTCGGGATGTAATTAAGTTCTGTAAAGGGCTCTTGAGACTTAAGTCTCATTATTCACCCTTCTCTTTACTCCTTCCTTCCTTCCTTCTTTTCCTTCTGTTTTTTTCCTTTTAAATATGGTTTCCTTTTAAGAATGTAGTTCATTGGCTTAAGCATAGCCTCTTAATTTCAGGTAGCTGGTACAATTTTGTGTTGTGAGTCACTCTTGTTGACTGGCTTAATTTTTTTACTTTGTTTTGGCATTTCTGGGCGGGGGGGATGATGGGTGTTGTGTAGTAATGTGTGTTTTTCCTATTGTTTTGTTTTTTCTCTTGCAAAAAAACCTCTCATTAATTGTGTGTGTGTGTGTGTGTGTATGTGTTTTAACAATAGCGGAAAAGGAAACCCTGCCTTCAGCCCATCCCATCCATTGCTGCCTTTGAGACAAAAACAACAGAAGTCCCTGCAGGGGGAGGACAGTTCAGGTAGGCACCTATTTCTCTTGTGAACATAGGAGCCAACTCCTAGGGGCTGAGGGGGCTTTGGCCCCCCCATAGTTGATGGGCATTTCTATTCAAATGGTGTACTTGCACCACATCATGTGATCAGTTATGCAAGGTGGGGCTTACCTGGACCCCCCAATAATTTATTCAAGTTGGCACCCCTGCTTGTGAACAACTTGATGCAAAAGTAATAGCCACAGCACAGAACACAGTTTTGGGTATTTGGTCCCTCTGAAGTTGACAATAGAAAGCTCCTATTACTGAAAGATCAGGGTTAGGATGAAGAACACACTGCAACTGAGTGCCCCACCAGGTCTCTGAGTCTCTGGAACTGCAGCTGGGTCAGGCAATAGTGTGGCTAGTTTAATCTCACTTGTGAGAAAGGAAAGAGGTGGGGATAGTAGTGGGCCCTGACTTACGTTTCCTTTCCTTCCCCTCCCACCCATGTGATTCAGTCATTGAGAACTCTATTCCTTTTCCCAAGCCAGACAGGGTACCTTGTGGTTACAACAAACTTTTGAAGCTGTTGCTCTAGATTGTTGGATGTTGCTGTGAGTATTTTGGTAGGGGAAGGATGAGCAGTTTTGGTTAATCTGAGCACCATTTGCAGAGAAAATAACTTTGATAGTGAATGCCTTTTGTGGTGTTGCTTGGGCTGATGTGGAACAATCTTCTGACCTTCACAGTTCTACTCATACTATGCCTATGTATAAGGTAGAGAAACTCTGGCTGCAGCTGTACTTGGCCATTTTATATCAAGAATTCCCCCTACCAACTACTACTGAGGCTTCAGTCCTAAGCCTGGTTATTTGGAATTGAGTTCCACTTAGATTGAGTTTTCAATGCCAATCAGCAACTCACGATATCTAGGCTTAAAAACATGTGTACTTGTCATAATAGTGCAACAATTTTGAGCTATGGTATATATGACAGCAGTTTTATACTGCCCTCTAATGGTGAAATCTTGTTAAGTGGACATTCTGTAAAAATAATGTAAAAGCGTAAAATAATTAAAATCAAGAGTGTTTGAAAAGTTGTCCAACATCCTTTATATATATATCTATATATATATTTGTAGATCAACGGCATCGTTCTAATTCATTGACAAAAGTAGATGGGCAGCCACGGGAGTCAATCCTTGCATGGCCAGAGAAGAAGCAAAGGTAATATATACTGGATGATATTGTATGGGAAAAGCACCTTAATATCTTTGCATGCTGTTGACATGTGGTATGGTTTTATTGGTAAAAATGTTGATAATAGTGTTCATGCAGATAGCGTAGTATTATGGCCTGATAAAAATGCAGCAATCTACTGTTGATGCAGTGGTTAGGTGTTGAACCTGGTCATGAAAGAGTTTTGTGCCTTGATTTCTGTGATGGGGAAGTGCATAGCATCTTCTTTCCAGTCTGTAAAATGGAAATAATAATGTCCTGCCTCAAATAATGGTTGGATTCTATCTATTTGAATACCAATGTGTAAAGAAGTTCTTTGGATATTAGCATATTATGATAATGAATGTCTTTAGAATTAGTCAGCTCTGATTCTTTTCCTTGAATTTCTGCTTCCTATGAAGGCCAAAATTCAATGAATTACACAAATTCATGTGAATTCCATAGCTAGATGGGCAATTTCTGCTAAAGCACCCCTATCAGTTCTAATGGGCATTTTGTTACTTCTAGACCTGTTTCTCAGCCAGCACCATTCGCACTTCATTATGCTGCAAGCAGTGATGCAGACCCCAGTTCTGGTGATAGCATTAGCTTGGCTCGGTCAATCAGTAAGGACAGCCTAGCATCAAACATTGTCAACATCACTCCAAAACAGCAGCCTCAGTCTGCACCAGTGAAAAGCGATGGGAAAAGTTTGCTGAACAATGTAGAAATTGAGGATGAGGATGAGGATGAAGAATTGATCGCAGTAATCTGCCCAGATGCTACACTGAACCATGGCAACCTGGAACTTCAGAGTGTGCCAGCTAGATCACCTAGTCAAGTTGCAACCGCATGGGCTAAGAAATCACAAAGTGAAGCCTCCAAAAGCAAGACAGATAGCTTTTTCCTTGAGCCTTTAATGCCTGCTATTCTGCGACCAGCAAAGGAAAAACAATCAATCAATAAGGAGGATGAATGTGGGGAAGGAAAGAAGAGAGGCTTTGTATCAAAGAGAGTGAGTGAGGGGCCCATGGCTTTAGTCCGTAAGAAAGCCAATAATAATCATGCAGATCACATCCCCAGCAGAACTTTTGTTGCAACTTCTGGTTCTGAATTATCAGCAGTTGCTGGTTCCAGCATGGCAGATCCGTCAGTGCCCTCAGAAGTCAGAGGAGAGCCCTTCCATCCCCAGGCAATTAGTAGCTTAGATACTTTATCTCTAGAACAGTCCTCCACCAAAGCACATGAGGATTTGGCTTGCAGTACAAATGTTGGCTACATGAAAAGTCCAAATTCTCGCATTGCAGACACCTCATGGACAATGATCAGGCAAGATTCTGATTCAGACATTCTGGATATGGAGGAAGTCGAACAAGATTTAGTGTCAGACGATCATCCAATAATTGCCAAGTATATAGGAGAAGAGGAATCAGCAAAGCTGCAAGAAGACATGAAGGTTAAGGAACATGAAGATAAAGATGATGCCAGTGGACGTTCAAGTCCATGCCTAAGTACTGTTTCTCAGATAAGCAGCTCATCCGTGACCAGTGGGAGTGCCAGAATGACTAACTTTGCTGAACGGAAGTTTCAGAGATTGAACAACTATGAAACAAAATCCAGCACCAGCAGCTCACAGAAGACCACACCAGATGGATCAGAGTGTTGTCCTGCCCTGTTAACCACATGGAAGCAGAAGAGGGAGCAAAGCCCCAACAGGCAGAACAAAGATAATGTTAACCTGCTGGCTTCTGAACTGGTGCAGCTTCATATGCAGCTGGAGGAGAAGCGGAGAGTGATAGAGGCTCAGAAGAAGAAGAAGGAGGTGTTGTCGGCCAGGCAGCGGTTAAAACTGGGCAAGGCAGCATTCTTGGGTGTAGTGAAGAAAGGGAAAGGGGCTGAAGTCTCTCAGCCACTTAAGCCAGAGCACTTCACAAAGGAGTATTCAAGACACAATGGGGAAGGCGTGGATGCTACTTTGAGCTCTGAATCTGAGTCCATCTTCATGAAAGAGGAAGGGGATGAAGAGACTCTTGATTCTCTTGAAGTGCCCAAAGTAAAGGCCCAAGAAACTGTTGCTTTTGTTGAGGAAAACAATCCAAAAGAACCCACTCTACATGAAATAGAGAAAAGCAAAATGATTTCTGCTGCACTTCTAGAAGAGAACATCGAATCTGCTGAATGTGATCTCCCCATTGAGAAACTAAATGAAATGATCAGTGCCCTCCGGCAAGATATCCTGAAGATTTCTCGGCAGCAAGAGCTTCTCATGAAACAGCCAACAGTATCGTCACTGAGAGGCGTCTCTCAGGACCAAAAGATAAAGGCACCAGTTCATTTTGTCGAACCTCTGTCTCCTACTGACATGAGTGGTCTCCCTAAGCCACCATGTCTCAGTCAAGGTCGGAGTCCTCACTCGGGGAGACCATCTGAACTGAAAGAGGGTAAGGAGCGTCAGCAAGCCATGATGCGCATCAAAACCCTGACTCCTAGCACTGACACCTCGCCACACTTAAGGCAGTTTCCATCAAACAATTCATCCAAGACCCCGACTGAAGCTACTGTCGAAAATAATTTTGACCTGGACAGCACTAGAGAGAAACAGCGAGCAGGATTTACCCTGTCCACTTCCAAAGACACAAATATCCTCTCTGAGGCTCTCAAAGATGTGAATAGTAACATAGAAGACATTAGCTTTGCTTCTTGTGATAGCTCAGGGAAAGAGAACATCCCAACAGAGGAGTCCACGAGAAGCAAAGGTAGCCTTATTGAAGTAGACCTGTCTGATTTAAAAGCCCCAGATGAAGGAGGAGAAGCTGAAAGCCAAGACGACTCCACATACCTGACTGGTGAAATTGATCAGAAGTCAGGAGTTAGTTTTTTCTTTAAGGTAAGAACAATATAGTGTTGTTGAATCCCTGATTATTTGGTACAGCAGTAATCTCTCCTTAACTCTTGCTTTTAACTGGGGTGGGCTGAATAGTTCATTTTGTACACCCCTATATTACATGTGCTGGGTTTGGCGATGTGGGTGGGTGGGAGCATTGTGCATAGTTAGATTTTATTTTTTTAATAGCATAATAATTTAATGCTTAGTGTGTTGGCATCCCTTAATATCACACTCTCTCTCTCTCTCTCTGTGTGTGTAGATATTCTGGCAAATGTGGTTGAAGCAAAGGTGCAACAGTCAATTTGTCAGCTCAGAAATAAGTTGCAACAAGGGTGGTCAGCTGTACCCTCTGTTGTCAACGGGATACTTACATGCATGAGAGGAAAGACCATTATATGTTCCTTTTTGCTAGCAGGCACTACCTGGCAACATGTATTATTATCATTATCGTCATTTTTATACCATTCTTTATCTGAAGATCTCAGGGTGGTTTATAGTTACAGGTATTGCTGGACAATCCTACATGGGGTCAGGGGAATGCAGCAGTGGATTCATCACCCATCCCAAGTCCTGCTGAGCTGTGCCAGCCATGGCATTAGGCAGTTGCATAATTTTTCCCTTTCACTGTACCAGCTGCAACTGACTGGCAACAGGTTTGCAACCTCATTCTCCTTGTGGTGGCATTTTCTGCATACTTGTGGAGTCTGTATGCTACATGCTGCCTTATGATGGTTTGTGATTCCCTTAGTGTTCTTTCATTACATATGTTTGATAATGAAAAGGTCACTCAGTGCAGTATATGCACACACCTGTCTCATTTAAGATTACATAGAACTTCTATTACAGGGTGAGCTCCCATTGCTTGGTCCCAGCTCCTGCCAACCTAGCAGTTTGAAAGCACGTCAAAGTGCAAGTAGATAAATAGGTACCGTTTAGGCGGGAAGGTAAATGGCGTTTCCATGCGCTGCTCTGGTTCGCCAGAAGCAGCTTAGTCATGCTGGCTACATGACCGGGAAAAACTGTCTGCGGACAAACGTTGGCTCCCTCGGCCAATAAAGCGATATGAACGCTGCAACCCCAGAGTCATTTGCGACTGGACTTAACTGTCAGGGGTCCTTTTTTTTAGAACTTCTCAATAATGATAGAACTCACAGGTGAATACTTGTGTGAGTTAGTACTTAATACTTTATTATCCCTTTGGCACTGCATCTTTGTACTTTTTTTTGGTCCTTCCAGTCTGTGACTCTTTATAGTTTACATTTTTATTCTTTGTTTTCTTGCTTTTTGTTGGCACTTTTCTTATTTTTGTAACAAATCAATCAAAAGCATTTAACAAAAATGCAATGCAATGAAAAGACAATAGAGAGTACCTGGATGCTTGCTTTAAGATGTCAATGATATTCAGTGGGATTATTTTATTTTCTGTGTTTTCAGGGCCCATCTATTCCTGTGATTGTAATCTGTTTTAGCTGTTTTAAATTATCAGTTGTTATAACCTGCTCAGGAACTTGCTGATGAAGGGCAGATAATAACTTCGATGATGATGATATGTGTATGTTTATATGTATCTTGTTCCTTAATGGGACTCCAAATGGAGGGGTTCCAAGCTGCTTTCTTAGCCAATCACTGACCACATTCCAGACCGGCTTAGCTTTGGAGATGTTGCTGAAATCACTACCTTCAATTAACTGTCCTGGGGTCATACACTGCAGAGTTTGTGAGCTTAGCAAGAGGGCTGATATTTGTTGCAAATATGGAAAATGGCAGCTCCATCGTTAAAGCAGCCAAAAAAAATATGTTTCTGTGCTCAGATGGAAGTCATGAGATTTTCTTCATAGCCTCATACAGTGTTTGCTATTTCTACACGCCACGCTGCAAAAACACAACTTCTCACTTGAATTTTAATTTGACAGGATGGGCAGAAAGCAGAAGATGAGCTTGCAAAGAAACGTGCCGCTTTCCTCTTAAAGCAGCAGCGCAAAGCTGAAGAGACACGCCTTAGAAAACTGCAGTTCGAGGCAGAGGCTGAACAAAAGAGAGATGAAGCCCGGTAAATTCAATGTCTTGCCACACAGTATATAGATGAGTACTTCATGCTTTTATGTTCTCACTTGAGAAATTGGTAATGATGGGATTTGAAGGCTGCCCTTTGCCTTTTTAGTCGTAAAGCTGAAGAAGATCGCATACGGAAGGAAGAAGAGAAAGCCCGGAGAGAGCTCATCAAACAAGAACACCTGAGAAGAAAGCACCAGCAAAACTTGGAAGAACAAGGCCGTGGGAAGCCCAAACCCAAGCCCAAGCAGCCTAGGCCAATATCTGTTCATCAGGAAGAATCCTATAGCAACTTGGAAAGAAAGTGTTCTTCTATCCGTAAGCAGCAGCAGTCCTTTTGGTTCCTATAACAGTATAATAAAGTAACTTTTTTCATTGTGTAACGCCCTTTTTCTTTTGCCAGCTGATAATCTAAGTAGTGCTCAGTCGGGTTCTAGCCTGTCTTTGGCATCTGCAACGACAACCGAACCTGAAAGTGTTAATTCTGGCGGTGCACCTTCCAAACGGTAAGAGAAAGCATAAAGATTTAAGATTCTGATGTTGAAACATACTTTGGGGTGGGGAATGTTGCCCAGATGCCACATCCAGCCTTCAATAGTGGCCATGAACTCTCTGCAAAATAGAGATAATTGCAACTTTTAGGTAACAATAGTGTAGTAGTGACTGTCAATAAATTGTAATGGTGCACTACTTTTAAAGTACTCACTATTAGTGAATGAGAAATAGTCATTGGGGTAATATAAATAAATTGTCAGTGTCATGGGTACTGTAAACAAGATTAACAAGCAATTAGGGGTAGAACTGGGATGGGAAACGTTTGAGCTCCAGATGTGGCTGGATTACAACTCCCATTATCCTTAACAATTGCCATGCTGCTGGAGACTGATGGCGATATGGGTCCACCTATACGTTCTCAATCCTTTGGAAATAATTGTCTCATTTCAGGTGTTAGCTGCTAATTTTGCAATTATGATCATTGTCCACTAATGGAGAATTTGTTACAGCTAACTCTTGATGGGCTTATTTATTCATGGACTCTCCCCATAAAATTGTGACACACACACAAGTACTCCCTTGCTTTTTTGTGGGTGCTCCATTATATGTGTGTGTGTGTGTGTGTGTGTGTGTGTGTGTGTGTGTGTATGTATGTATATGTGTGTGTGTGTCTTTGTCTTTCTACACACACACACACACACACACACACACACCCCAATTTAAGAGACCATTTCATGCTTCTGACAAAGCATGCTCTAGCCCGCAAGAAATACTCTAAAATAATTTGTTAGTTACAGATACTATGTTTTTTTTTTAATAAAGCAACTTAAGCAACTTCACATGGCTAACCCTCTGAAGCACATCTCTTTTCTGAGGGAGAGAGAGAGAGAGTGCAAAATGTGGGGAGATGGAAAATTGGACACACTTGCTTTCCCCCCAAATAATCTGGTAGCTATGAACACACTGCTCATGTTCTTCTGATTCTTCTGACAGAGTGAAATCAATGGAAACCTTGCCCATATTGAGCAGGAACCCAAGTCGAAACATGGAGAGAGACTGGGAAAGCACCTCAGCAGCCTCTTCAGTTGCATCAGTAGCAGAATATACTGGTAAACCTAATACATTTTATCTGTACCTGTGTAATTAATGATCAGGATTATATAAGTCTGGTTGCCAGTATGTGGAACAGTACAGTGCAGCCTTTATTCTGTGGTCTCATGCCTCTGAACATACAGCAGGAAGCTGCTTTGAAACAGTCAGACCACTGATCCATCTAGTTCTTCTCAGAGTAGACTCACTGCAATTAATGAACCTTATTGATGACCATCAATTTTAATGGGTCTATTCTGAGTAGGGCTAACGCTGGATACAATCCTGTTTTATGGGACTTTTATCATGGGATGTAGAAGCTTTGCAAATTTGCCTTTTTAAATATTGCTAGTGAAATAAGGAAGAAATTTCTTAATTATTTAAGGTTTTTTTTTTAAAAAAATCTGCCTTTTCATAGTTGCTCAAGAAGTCAAGATAGTTCGCAACACTGATAAAGACATATGAGACTTTCATTTTAGCTGAGTTATCAAGCCACTTGTTTAAAATTTATGTTTTATTAGGTCCAAAGATGTTTAAAGAGCCCTGTGGCAAGTCAAACAAATCAATTATCCACAATGCTATTTCCCACTGCTGTCTTGCTGGAAAAGTGAATGAGCCTCACAAGAATTCTATACTGGAGGCAAGTATCTCTGCGAACAAGAGTTTTGGAATTGGTCAGTTGCTGTATACCTTGATTTCCATGCCCATTGTTTGATGTCTTCCAAGCATAACAGTACAAACACTAATAATATATTAAATATAATTTTAAGTATTAATGCAACTCTTTTAACATGCACAGTTAGCATTGGTTTTAAAAATTTTGCCTTTTTTTTTTTTTTTTAACTTTGTTACTGTCCCATATTGAATAACCCTGATCCCTGGGACACAGTGCATTTGCAGTGTGGATGACTTCATATGGAAAGCTCTTGAGTGGCCAGCTTGCTAGTGTGTATTGCAAGTCATGCTTAAATCATAATAGTCTGGTTTATGCATAATGCTAAACTGGTTTATTAAACTGTGGCTTATATGTTTCTTAAATAATAGCTTAGTGTTTTATGTGTAAGGTTTGACCAGCAACTTATAGATTGTTTACAGCAAGGATGGGGAATCTCTGCCCTTCCAAATGGATGCTGCTCAAACTGAAAATTCAAACTCAGCAGTGGCAGATCTTGGTATCTCAAATTTCTGTGGTGCCCTGTGCGATGCCAAAATCTGGCACACATCCCCTCCACCTCTTGCTTTCCGTTGGATGTCTTAGTTGTGGTGCCTGATGCAACACCCCAGAAGCTCCATGCCCAGTGTAACCAAACCAGATCTTCCTTTGCTCTCTTCAGCCCCAACTTGCATGACCAATGGTCAGGGAAGATGGGAAGTTCCCCATTGTTGACTTACTACCAACAAACCATTGAAGCCATGTTTGTTGTTGGTTTTCAGACTTTAATTTAACTATGGCTTGGTGTTACATTGAATCCAGTAGTCGCTTTGTTTGGCCACTCCACTCCAGAAACTCACCAAACTACAAAAGCATGAGGCAAGAAAATACAGCAGACTTGGGAGGAAAAAGCCAGTGTTTGTTTTATCAATTGTGGCACAACTTGTGGTTAACTCATGACTTGTTTAAAAGAATCATAGCTTAGTGCTGTGCAAACCAGGTCATTGTGGCACTGCAATTTAGAAGTACCAAATGTACCGTATTTTTCGCTCCATAGGGCGCACCTGACCATAGGGCACACCTAGTTTTCAGAGGGGGAAATCAAGGGAAAAAATTATGACACCCCCCCCCCCAGCTCTGGGAGCAGCGGACAGGCTGCAGGCAGCCTGTGCGCCTCTCCCAGACCTCCTTCCTGCTTTTGCGGGAGGTGGGGGAATTCTTTAAAGGGGCTGTGCGGCTTCTGCTGGCTTTTCTAGGAGGTGGGGAAATTCCCCCACCTCCCGCAAAACCGGCAGAAGCCGCACGCTCTTTAAAAGGGCTGCACAGCTTCTCCTGGCTTTTCTGGGAGGTGGGGGGATTCCCTCACCTGTCGCAAAAGCCCGCAGAAGCCGTGCAACCCCTTTAAAGAGCGCACGGCTTCTGGCTTTTCTAGGAGGTGGGAGAAGGGACTGATGCGGCCAGTCAGTCCCTTCTCTCTCCTGGGGAAAAGCCCGCAAGAGCGCACAGAGCTTGTGTGTGGCTCTTGGGTGCTTTTCCCGCCTGCCTCCCCCCTGCATTCGCTCCATAGGACGTGCACACATTTTCCCTTGCATTTTAGGAGGGAAAAAGTGTGTCCTATAGAGCGAAAAATACGGTATTTCCTGACCTTCATCTTGGGTACGTTAGACATTGCCAGCAGTGTGCTGGGCTCATTTAGCAGTCTTTGATTTCCTGTGGTCATTGCTCTCAGAATTTTTCTCTTTCACCTCTAGGAGCTCAAGAAATGTGATGCCAAGCACTACATTATTTTGTTCCGTGATGCTGGCTGCCAGTTCAGAGCACTTTATTGTTTCAATCCTGAAACAGAAGAAATCCACAAGCTGACAGGAACAGGGCCAAAGAGCATCACTAAGAAAATGATTGACAAGCTTTATAAATATAGCTCGGACAGGAAGCAATTTAATATCATTCCAGCCAAAACCATGTCTGCCTGTGTAGATGCTCTGACGATTCACAACCATCTGTGGCAGCCCAAACAACCTGTAGTGCCAAAGAAGACTCAAACTCACAAATGACATTACAGTTCAGTGGGAGACTATTGTAGATTTCATCGCTGGGGAGAAATGAGTTTCCTCACCCTCTCTCTGGTTTGGGTATGAAATGAGCAGAACCATAATCCCTTTTTTAAAAAAAGAAAAGAAAGAGGCTTATTAAACGTGGATGCAAGGAAAGAATGAAGGAGCAGCTTCAGTGTTCTTTTTGGTTTTTTTGTATGAATGATAAAACGGCTGTTACACCCATTGATAACCAGAGAGGCTTTTCACATGAGGGAAGGTGCATGTAGCAAGAGTGGATTTCTTTTTACTTGAAGTTCTTCATTGGTACAAATTGGGACATCTTTTCTTGTTCCTCCCCTTCCCGCAATCACTCTTGGAGTTAGCATGTGCTGCCCCTCAGGAGAACAAGAAACTGGGCACTGTGGCAGGCTTTCAAGGAATATCTTTTAGACTCTGGAGACTTGATAACATACAAACAATTGGTACTTGTCCCTACTGCCAACACTAAACCAGGCTCTGACTTGTGGAAGGAAAAGGAAAATACTCCAACCCCAGACCCTTGCTGCTCAGAACCAAGTTTACCTAAAGTATCAAATCATTTTTAAAAGCACTGAAAACTGTAAAATTCGCCTTTTTTAAAAAAGAAAGAAAGAAAATGGAGGACTTATGCAAATTATCATGGCTGAACATTTCTGCAACACAATCATGAAGAGGCAAACAGGTGCTACTTGTTGGAATATTCCCAATTTGAAACTTGAGGCAAGCTGAATGGAGTACAGTCAACATTGCTTTTCTGTTTCGAGTAGTATCCTAACAGGATTTTTTTTGTCTTTTTAATAAAGACAGATTATTGAAATAGTAGAACATCTTCACTCAGAGCATGTTACTCCTGTATAATGGTGCACTTAATGATCACAAATTATAATGCTTTTAAATTATGTCCTGAAATGTAATTTAAATTGGTTTTTTCTTTTTTCTTTGAATGAGTACCATGCTCTAAAATGGAGTGTGTTTTTTGTTGTTGTTTTTTGTTGTTTCAACTTTTTTCTTTTGTGGCAAGAGTATATACTAATAAAGGAGAAAATATACCAGTTTCCATATACTAACAATTTTCAAACAAACCTGCATTTTGTTTTTTTTGAAGGCTCAATCTGATGGTTTCAGTTTTCCTTTTCCATGTAGAAATATTAAATCTTGAGTAATAATAATAATAATAATAATAATAATAATAATAATTTATTTATACCCAGCCCATCTGGCTGGGTTTCCCCAGCCACTTTTGGTGGCTTCCAACAAAATATTAAAATACAGTCCATTAAACATTAAAAGCTTCCCTAAATAGGACTGCCTTCAGATGTCTTCTAAAAGTCTGGTAGTTGTTGTTCTCTGTGACATCTGGTGGGTAGGCGTTCTATAGGGCGGGTGCCACTACTGAGAAGGCCCTCTGCCTGGTTCCCTGTAACTTGGCTTCTCGCAGTGAGGGAACCGCCAGAAGGCCCTCAGTGTCTGGGCAGAATGATGGGGGTGAAGAGGCTCCTTCAGGTATACTGGGCCAAGGCTGTTTAGGGCTTTAAAGGTCAGCACCAACACTTTGAATTGTGCTCCGAAATGTATTGGGAGCCAATGTAGTTCTTTCAAGACTGGTGTTATGTGGTCCAAGTCACCAGTCTAGCTGCCGCATTCTGGATTATTTGTAGTTTCCAGGTCACCTTCAAAGGTAGCCCCACATAGAGCGCATTGCAGTAGTCCAAGTGGGAGATAACCAGAGCATGCATCACTCTGGCGAGACAGTCTGTAGGCAGGTACGTTCTCAGCCCGCGTATCAGATGGAGTTGGTAGACAGCTGCCCTGGACACAGAATTGACCGGCACCTCCATGGACAACTGCGAGTCCAAAATGACTCCCAGGCTGCGCACCTGGTCCTTCAGGGGCACAGTTACCCCATTCAGGACCAGGGAGTCCTCCACACCTGCCTGCCTCCTGTCCCCCCAAAACAGTACTTCCGTCTTGTAAGGATTCAACCTCAATTTCTTGGCTGCCATCCACCCTCCAACTGCCTCCAGACACTCAGGACCTTCACCACCTTCACTGGTTCTGATTTGAAAGATAGGTAGAGCTGGGTATCATCCGCATATTGATGAACACCCAGCCCAAACCCCCTGATGATCTCTCCCAGCGGCTGCATGTAGATGTTGAAAAGCATGGGGGAGAGGACAGAACCCTGAGGCACCCCACAAGTGAGAGCCATGGGATCTGAACACTCATCCCCCCCCCCACCACTTTCTGAACACGGCCCAGGAGGAAGGAGTGCAACCACTGTATAATAGTGTCCCCAGCTCCCAACCCCTCTAGACGGTCCAGAAGGATGTTATGGTCAATGGTATCGAAAGCTGCTGAGAGATCTAGCAGAAGCAGGAATCGGCTCTCACCTTTGTCCCCAGCCCGCTGGAGATCATCAACCAGCGCGACCAAAGCAGTTTCAGTCCCATGATGAGGCCTGAATTCCGACTGGAAGGGATCCAAATGGTCCGCTTCTTCCAGGCATGCTTTGAGTTGTTCAGCAACCACTTGCTCAATCACCTTGCCCAAGAATGGAAGATTTGATACTGGGTGATAGTTGGCCATATTGGCCGCGTCTTAAAATGTTTTTTTAAGAAGCGGTTTGATAACCGCCTCTTTCAGTGGGTCTGGGAAGGCTCCCTCACAGAGAAGAATTCACCACCCAGTGAAGCCCATCACCCAGCCCTTCCCAGCTAGCTTTTATAAGCCGGGATGGGAACAGGTGGTTGGTTTCACTCATCCCAGCAGCCTGTCCACATCCTTGGAGGTAACAGATTAGAATTGATCCCATGCAACTTGACTAGACAGGACTCCAGCACTCTCCTGCCCCGGCCCTGCTCCCACGGTGGAGTCTACCTCTTCCCGAATCTGAGCGACTTTATCTACAAAAAACTTTGCAAAATCATTGCAGGAGATCAGATATGACCTTAAGGCTGTTTGTTTTCCCCGCTACAGAAAATAACCTGTTTGTGTATATGTCTAATGAGGGCCGTTTTGATTACTGATAATTATAAAACCTGTCTGCTCGTTCCCCACCCCCAAGCTCACTCTGACTCAGCTGCCCAGGAATTTATTTTTAGGTTATGACTCTGGTTTGCACATATTTTACTTCTACTTGAAGTGTTACTTGAATATGTTTAGTGTACGGCAGCCCAGCCCGATGGGCATGGTATAAATAATAAAATAATACTTATTATTCTTAGTGCAAAGGATACTATGCCAACATTAGAGATTGAATAGTTGAAACTCCAAAACACAGTACAGTGTAATTTTGTAATGAATCTAGACATAACAATAATTGGAATTAAAGTGAGTTTTGTACAGAAGTGAGAGAGAGAGGGTAGTGAATACTAACTAGAGAAAGAAGAATGAAGGTCTTCTATTGCAGTCTTATTGGTTCCATCCCCTTGCAGTACATTTAGGTCAGCTGTACATTTTATTTAATAGCTGGCTACCCTGTAAGAAAGGAGATGCTTTATTATTTCTAAAAAGTATTCAGCACTGTCATGAGTGTAACTTTTTTCTGTTACATGCTTTATTTCTGACTGTTTGATATTATACAACATATTTATTTTATGGAAGCACTGAATCTTAATAAAAACCATCACCTAATTTTTGTTATTCCATGCATCATCTTTTTTGTTTCTGTTGGACGCCTCCCTTATGCTGAGACACAGACACATAGCTTTATTGATGTGCTTTGCATTTTGTTTGAAGTGTTTCTTAAACTAGGGATTGGGAATCTAAGGCCCTCCAGATGCTATTGGACTCCAACTCCCATCCACCCCAGCCAGCATGGGTAGCAGTCAGAGTCAGGGATGATGAGAGTTGTAACTGAGCAATATCTGAAGGACCACAAAGTTCCCAACCCTGTATTAAAGCAAAGTTGTCTTGACCTATGGGGAGCAAGTAGCATGGTATTCATCCCAGCTGGTGGAGCTTAAATAATGAGCTGAAAACCAAGTTGACACTTTGGACGTTTCACGGTCTATTGACCCTGTGCCACCACTGTGGTTGCTTTCTTCGCTGCCACCACCCCGCTTCTCACGGGGACACACGGAGTCCAGACAGTTGTTAGCATAAACAAATAATCAAGTTTATTTTTAAATGCAGGAACAAGCGTATGGTTGCAGTTTATTTTTCTCTTGTCAGTTTCTTAAATCTTAGTTCCTACAACTTCAAACTGAATTATTCCCAACTATCTATCTAACTCCCTAACAAATCTGGAAGGACCCTGATGGGTTCCTGTAAAGGAGGTGTTTGAGTCTGCAAGAATCTAGAAGGAATTCCAGAGTTTGCTCCCTGAGTAAAAGCTTTACGTTAGAACTTGTGCCTTTCGGAGATGTCCAGTATGCATGCCTCATAGTGTTCATCTTATCATGAAACAAGTCTTTGTGACATGTCCATGATTTTTACATACCGTTGTAGTTTAAACTCCGGATTCACCTATCAGCTTTATTCCTGAGCTATAATGGGTAGCTGCCCCCCCTTTCTTTTTTGGTGTTTGAATTATTGGAAAAAAGTCATGAGGCAGGAGTATATATTTGCAACCTTCATACTGCTTTCACATCCAAGTAAGGATTAACAGGTTATTTACAAGAAATAAACCTTTTTCGTATTTGCCTTTACAGTTCAGGTGGAATTCTTGCATGTAAAACAAAGGTGCAGCTCATTTTGTGTAGTTGTTAGGCATTGTTAGATTCTAACAATGTGAAATTATTGGGTGGTCTTCGATAAATAGTCCTCTTTTAGCCTCAGTCCTTCTACCATCTGCACAATGAGGAAATTTGGCCTTCTTTACAAAGGAGAACAGGAGAAGGCAACCATATTATACCTTCAGCAAGAAACTTCTAAGTGGCTACTAAGATGGCTAACCATCTCAAAGCTAGCTCTAAGCATGTTTACTCAAAAGTCTCTCTAAGTTCATTGGAAGGTATGCCTTCATAAGTTCATTTAGGATTACTGTTTTTGAGTACTTTATGAACCTTGAAAACAAAAGTGAAGCTGAGTTAGAGTATGCAGAATTTTATATGTGAAGGCTATCTTTTTAAACACTGGTGATACTAAGTGATCTTACTCTTTGGACAGTGTGATTACTCCCTACTAAATGTCACATACCACTACTTGGTCATAGCTCAGTAGTAGAGCATCTGCTTTGCATGCAGAAGGTCCCAGGCGCAATCTCTGGCATCTCCAAGTAGGGCTGGGAAATTCTGAAACCCGGGGGAGCCAGTCATTGTAGATTGTACTAAACTAGATAGACCAGTGGTCTGATTTAGAATAAGCCTAAGGCAACTTCCCATGTACTTGTTTTAAAACTAAGACTGTGATATATCCTTTTATAGTAGCAACTTCTCCAACCCCATTACCCCTCTTTTTTGGCTATGTATGCTACATAGGGAAACTTTCTCTTGGCTTCATGGGAAGACTTCCTGCTTAACTTCAGACTCACTGGCATTATTGAGAATAGGGACCATTTGAAACAAACAGTCTTTTGGTTCACAAGTAAATAGAAATCCAACCCACCCTGACTTAGCCCCCAGTCCTGAACACAGCACAGTGGATCTTTGAAAGGTTTCTTTAAAAAATAAAACCTTCAAAAACCCAACCATCAGTTATCACTTGACAATACATGTCTATTTCACCAAGGGAAAGGTTAGCTGAGTGGTTGAAAACAAGAAAAGCATGGAAATGACTCTTAGGTTGCTTATTTTGGGCATAGCTCACCCTTCAACAAAATTAGGGCTGCTAACAATTACACAGTTTAAAAATACCAAGAAGCAGCCTCAAGGTTAGTTCAGATATTTCAAGTACTGTTGGGAAGTGGTGGGTGGCAGCAATGGATTGCAAAGAGATTACTTTACCACAGTAGTGTAAGAAGTGGCCAGCGCTTTCCTCCCATTGAGTGCAAGCAGAAGTTTGTAAGAGCCTAGTGGCGTGTGTTTGCATTTCAATGGATGTGCACAAGTGCTTGGGTTCAGTCCTTGGGTGTTTCGAACAGTGCATCTAGCCTGCCAAGTTTTGTACTGCTTAGGCCAATCACTTCATCAAGGTCCCTGAATAACAAAATTCTTTTCTTAAAAACCGGAATAGAGAACCTGTGGCCCATCAGCCTTGACCATTGGCCATCCAGCAGCACCTGAAAGGTCACAGCATTTGCCATCCCTGCTTTATAACAAAGAAAACTTTGGCTTGTAGGAAGACCTGGCAGGAAGATCTGGTCTATGCAAATATTAAACCAGGTAGCAAAACTGATCAGGAAAACATTTTTGTGATACTAGCCTCCTTTAAACCTAGCTTTGTACATGAATAATTTTTCTTCCTGAACTGGACACCACTGTCATAGTTAAAGAGCTGAACTCAGCTGCCTGTTCATGAGAACCATTTCTCATTGGGACATGTTCAAGATCTCTGATGTTACAATGCATTTTTAAAATTAGTTTTTGCTCCCTCACATTTCAGTTCAGGCTTGCCAGTGGCTTCTGCTAAGTTTGCTATTAGTGTAGAGGGAATGATAGGCACCTTTATATGTTACATATGAAACCTAAAGGATATGCAGCATTAAGAACATCGGAAGAGCCCTGCTGGATCAGGCCAAAGGCCTATGTAGTCCAGTATCCTCTTGTCACAGTGTCAGGCAGATGCCCCACTGGGAACTCCACAAGCAGGACCTAGCTTCATGGGAAAGTACTCAGTATCCTGGAAATCTGATTCAGTGATTGTATGATTTCTAAGGCTATCAATAGGCGATTACATTATTATTATTATTATTATTATTATTATTATTTGCACACAGTGGCTGCTTTCTAAAAAGAAAGTTGGCAGCCAAGAAAAAGGAGCAGCTGCAATTGGACACTAAGAATGGGTTTGCTGGAGCAGCATTCGTTTATAGATTCCAAATAAATGAATGGGTCAATGACTTAATAATTTCCTTGGTGGCTATTTGGGGATATGGTGGACAAGCCCGCTGTATCCCTTTGAAGCGAACTGCCTGCAAAAAAGGTCAGAGTTGACATTCCCCTCTTGGTTTAGGACTGGTAGTTTGGGAGGGCAGCGACTTTTTAGCTTCTCATCACTAATCCCTTTATAATTGAGTCATTGGTCATCTGCTGAGGCCTATGCCACTGCAGAGGGCACACTGCCACACTCTGGAGTAGGGGTCACTAATCTGATGCCCACAAAAGCTTTAATTGCTGCCCCAGACTGAATACTAATTGAAAAATAAAAGTCTTTTGTGCTCCTAGAAAGAAAGTTATGGGGCAAAATGTGCAGGTACCTTCTAATCTGCTTCTGTGAAATTAGTGTGAGTATGATGTTGGCCCCCTTGTATATTTTTCCTGGTTTTGAGGAATGCGTCCTGTTGTTATTAGACAGCACACCGTCTTTCTGTGTGCATGTCATCAGTATTGTGTGATCTTCACAATCAGGAGCAGCAGGACACAGCTAACTTCCCATGGTAAACGGAAGGTTGCGAGGAGTGGTTGTTTCTAATTTTGTGTTCTGCCATGTTCCCTATGGCAACCATTTTGTGCCCACAACACCCTCAAAATCCAAAATGTGCCCACTGGTCCAAAAAGGTTAATAACTCCTACTTTAGAGGCTCCTGTTTCTGGTTTGGGCAGCGGTGTTGGGGAGCCTTTTGTACTAAAATCCAGATCTCCTTTTCTCCTCCTCCCTCTGCGTGAAAAACACACTTTGTTTACAAGGCAAGCTCGAAACATGAAGATGTAAAATAGGGATGGCAACTCCCATTCTCAGAGGCCAGATGTGGCCCTACATGCCTCTCTTTCTGGCCCTTGGAATGTTCTCCCCAGGCCACATCCTTCATAGGCCCTATTTTGCACCACACTTGACTGTTGCTGCTTGACTGGGATGTGTCTTTGAAATCTTATAATGAACCCTTCCTTGCCGTTATGTACTGAGTTGAATAGGATTCAGAATGCAGCAGTCTGATTGGTCCTAAAACAATAGGATTCAGAATGCAGCAGTCTGACTGGTCCTAAAACAATAGGATTCAGAATGCAGCAGTCTGATTGGTCCTAAAACAATAGGATTCAGAATGCAGCAGTCTGATTGGTCCTAGAACAATAGGATTCAGAATGCAGCAGTCTGATTGGTCCACAGGAGCCACCCAATCCAGGTCCAGGTGGAAGGGAATCCGCAGCCTGATTGGCCTACAGGAGAATCCCGGAATTGGCCAATCACGTGGGGCCCATTGTGTAAATAATGTACTATATAAGGCAGACATTCTGGGGGAACTTCCATTCCTCCTCACCACTATGAGCTGAATAAAGAGCATGAAATCCACTCTCGACTCAGAGTATATTTCACATGCCTTGATAGAGGATAAGTAGGAGTGTGTGTAGAAACTAGCCTCCTGTACAAAGGCAAAATCTGCATTCATTGTTTCACCCACTTTTGACTCTCGCCTCGCTCACCACCAGCATGTAGCCCCCCGAAGTGAATGCACCTCTCAAGCTGAAAAGGGCTCCCCACACCTGCTGTAAAGCTCTATTGCAAAACAACATTGCAAAATGTTGCAGTTGGTCAGTGGTGACCCCTTCCCCTTTGCTTTGTGGTGTATCACAACGATGCTTGTGAAGAAATGTATAGAATGTGCAACTGGACTGGGTGGGCGGGGCGTAATGCCGCTCAGTTTTAAAGACAGTTGCACAGTTTCTTTTTGGGAAATGATTTGGCTGGCATCAGGAGGCATGACTCAGGTTAGACACTCCAGAGTGGCTGGGGAAACCCAGCCAGATGGGCGTGGTATAAATAATAAAATTATTATGATCTACTGTACATGTGTACAGCGCGAACGGACAAGGGTCGCCTATAAGCCTGCTGTCATCTTCATTCATGACCCTCTAAATAAAGTTTGGTTTCTGCTGGACAAAGGGATCCAACTCCCAGTGCCTTAGCAATGACTGAAGGACCTCAAGGCCAGACATATTCATATTTGATCTATAATTCTCTACATCCCCACGAGACTGTGCTGGGAAGGGGGAGTCTAGGAAAATGGAGCAGGGCTCTTGGTTTATCCTGTAAAATGGTTAACGTATTTACTGGTAATGGGAAGACTCCATGGTGATGCTATGGAGATGATGCTATACGAACCATGCATGAGGCCTCACGGGGGAATGAAAAGCCCCCCACAGAAGGGAAGAGTTCAACACGTAACAGGTTTTGACTTGCCTGTGTCCACCAAATGGAGGCTGCAAGCACCAGCCCTGCAGTTTTATACCTCCCACCTCACAGGCAAAGTTGCTAGTGTGCTGAAGAAGAAGCCCAAGCTGACTGCTTCTCTCGCCGAAAGGAAAAGCCTGTCCAACATGAAATGTAAGTAGGGGACTCTTAGAGTACCATGTGGATGAACAACAAACTTTTAGTTGCAGGTGCTGTAATTATTGTTTTATTTTGATTTATTACCCACCCATCACCCTTAAGGTCCCACAGCTGGTCGGAGCAATGTAAATATACACCATTACAGATGCCTTAAAGCAAGCATGTCCAAAGTTTGTATCGGGGGCCTAATCTGGCCCACCGGTCGGTTTAATCTGGCCCCTGTGACAGTTTATTTCCTGGGTTAAAATCCTAAAAAAGAACTCAACAACTTCACTCCTAAAAAAAAAGAGCTCAAGAACTTGGGGGTAAAATAATAAAAAAAGCTCAACAACTTCAATCCTAAACGGCCCTTCACTTCATCAAATCTGGCCCTCTTTGAAAAAAGTTTGGACACCACTGCCTTAAAGCAAATGGCATCAGGACCAACACAGCAACATTCAGGTTGCCCAAAATATCCAGTGCAAGGAGGAAGGGATCAGGAGGGGTTTTTGGGGGGGGTGTTAGGTGTTTGGGACTGAGAGGGTTGCACTCCATGTGGTATAGTGGTTAGAGGATTGGGATAGTATATGGGAGACCAGGGTTCAAATCCCCATGAAACTCATCGGTGACCTTGAGCCAATTGCTGCTGCTGCTACTCAGCCTAAGCTACCTTGTACGGTTATTGTGGGGATTAAATGAGGAGGTTGAGGGTGATATATGCCACCTCGGGCTCCTCAGAGAAAGAGGTGGGGTATACAGTAGATGCAATAAATAAATAAGAATAGGGTGGGTCCTGAAGTATATATAACTTAAGTGTCAAAGGCTAGGATAGAGATGCTTCTTCAGTATATGACAAAAACTCTATAGTGAAGATGCCAGGAACACTGATGCTTCCACAGATAATGTCCTCTCCCTGGCTGCCACCACTCTCAAACTTCTATGGGTGGTGGAACTACTTAGAGGAACTACTAAGAGTTAATGTACTATATACATAATATTATTAAGAGGTTCAATAGGGAGGGAGATGGTCTTTTGGGCATTTGGGGCTCAGTCATTTGGGCTTCGAATGTAACTGTGAGCACCTTGAATTGGGCTTGGAAACACATAGCAATCAACTGAACTCAGGTGCAGAGTTCTGGCTAGAGATGGAGAGAAAACTGATTCTGTTTACATCATCATGAAAAAACCTCCTAACTACCACTTCGCAAACCAATCTACAAACTGAACAGCATGTATTCTTTGGAATTCACACTTTCAAAAATTTGCAGCGCAGCTCTCCAGTCAGTTCAGTTCATAAGTTTATTGCTCTAGCCAAAGGCCATGGCAAACCTGTAGCAATAGCCTTAATAAAACAACATACATCCATAATATAAGCTAATATCCATGATACACCAACAAACTCAAATCCATCTTGATTTCAGACTAAACCTTTGAATCACCACAACAATTTGTTTATTAATTTATTTTGCCAATTATTTTTTATTGATTTTCCAATATAAACCCAGAAAACCCACAAATTAGTTCCAAATTAATACAATTTTGTTAAGAGGCTTCCCACACACAGTTCCTGATGGATCTTTATTATTTAATATTACTGTGTTTCATATTCTTATTTATTTCTATTACATTCAATTTTTCCAAATTATCATACAATTAACAGTTGCACTCTTTATGATTTCTATTTGGTGTTATTTTATTATTTAACTTCCAAAAAAAAGGCCTCAAGTGAGGACCCATAGCTTTTTCCTTTTCATCCTGTGTCCACTACATCCAAAAGTCAGTTGTTAGTCTCTTGGCCTTATGTGTCTCTCTGACGTTTTCCTTTTTTCCTGGTGCATTTGGGGCTATCTCCCTACTCCCACTGCTGTTTTATTCCAGCCTGGTTGGGGCAGAGCTGAAACTTCAGGTTAAACCCTCTTCTTTCTCCTGCTCAGCTCCTTCCCATAATACTCAAGCAGTTCCAAATCGACAACAGCAGATCCCTCCTTTCCACTAGCACCAAGAATCAACAAGTTCCGAGTTCCAGAGATTTGCCATTTCTTCTTCTGGCTGGGAAAAGAGAGAAAAGGTGGTGCCATTCCTCTTCCAACACCCAAAAAGCCCTCATGCAACTTTCCTTTCGCTGCTACCAAAACATTTTTAAAAATTTTAAAAAATAGGTTATATCTCAACATCTCCACAATCTCTTTCAGTCTTTTTTGGGGGGGGGGAGGGGGTAGGCTCCAACTCCCAGTGACAACCTTCCAAACAAAACAGTTCTCTCCCTCTTTTAACTCCTTTGAAGCCACACACAGCTTTACATCTTCTTTTAAATCTCAGCGTTACATCATACATCAAACCATCCTCACCTGTATATCTTAAAATTCAATATTAGGAGAGGGTTGCTGAATCATAAATGTAAAATCTTCCATAAAATATAGCAGAGAGCCACCCTTCTCCTCCATCCACCTCCAGCACAAGATAGATTCTTCTCCCAATTTCAAACCTCAGTTCCATGCAGCTGGTTGTTTGCAGTTATAATGTACATGTCCTCTTGTGTGCACCTATTCTTAATGCCAATTAAAACCCAATTATAAGGAGAACCTCCACATCCAATGGCAATTTTGGGGGTTTCACATCAGGCAAAGTGAGTAAGCACCCAGCACCTCCACCTGTCCCTGTGGGGGGGGGGCAAGCCATTGAGGTGACAGCAGGTCTCCAGTACCTCCTGTACCTCAGTAGGTTTATGTTGTTGTTTAGTTGTTTAGTCGTCTCCGGCTCTTCGTGACCCCCTGGACCAGAGCACACCAGGCACTCCTGTCTTCCACTGCCTCCTGCAGTTTGGTCAAACTCATGCTGGTAGCTTCGAGAACACTGTCCAGCCATCTCGTCCTCTGTCGTCCCCTTCTCCTTGTGCCCTCCATCTTTCCCAACATCAGGGTTTATAGGTTTGGTTTAACCACTTCCATCCTCTTTATTCAGCCTGTGCCTCTCTCCTATGTTGAGAGAGTCGTCACCATGGCATGGGACAGGAAGTGGAAACAACCACCATGACAATTTATAGAGATTTTATATGACTCCTTTTTCCTGATTATTTTATTTTTATTTTTCAGTCAATGCATAGAGGGCTACTCTCTATGTTATAAAGCCATTATTGTCACTCAAAAGAAACCAACCTATTTCTGCCAGGGTGTGGCTACTTGCTAATGTGAATAAAGGTTTCAGAAAGTCTCTGGATAAGAGGCAGGCTAACAGATAATGAGCGATGCCTTCCACCTGAGGTTAACTACAAATGCAAACTCTGTCCGCATACATGACCTTGTTTGCTGTAGCAGCCATCCAAGACTGCAATAGGCGTTAGTTGAAAAAGCAGCTCAATAAAGGCATTTATTGAGGAAGCTGGTGAGAGTTTGAGCTCTAAAATACTCTGGAGTGGATACCAAGGGAAAAATATGGTATTTCTAATTAGTTGCAGGTCATTTCTGGATTCTGTCCAGAATCCAAATTCTGGGTTCTATCCAGAAGAGCCAGTCTCTTGTTGTTGTTGTTGTTTAGTCGTTTAGTCATGTCCGACTCTTCGTGACTGCATGGAACAGAACACGCCAGGCACTCCTGTCTTCCACTGCCTCCCGCAGTTTGGTCAAACTCATGCCAGTCTCTTAGTTGACACTTATTCAAGGTCAAACCAGAGCTCAGTTCTGGAATATAATAATGGTTTAAAACATCTTGACAAGCTGCTTTCCAGAGCAGGTTATCACTCAATTCTATATAGCACAGTGCAGGAAAAAGCTCAAAAGGCATAGTAGCAATTTTTAAAATATACTTTAACTGAGCACAGTTTGCTCTTGACTTAATTGTTGGCGTCCCAGATTCTGTACAAAGAAGAGCTGTTGATATTCCTGGTGGTAGAGAGTATAGCTTCTAGGGAAAATAAAATATTCTGCCTGGTTTCCAAAACCTTAACGGAGTTTAAATCAGAGCCCCAGATTTCAGTGTCATAAAGAATTTGAGTAAGCACTTTACTATCAAATATTTCATAGCAGGTTCAATCAGCTGTTGTAACAGAACTTCATCAATGCCCCAATAGTTTCCTGTGGTTTGACTTTCACTGCTTCCATCCAAAACTTCCAAGGGGGGTTTCACTAAAGAGTACACCCAGGTATATAAATAAAGGAGTTTGTTTTATACCTTGTCCAATTCTCCATTTTTTTTAACTTCTCAAAAGTATGCAAAAGTGCATATTTAAGTGAGCAGTTTGCAAACAAGTGAATATATTGGGTGAGGGGAGAACATATAAAAATGCATCTGTTAGTCAAAACTGCATACAAAAGTGTGTCTGTTAGGAGAAATTCACACTCAGATGCTGATGAATTTTCATGAGGATGAAAAAAAACACAATTTCAAATTGCTGCAACAACGTGGGGGGGGGGGCTGAGTTTAAGACAAGAAGGTGACGGAAACCAAAACTGACAGATGGCGTCCACATCTCATTTTGAGAGCTGGGTAGCCAAAGTGGGGCTATTACCAAGGTCAGCTTTGTTGGACTGGTCATGTTGTGCAGATGCCTGATGATCGTCTTCCAAAGCAACTACTCTATTCCAAACTTAAAAATGGAAAGTGTAATGCTGATGGTCAACAAAAGAGGTTTAAAGACTCCCTCAAGGCAAATCTAAAAAAAATGTAGGATAAACACCGACAACTGGGAAACACTGGCCTGCGAGCGCTCCAGTTGGAGAACAGCCTTTACCAAAGGTGTCATGGGCTTTGAAGACACTCGAACTCCGGACGCAAGGGAGAAATGTGCTAAGAGGAAGGCATGCCTGGCAAAACCACACCGTGATCAACTCCCCCCCGGGAACCAATGTCCCCACTGTGGAAGGATGTGTGGATCCAGAATTGGCCTCCACAGTCACTTACGGACTCACTGTTAAGACCGTGTTTATGGAAGACAATCTTACTCGGCTACGAGTGATCGAAGAAGAAGAAGAAGATTACCAAACAACTGGGGTGGGGGTGGCATGCTCCTAAACCCTCCTCACCCCCAGGTTTTTAGAAATAGGGAAAAATCTTTTTGGGAAGAGAAAATGAGGGGCAGGCTAAGAAATCCCACAAAACAGCTTCATTTGATAAGTTTTAAGGATGTGACAATGAAGAGTGCATGGTTGGTTCACAAGCTGCATGAAGCACTGAACAGACACACTTTGCACTGCAGCAATTTGTTGCAGTTCCCACTTGTTTAAACAGCACACTTTTAGGGAGGAGAGGAGAGAAAAATTCATTTAGATAACCTGTTCATATAACAATCCCCAGAGTGGAGCCCAAGATGTGTATTGTGTGATGCTTTGCAGCTTGCAACGGTGGCTGTGTGTGTTATACAATGCTATAGTCCAGTAAGACACTGGTGGATGTGTGAAATAGATACAAGCACACACCGACCCAGAGATGTCTCCCTCTAAGGAAAATGCTTCAATACTTGTAAGTGACAATAATGACTTAATAAGGCAAACTATGGCTTGGTGGCTGGCTAAATAAATAAATAAAACTTGGAATGGGTGTGGGTGTATGAAACGCCCCCCCCCCAAACACTAAGAATTTTTAAAGGCAGACTATAGTTGAATAAAATCACTTTTGATGGACTGAATAAAACAGACAAGAATCATAGAATTGTGGGGTTGGAAAGGGACCCCAAAGGGCCAACCATCTGTAATGCAAGAATCCCACCTGAAGAATCCCCAACAGGTTGACATCCAACCTGTTTAAAAAACCTCCAAGGATGGAGAGTTCACTACTTTCCGAGGGAGCCCGTTCCGCTGTTGACCAACTCTTTACTGTCAGAAAATTCTTCGTAATGTCTTGATTCCTGTAAATAGAATCTGCTGGTTCAAGTCCTTCCTTCTAGAGCAGAAGACTACACTGAACTTGAAGCAAAATAATCAAGCAGGAAAAGATAAACAAAAGGAGGAAACAAAAGAAGATGAAACAAACAACAACAGCAAGATTACACCAAAAGAAATATATGAGGAAGAACAGTAGGGTTTGAAAGAAAAGGCTGGATAAAGGGTGGGCGTGGGTTGGACTCAAGCCTTAAGGACATCTGCTTCATATCCAGAAGGTCATAGTTTCAGCCCCCAGCCTCTCCGGGTAGAATTGGAAAAGACTCTGTGCCTGAATGCTTGGAGAGCTGCTGCCAGCCAGTGTAGACCATACTATGCTAGGCAACTTGCTGTGTTCCACCAGAACCGTTTTATTAAAATTCCTGCGTAGAGACAGAACTTGCAAAAGTGCAAGAAACCCATGAGACATAGGTGATTTATTTACTTCAACATCCCTTCCCTAAAGGACTGGGATTGGAGGGCCTGGGCAAAATCATTTCCTTTGTTTACAAGGTTGGCCTGTCAGTTGCAAACAGAGTTCTCTCTCCCTTTCCCCTCTCCCTACCCTGGTGCTTTCTTTAGATGGTAGGTTTAGAGATATTAGTTTTGCTTTTAGCAAGGACTTGCCCACTAGAGGGAGAGAGAGACTGAAGGAGTTGTATGTACATTTTTTTATTTTTTTTTTGGTGCATTGGACTAACATAGCCTCTCCTTAATGTTGCAGTGCTCTTTGGACTTATTTTGGTTTGGGTATCAATAAAGCTTTCCAGGTTCCAGTGTGTCCTTGAAAAGGAGTACTTCTGCTCTTCCATTCCAAATGGTGAGTCATCCATCCTCCCAAAGACTTATCTATGCTGGGGGATGATTGTTAGAAAATTGTAGAGGGACGAGCTTCCAAAGTCATCACTTTAAGTTTGGGTTTTTAAGAAGATCCCTGCTGGGACATTGTCTTGAGGTCACATGTTCAGTGGTGGGTAGCAACAGAGGCGAATGTGTGTGGAGCAAATTTTACCTTTATATGGTAAGCTAGTTGTGATTCAAGGACCCGCCACCCGCTTGAGGATAAGAAAGACACATGGACACGGTATATTAGGTTAGTGGGCTAAAAAAGGCCACAGCTTTATTGATTACAGCATGTGAGAGGTATTGGCTTAGGCATTGGATAAAACAACAGAGCGTGACTCCACCCCCTCAGGGAGGGGTGAGTCTATCAAGGGTTAACCACCAGTGGGAGGAGCCTGTTGATGCAAATAAACTGAAAGCTCCCCCTGATGTCACTGGGGGTCATGCCATGGCCCTAGCCACCAGCAAGGGCATCGGACAGGATCCATGACTGCCGGATTCCTTTACCGGAATACCCATAAAATGGAGGGGTAGGCGATGGCCACACCATGCCCTCCAACACACAACCATATTCCAATGCCTAACCGCCTATACCCAAAAGTTGTGATGATTTGCTACGAGGTAGGCAAAAAACCAAGTGGCCAGTGCCAATTTGCCAGTTGGATAAAAATTCCTGCCAGGCCCCTTGGCCAACCAAGGCGACCAACCACTGGTCCATAGCAATGTCAAGAACCAAGCAATGAACTAAGGGAGGGTGGGTGAATGATCCAACAAGAAGCAGCAGCACAATGGCTGGGAAATGCTGCTGCGGCCACGTTTGAGCAGCTAAACCCCACCCCCAAGCCTCCAGCCAGTTGGCTGGCCACCTGGGGGCATGGTGTGGCAGCCGGGGCAGCTGGGCAGGGGGCGAAATGCCCCCTGCCAACGCAGGAAACAGCTCCCGCTCACAACTCCTCCCCTCCTTGAGGAGGAGAGACTTTCCTTTCCCAGCACATGAAGCTATCTCTCAAGCATTTTCTGTTTCTGCCACTTCTAGGTTTCCCAGAAGGGTTGACCTCCATTCTCTTTGTGGTAACCAACATTGGGATTCTCAACTCCACGGTCTTCAGTAGCCCTAGCTTGGCATCCGTGTCCAGCCTCGCCCTAGCAAACAGCGGCATAACGAAAATCAAACCGGGAGCGTTCAGCATTTTCCAAAACCTCCGCAAACTAAGTTTATACCAGAACAGTGTGACTGAGGTTAAAGCCTCCTGGCTTTCCAACCCTGGGCATCTAGAAAACCTGACAGTGGCTCAGAACCTCATTGCCAGTATAGGGCCAAAAGACTTTTCAGGGTTTTCCAACCTTACATCGCTGAACTTAGCAAACAATCAGATCTATCAGATATCCAGCAAGAGTTTTAAGGAGCTGACCAAGCTAACGCTGCTTGACCTGTCTGGCAATAAGTTAACAACTTTAGCAAGAGATGTATTTGATGGGCTGATGCTCCCAGTGATGAAGCTTGGTGGAAATCCATGGAACTGCTCCTGTCAACTTCAGGATTTTGGATTATTTCTGCAAGGTAGGTGCCCAAGGTGGCTAACAACCTAGTTGTGGAAACAATACAATTAAAATTATTTGAGAGCAGCTAGAATTCTCTCTGCAACATCTTGGAGGTTACAAATGACACTTAAATCATATTTTGATTAATTGTGGGGTTTTGCAGCTATGGCCAAACTGACAGGGTTTTTTGGACCCACCAGGAAGGAAGAGAGAGACAAAATAATTTGGGGAGTCAAATGGCAGACATACATTGATTACAAAAACAGAGATGGTTTAGAACCAAAATGAATTATGTGTTTACAAGGTGTTAGTGAATTAATGCCATAATGTTATTGTGAATATATGTGCTCCCTTAAATTTGACAACTCTTTTTGAAATTGTGCTTTTGGGAGCTTTTTAAATTGTGATCAATGTGATAAATAATATCTTTCTGTTAAATCTTAATCTATAAAGATTTAGCATTCAGCACTTAATGTGATTCAACACAGCTTGAACAGTTTAAAAGTGGGAAGTGGGCCTCTTCTAATCAGAAGTTTGAGAGAGGCTGGCTTAATCCTACAGACTAACTTTTAAAACCAATTTAAGCAATGCCTTCATTTTTATTTGAAAAAATTAATTGCATAAACCATTGAAAATATAAATGGAACCAGACACAACAGATTTCACAGGTGAATCATTTCCCAGTCAGTTTTTCCATTGTTCAAGACTGTGTGTCTTTACAGAGTTGATCAACGCGTCACTGCTTGAAGATGCTGCCTCTGTCATTTGCCGAAGTCCACCAAACCTAGAAGGGATTCCTGTCTGGAACATTTCTGACATGAACTGCCTGCCAGACTTCTTTTCATCAGTCTTTGAGAACAGCTTCCATAAAGTTGGACTACCAGCTTTGCTGGTATGTTTAGGTATGTTTCTGTGTATCTGTTAATGTTTGATAACATATCTCTGTTGACATAAGAACACAAGAAAGGCCCTGTTGGATCAGGTCCAAGGTCCATCTGGTCCATCATCCTGTTCTCACAGTGGCCAACCAGATGCCCCAATGGGAAGCCCTAGATGGGTCATTGGCCTGATCAGACCTGCTTTTCTTACCTTGTTATGTTCTATCTGCTTCTTTTGGAATTCATGTACCCTTTTGAGCTAATATTTTACCTTTCTTTTTTTCCTTTTGGGCAGTGCTGATTTCGTTCATTTTGATGCTGCTTTTGATCTGGATGGTGAAACGCAGTAATCAACAAATCCAGCCAAGCAAAGAAACGACTGATCTAACCACCAGTGGTCAACCATCTGACTGTGTTGATTCCATGGCTGAACACAGGCCGACTGATGGAAAGATCAGAATCACAGAGACAGGGGTGATGTCTCACTCTAGGTTGTTGAGAGTTCGTGCCAAGTCTGCCTCAGCCATATTGTTGCAGGCAGAGTTCTGCCCCAGACCGTGTCAGGCCACCAATTTGGCTGAAGAAAAGCAAGGGCATCTAACAACTCCCTTCACACTGTTAAATGAAAAAATGCACGTGAGAAGTGAGGACCTGTGCAACTTTATGGAACTGTGGTATTACCACAAGCTGGAAACAGACAACAGAAAGGAATTTCAGAGGCATTGCAATGTGAACTCATTCCCGACTGAAGTATATCTAGAAACTCCAGATATGAAAGTTACTTCAGAAGTGGCAACAAAAAGTTTGCAGGAAAATTGTATTTTGGGAGCATCTGAGAATGATGATAGTAAAGGCTGTGACAGTGTTGAAAATCCCGAACCCTTTTTATATTTAAGTGTTGCTACGACCACAGTTGAAGAGCAAATTGATGTCCCACCTAAAAAAGATGTGGTTATAAAAGCAGGTGGAAACTGCTCAGTTTCTTTGAAGCGCGCTTTTACATGGCCTTATGAGATAAAATGTTTGGGGCAGAAGTCTAATGTGTTAAGTATTAGAGAATCATTTAAAGGACAGTTCCTCCTGCCTACTCTCAACCTTGAAGAGAAACTGGATGTTGGGAGTTCAGAATTTGAGGAAGAGTGGCTAGAGGTTCATCCCAGGAAGGCATGTCAGCCATTCGATAAGGGTCAGCTTGGATTAAACCAAGAGGCAAAGCTAGCCAAGGAAACAGAGTTTCCATATCAGCAAGAATCAAGGGCCGAAATTGCCTTAGAGCCAACAGATGTTGGAAAATCTGAATTCACTGTAGATCTGCAAAGACAGCATGATCTGAGCACATGCCCCAAAGAGGGTGATCACATAGTCAGTGGCAGAACTGAATTAAAGACAGAGGTAAAACCAGCTAACCAACCCGAGTTTTCGCTTCAGCAAGAATCAAAAGCAGCTGTTGCCTCACAGTCTGGACTCAAAACAATGAGAGGCCCCACAGCTGTGAAAAGGAAACAATCATCAAAACCAGTATCTGCTCAATCTAAAGTCCGTCAGGAAAGTCATCCCTCTCCACTCCCTTCAGCTGATGTTGCTTCCACCAGTCTGCCCCTGTATGATGAGATCTCACTTGAAAACGACGAGTATAACTATGCCAGCCTCCTGCATGAAGTTGTGGAGAATCGTGGGAGGTGGACTAGGGAAAGATGGAGACAGACCCACAGGAAACGTTCAGTGAATCAGCCCCCAACCAAATCCAAGTAGATCACATCAGACTCCAGTTTAATGCTTTGTACATTCAACTTTGTAGGAGAGAGAGAGAGAGAGAGAGAGAGAGAGAGAGAGAGAGAGAGAGAGAGGAGTTGTATCTATCTAAGTTCTACTGAGAGTAAACCTACTGGAATTAATATTCAAGTTAGCCATAATCATTAATTTCAAATCAGTCTAGAACTAATGTTGGATACAATTATATCTATCTATCTATCTATCTATCTATCTATCTATCTATCATCTCTCTATCTATAATCTGCATAGCAAGAAGATTAATATGACCATTGGGGTCCCTTCCAACTGTACAATTCTATGATTCAATGACATATACATATATAATGAAACAGGATTAGTGGACAATGCTGATCTGGCACTGGTAAAAGAGGATGCTTCCTGTGGTTTCATGGAAAAGAGGGCTTCGGAAGCTACACACAATTCCTCACAATGCCATTCTAGAATATCTTGGAGGCATTCTGCAAGCCATGTTCTTGATGGTGAGACGTCCTATGCTGAGCACCTTCAGTGCAACTTTCATGATGTTTTTTGTGATGTGGCTTTTTGGCAGGCTCAATTTTTCATCACGCATCCTTCCAAAACTACCCCCAGAATGGACAGTGAGGTTTGGCCAACCTCAACATTACTAAAATAAGTTTTATGGGGCATGCTAGACTTCCCCCTTGGTGTGTTGAATGTAGTTGGTGATCCTGCCTGCCCCTTGCAATGGCCATCAGTGGGTATTTGGCAGGGGGAGGGCTTGCAGACAAGGCACTGTGACTAGACTCCTCTGAACAGCGGAGTCTGTGTCTGTGAGATCAGCACAGTGGTGGGTATCTACTAATTCAAATCACTCATGCAAATCTGAGCTATGTACCTAATACAATATCCTCTTGGATATTGAACTTAGCTAATGTTATGCCCAGTGCTGCTATCAATGGCAGTTGCTCTCCAAGCGCTTCTGGAGTGGGAGAGCATTTCACCAGGGCTGCAGCATGGTAGGTGGTGGTGCAAATGGTTAACTCCCTCTCCCTGAGTACTGGGGTCCAGGTCCTGATTGTCTTTCCTTCGAGGCTCCTATTTAAGTTTTAACAAACAGGTACATGAAACAGTTGGGATGCGGGTGGCGCTGTGGGTTAAACCACAGAGCCTAGGACTTGCTGATCAGAAGGTCGGCGGTTTGAATCCCCATGACGGGGTGAGCTCCTGTTGCTTGGTCCCTCCTCCTGCCAACCTAGCAGTTCAAAAGCACGTCAAAGTGCAAGTAGATAAATAGGTACCGCTCCGGCAGGATGGTAAACGGCGTTTCCGTGCGCTGCTCTGATTCGCCAGAAGTGGCTTAGTCATGCTGGCCACATGACCCGGAAGCTGCACGCTGGCTCCCTCGGCCAATAAAGCGAGATGAGCGCCGCAACCCCAGAGTCGGTCATGACGGGACTGTTACCTTTTTACATGAAACAGTTATGTGATTAATTCCTGAAGTTTATATCCCCAAACCAGGAAATACAGGGTTTAGCAGAGGTGTTTTTTTGTTTTTTTTAAGTTGACTATTGGAAATATAAAGGGACGCAGGTGGCGCTGTGGGTTAAACCACAGAGCCTAGGACTTGCCGATCAGAAGGTCGGTGGTTCGAATCCCCGCGACAGGGTGAGCTCCCATTGCTCGGTCCCTGCTCCCGCCAACCTAGCAGTTCGAAAGCATGTCAAAGTGCAAGTAGATAAATAGGTACCGCTCCGGCGGGAAGGTAAACGGCGTTTCCGTGCGCTGCTCTGGTTCGCCAGAAGCGGCTTGGTCATGCTGGCCACATGACCCGGAAGCTGCCCGCGGACAAACGCAGGCTCCCTCAGCCAGTAAAGCGAGATGAGCGCGCAACCCCAGAGTCGTCCTCGACTTGACCTAATGGTCAGGGGTACCCTTACCTTTACCTTTATTGGAAATACATATCCATGGCAAAAACACCATCCAGAAAGCCACCAAAATATTTATTTGGTTTGCACTGTGTGATCTTTTGATGCATGTTGACTTCACATGTTAATTTATGCATGTGATATTGTTGGCACTTAAATTATTGACTTGTAGTATAGTTGATAAGCTGCATTGACAGAAATCTTTATACACAGAAATCCTCTTTGCAAATTTTCTTTTGTGTTGGGGTGCTTCAAGACTTGCTATTTTCTGGTGAAATTCAAACAGTGGCAAATTGTTTAGGAAAGGACTGTTTCTTGGCAGGTGGGGAAGCCATGATAGTTAAAGTTGTATAAAAGTGCTTTAAGTATATGCTGTGGTCTACCATGTTAAGCATGCAGTCTACTCCTCTGTTCAATTGTCAGCCATAGTCAATAGACACTTAGTCCATTTTATATTCACATGGGCTCAGTAAACACTGCTGCTTATTTACTTGATATTTTATGATGTCTTGTAATTCAGGATGTATTTTACAATGGAGATGTTTAATCTGTATCTGTTAGCATGCTTTCACGATGAAGAAATGCATATAGATATACATAAATATAGATATATATAGTGTGTTAGGGGACAAATATCTTGTGTTTAATAAAAACAAAGAATGCACAATACCCACCACAAGCATTCTGATTCACAGTTCAGTTTTGTGTCTAAAATCTGGCTGAAAATCTGCTTCTTTTCATCATTTCTTATCCTGAATGTTTTTTTTTCCTTAAAGAGGCATCAGTTCAATGTTAAAACAAAGCAATGCACATTCATCTTAGGTGGAGGAGGAATGAAATGTCGCTTGATACCTTATTCAAGGATGCAATATGACTTTAACAGATTGGCGAACTAGACCAAAACTAACAAAATGAATTTCAGTAGGGAGAAATGTAAGGTTTTTTAGACTTCGGCGGCAATCATCAGATGCAAAAATACAGGATGGCGGCTTTCACTCCTGGCTTGTAAAATGACCTAGGGGTCTTTGTAGGCCACAAGCTTAACATGAGTCAACAGTGTGAAGCAACAGGAAAAAGAAAAACGAAAAACTAATGCAATTCTATGCTGCATCAAAAGAAGTATAGTGTCCTGTTTAAGGGAAGTAATATAATATTTGCTCCCAGCCTATCATCCAACCAGTTCAGGGCAGACTACAAGGGATTATCTCATGTCAGGGTGAGTGATAGCAAGTGGTCCAAGGTTGTGTTACGAGTGTCACTGATGAGTGGGAATTTGAACTCATGTCATCCCTGGCTGCATCTTAATGGAAGAAGGGCACTGGCCCTGCAGATGTTGCTGAACTTCAACTCTGACTTTTGGCCATGCTGCCTGCAGCTGATGGAAGTTGGTGTTGCTTTCCATTGCCTTTCACTGAGAGCAGACACAGCTAATTCTTCAAAATCCACACTTCAACCTTTTCAACGAACACCCCCCCCCAAAAAAAAAATCCTACCCCAATGTGTAGGATTGGGGTAGCAACACAGGGGGGCAATGGGGTAGGGGAAGAATATGTACAAAATTGTGTACATGGCAAATTTGTGTGCAGACTTTTTGTTTTAATGAATGCAAACTGGAGTGGAAAAAATTGGGGTGAACTCATTTGCAGACTAGGAAAATGAGAAACCTCAAATTGACAAGTTCGTCCATCGCTGCCTAGGAGTAAACCTCATTGAACTCAGTGGGACAAAGGACTACTCCACTGCTGGTAAGATATTGTCCACATCTGTACCGTATATTAAAAGCACTTACTATACCAATTTAATGCCATGCCTTCCTGTAAAGAACCCTCAGAAGTATAGTTTGCAGGGGTGTAGCACTGTTTGCCAGTGCCTGGGACAGGTGCACACCCATGCGCGCTTGATGAGGGTGGAGTGTGCTCACCCAGCTCTCACCATCAGGCAGGCCTTCGCATGCCAGGCAGGGTTGTGGCACAGAGGGTGCTCTTCACCCTCTCTGTTCCCTGCCCTCACCGCCAACAGGTAGGTGATCTTACACCGGGTGGGGAAGGGCCATGGACAGCAAGCGACAGGGATCTCTGTGGGGGGTGCCTGGTCTGCGGCCCCCTCCCAATTGCGTGCTTGGGGCCATGGCCCCCCTGCCACCACCCATGCTATGCCACTGGTAGTTTGTCAGGAGTTGCTAGATGCCCCTATTCCTCTCAGGGAACTCTGGGAATTGTTGCTTTGTGAGGGGATAGGGGCCCCCTAACAACTCTCAGCACCCTGAACAAGCTACAGTTTCCCGGATTCTTTGTGGAAAAGCTATGATTATTTAAAGTAGAATGATATTGTGTGGATGTAGCCATTGCATTCAACATATTTTACTTCCATTGTTAAGTGTTTTAGTTGTTTGGTTTGTTCAGGCAATTGTTCATCAATCATGAGCCTTAAATCTGGATGACTTGCGGAACTACAAGCTCAGAGAGGCATAAATATTCTGGCATTTGCGAGATCCTCATCATATAACGAAGCTGAAGTTTGCAATGGCCAAACCCAGTGTACCCCCAAGGAAAAGTTGTAAGTTATCGCAGTATTCGTTTTAAAACACACACATCTAGATATTGTTTGAATGTATGGAAAGAGCTGTCTATCTTGGTCCAATAAATGCAGCTCCCCAGGATGTGTATAAAAATTATAGAGTTTTAATCCAAGATAAAGCTCTAAAAATGCACGTATATAAGTAGGTGACATGATTCTTGGGAGACAATTGATTACATCATGACAGGGAGTGGCAACCATACCTAGAAAGGGCTGTGGCCTTGTAGGAAAAGCCAATCAGGAGCCACAACCAATGGTGGGTGAAACCTGAACATAAAAGTGGGAGGAGTCTGAGCACTGCAAGAATGCATTACTATTTTTTTCTTCCTCTCTCTGTGACACCCCAGCCCTTCTTTACCTCTCTCGTACACACATGAACCAGAAGTGTATGTAATAGAGTGGGTGACCCAGGGAGCAAGAGTGGGTGACCAGCAGCGTGCAAAGAGCCAGATGATACTGAGGGCTACATTGTGCTGATGGAAGCACTGACCTCAGCAGAGGCCAGGGTGCCTTGGACAACTCCACACAGGTCTTAGGCCGAATACTACTGTTCATAAGAGCAGAGCTCAGATGTTGCTTCATCACCAGTTACTTTTGGACTGAGCTTTATACAGGAGCCAAGGCCCTGTCTCAGTAGGTAGTTCCCCTTTCACTAAGAGGGGCCTCTTCATTTAATGGGAGGCAGTGTCTTCCAATAGACGTTTACTTCAATAGAGAGGTATAGATTCCAATTGCACTGGAGCTTCTGAGATGCAGTCCTCAATGTGATGTCTTTGAAACTGGGGTTCTGGCTCCATGACTCCTTCAAGTACGTTAGATGCTTTTGGGGCTGGCCCTGAGGACAATCCTTCCCCCCACTCTGTATCCTGGTCTCATTCTTTGAAGAAGGGGGAGTCAAGCCCAACAAACATTAAATTAGGGGTGCATATGTGGTCTACACATTTGTAAGAATGAGATGGTAGGCCTCTTGAGGTGGCATAATGGATTGTACCACTTCAGGCTACAGGTGAAGGCAAGTCATTTGTGAATGTAAAAAAATAAATTTAAAAAATATCCCTGTAAGTAAAAAAAATCCAGCATGCCAGGGAGCAAAGTTTTGATCCAGCCCATTTCCCTGCTGTGTTTTATATGTAGGGAAGTTTCCCTGCATAATGCTATCTTGCAAAAATGAGATTCCTTCCAAGCTGAAAGCAAAAGTCATATAATCCAGCCTACTCTGATTTGGCTCCTTGTGTATGTAGACTGAGTTTAAGATGGCACCAGTCTGAGGGATGAGTTGAGCTCTTCCATACTGATATTGAGACCTGGGACATTATTTTTCAACTCCTGCTGGGACACTACTGCTTGTTGAGGTCAGAAGTCCAAGGTCACAGAAAGCAATGGTGGCTAGTGTCCACTGGGACTGGTGGGGCAGGGGCAGGAGGCGGGCAAACCAACAATGCTTTATTCTTTCTTTGGTGATCACTCGTAGCCAAGTAAGATTGTCTTCCATGAACATGGAGCCAGCTAATTCTGGTTTTGCTCCCATTCTCCTCCCCACTGCCTTCTACAAGGGCAACACTGAGACTAAGTAGGAGGAAGCTAGCAGGTTGTTCTACCCCCTGGGCTGGGCTGAACATTAGAAGGCTGGCTGAGGACTAAGGCTGGTGTGGGGAGCTCCCCATTCACTCCAGAGGAGCAGCCTCCATGGACAAAGAGAGTCTACTTTGCAGCTCCTCCTTATGCCAACATCATCACTCCTGGGAACCAAAGGGACTCTCTGAAGGGACTCCAAGAAAGATTTGAGTTTCCTCTGCTTTGTACTGAACAGGTATGGTGGTGTTCGGTGTATTGCAGCTGTTGCTGCTTTCCAAGGAAGCTGCCCTGCTCTGTCCTCCCCGGTGTCAGTCCTGCTCTGTATTTGCAGCAAAATGTGAGCAAGTCTCAGCACTCTCAGAAGGTGAGTCTGCCCCACTCAAACCCACGCTTCCGCTTCCTCCTCCCCATCACTTCCTGTGATTGTCTCCGTGGATAAGTCGGGGACGGGGAAATTTTTTTAGCACTTGGGACATGTTTCCTTCTGGGCAGCTTTCTGAGGACTATATGTCAGTGGTGAGCACAGCCAGATGCAAAAGTGGGCAGAGCAATGCATTTAACTTTTACCTTTGTACAGTAGGCAAGTTTCCACACACACTCATGTGCCTCTCCAAAGCCTCTGTCCAGGCAAGCAAGAAGCATTATCAGAGTTCAAGGATGTTCTAGCCATTCAAGGAAAGTGTGAAGCAAGGCCAATGTGGGGTGTGGCCGGGGAAGAAGATAGAGTCTGGCCTGGGGAGAGTTCCAAAGGACAAGTAGAGAAGCCTGGAGGGCTACATTTGCCCTCCAGGCCTGAAGCTCCCCATCTAAGCAGTTCTGCAATGCACCAACTATCATTATCTGGTGCCTGGGGCTGCCATGCATTTGGATTTTCCTGGGCATTACTGGGATTTCAAAGGCAGAATTGGAGTCTGGGGGGAATTTCCGAAATGTGGTGCTTTGTCCTGGATCTTAGGAAAATGCATTTGTTGGTGTTTTTGTAAAAAAGAAAAGAAAAAGTCAACATATTTCATGGTGTCCTATAATATAATAATAATAATTTATTATTTATACCCCGCCCATCTGGCTGGGCTTCCCCGGCCACTCTGGGCGGCTTCCAAAAGAATATTAAAATACTATAATACATCAAACATTAAAAGCTTCCCGAAACAGGGCTGCCTTCAGATGTCTTCTAAAAGCCTGGTAGTTGTTGTTCTCTTTGACATCTGATGGGAGGGTGTTCCACAGGGAAGGCGCCACTACCGAAAAGGCCCTCTGCCTGGTTCCCTGGTTCCTGATTTCTACTTTTTGAAATATGGCAGCAGTGGTGCCTAAGAATGGGCAGATCAGTCTATTTGGGGGCTGTGTCAATTCCACTTTTGTTTACTCATAAGTCTGCTCTGACTAATTTCTGTATTAAACTACATTTAAAATAAACATTTTCTCTCAAGATGCACATTTTAAGAGTATTTTGCTACGATACATTTTATTGGTGGTGGTTGGACTTCAAAAACTATTACCATTAGATCCAGTGTGGTGTAATGGCTGGAGTGTTGGATTAGGAATAGGGAAGCCTAGATTCAAGTTGCCATTCAGCCATTGTGATCCCTGGTGACTATGTGCCAGCCACACACATCGCAACACACCTCACAGTGTCGTTATGAGGATAAAATGGGTGAGGGAGGAACTAATGATATAGACATAGATATCTCAGGGCTCAGGAACCTGGGGCACTCTAGCTCCCATCAGCCAAGCCAGCATGGCCAATGACCAAGGGTGATGGGATATGTAGTTTGGCCAGATTTGGAGAGCCACAGGTTGCCTACCTCTGATGTAGATAATCCTGAGAAAAAGAGCAGAATGCAAATGTAATAAACAAAACAAAAGAGAAGCACCGTTGTACATAGGCTTTTTCTGCATGATGTATGCAAATTGCAGAATCCTGCTTCCCTCAGTGCAGAATGTGAGTTACCATATCCTGTGTATTTCCAGTAAGAAGTCGTAAGTCCAAATGTTGCTTTGCCTTGTAGTTTTCTGTCTAAGTGTCTCCCCACCCTCTCCCACCCCTTCCCCCTGTATTCAGTCTTAGTAGGTTTGTCAAGTTACACAGAGAAGATACACCTACGTCATGGGAACCTTAGTGAGATTCCTCCACTGTCCTTCACAAAATTCTCCAACCTCCAGTTCCTGTCAATCACTGGATTCCTAGTTTCATCCCTGACCAACCTCACCTTTTCCACAGTTCATGCCAACCGCCTGAGGGTATTGAATCTCAGCAATAACCACCTCCTTAGTTGCATGGTTCAGCCAATGGCTTTCTCAGGTCTTCTGCTCCTGGATGAATTGATTCTGACCAACAATAGTTTGGACATATTGAGAAGGTCATGGTTCTCAGAAATGCCAATCCTCAGCAAACTCTTCCTTGGGGCCAACAGAATTGCATACCTTCCTCCAAGAACATTTGAAAGCCTGGCCAAGCTGGATGAACTGGTCGTGTCTTCTAATTTGATCCAGTATCTTCCAATGGACACTTTCTATGGATTGCCCTTGTTGACCAAACTGGACTTATCAAGCAACAAAATCATGTTCATCAACCATGAGGTTTTTCAGCCTTTGCAAACACTCAAACATCTTCTACTGTTCCAAAACAGGTTGAGTGTCTTGCCCATCCTTCCAGGTTCTGTAAACTTCTTATTTCTTCACAAAAACCCATGGGAGTGCAATTGCCAACTGGCAAGATCTATGGAGCCACTGATGGCCAAAATCCAGTATCTCGATGATATTGTTTGTGATAGACCCCCCAACTTTGCAGGACACCAAGTGATGAGCATCAGGCCTGGAGATTGTGTCTCTCTGTCTCCCTCTCCATCCCCAAGCACACACCTCCTGCCATCAGCTATACTGAACCTCAGCTTTTTTTATGGCTTTCTAGGTAAATGCTATTTAAGCATATGTTTGAAAGCTGGACCTTTTGATAAATCAAAACGCTTTGAATTGATTAACTTAGTCAGTTAGTCACCTAAATGCTGCAATCCCATCAATAACAGTAGCAGAATCACCATTCCTGTAACCATCGTTTTCTGACTAAACTATTTTTACAATGTTTGCTAAACAGTGTTGGATAGTTTTTTCTTTAAATGTAGTTGAACCGTACAAAGGACATAATGCAGAAGAATGTAAACAAAGCCAATGCACACCCTGCCTTACAGTTATTTACAGCTTCAGGTTTCAAAATGTAGTTGCATTCCAAATATTGCCTGCACCCAACTTCAAAACAAATAGGCACCTTTTGTGTAATTGGAAGGAGGACAAGTCCCTCACCCCACCCCACCCAACCCCACTGGGACATCTTTCCTTCTGCTTTGATGTTCTTGCATCAGATAGGAACATAAGAAACTGCCTTAATGCCAACTCAGGCTGTTTGTCCATCTAGGGCAGTATTGTCAACTCTGACTGGCAGTGGCTCTCCAGGGTTTCAGACAGGGTGTCTCTCCCAGCCCTACCTGGAGAAGCCAGGGATTGAACCTGGGATCATCTGCCAACAAAGCAGATGCTCTGCTACTGAGCTACAGACCCCTCCCAAGATGTTTTTTTTGCAGAGGAAGAGCTGGGATTTCATACTTTGCACAATGGCCAAGTCCTTGTGCTTTGTTTCTTTCCCGATGAGTGGGAGGGCACCCTGAGAGCAGGATGAAATCTGCTTGCAGGCTGTATGAAGCCACAGGCCAGGGCTTCCCAACCCCTGGTCCAGACAATACTGAGCTTGATGGAAAGATAGCCTGACCTTGTCTAGGGCAACTCCCTTCCCAATGCATGCCACTGTAGGCTGCTTGGAGGAAGCCTGGGATGCAAATAGAATAAAGCAGACAAAATAAATTGCAGATCATGAAGCTGACCATTCATCTCTACCATGCTTTATCTCCATGGGTGCAGGAGGACTCCTCGTTGGTTTAATTCCAGGCCTGGTCATCTGTTGCTGCATTCCCAACTATTGTAACTGCACCCCCTTTGCAAAGCAGACTGAAGACAAACCACCCTCCCAAAAGAAATCGACCAAAATGTCCTTGAGCAAAAAGAGGACCTCAAACGTGGACCCACTGAAACCTTCCAGTTTTCCCATCATGGAGAATGCTGCAAGCCATTCGGAAGGGGTCAACATTGCTAGAGGGTCATTGTGTGGCTGCTTCTGTGGAACCTGTAGAGCACAAGATTTGGGACAGGCCAAATCTTTCCTCAAGAAGCCGGTGGTTGCCTTTTTATCGACGGATCCTGTGGGTAAAACCATTGTCACTCTCCATGAGAAAGGAGACAGCCTGTCTTGCTGCCTGGCACACAGGGGATGTATCAACAGGGTGAATGACGCCTCTAGATCTACCAGAGCCCATGGCAGTCAGGAGCAATCGTTTGCAAAGTGGAGTGCAGGATCCTGCTGCCCGTGCATCCAGCATGCAACTTTACATCAGATGGAGTGGAAGAAACATGGTGAGTGACCAACACGGAACAGAGAAACCATCCAAGACTTGTCCACAGTGATCCATGTGACGGTCACCTCCAGGCTTGACTACTGTAATTTGCTTTACGTGGGGCTGCCCTTGAAGCTGTCCCAGAAACTCCCAACGGGTGCAGAATGCTGCAGCGAGGCTCCTCACGGGGTCTCTGCCATGGGAGCATATTCACCCAGTGCTTTTCCAGCTGCACTGGCTCCCGGTGGAGTACAGGGTCAGATTTAAGGTGCTGCTTTTGACCTTTAAAGCCCTTCACGGCCTAGGACCCTCATACCTACGGGACCGCCTCTCCCGGTATGCCCCACGGAGAGCCTCAAGGTCCATAAATAGCAACACCCTAGTGGTCCCGGGCCCTAAGGAAGTTAGATTAGCCTCAACCAGAGCCAGGGCCTTTTCAACACTGGCTCCAGCCTGGGAGAACGCTCTGCCTCATGAGACCAGGGCCCTGCAGGATCTGATTTCTTTCCACAGGGCCTGTAAGACAGAGTTGTTCCACCTGGCCTTTGACTTGGAGCCAATTTGATTCCCTCCCCCTCTTTCTTTTTTCTTTTTTCTTTTTCCTTTCTCCTCCTGTGAATAAGCCTGCATTTTAATATTTTAATGTTTCAATATTTTAATGGTTGTATTTTAATCTTGTTTTTAAGTTGTACTCATTCAACTTGTTTTTATTATTGCTTGTTAGCTGCTCTGAGCCCGGCCTTGGCTGGGGAGGGCGGGGTATAAATATAAATTATTATTATTATTATTATTATTATTATTATTATTATTAAGCATTTGATTATACTATGGCTATGGATTCCTCCACACTATACATTTTAAAGCACATGGTTTCTCCTAAAGAATCCAGGGAACTGTAGTTTATCCCTCACAGGGCTATATTTCCCAACAACCTACAGTTCCTAGGATTTTTTTTTTTTTTTTGAGGGGGGGAGCCATGTGTTTTAAATGTATGGCGTGGAAATGACTTGTATCTTTACCAGCAGATTTTCCTGGATGAAACAAGCTGAATAAATAAATCAGGTTCATATAGTTCAGGGTTTGGTGTCTGTCAAGACTTTGTGTCTGTCAAGGTTACTTTGAATTGGGGCAGTCAGTCAAGGGTCTGCATGCTGGTGGTGGGTGTGGTCAAAGCCATTGATGGGCAGAGCAAGAGCCAAAAATCTGTGGAACTTCCCTTTGTCCAGCTTTCCCCCTTCTCTTTCTCTCTGCTACTCCCTTCTCTCCCTCTTCTTCACTGTCATGGAGAGAGAAATAGACAGAGAGACAGAGAGGCAGAGAGACAGACAGAGTTAGATAGAAATGCGGCTGAGGGCCTCTGGTTAATGGAGCACTCCAAACAAGTTTCTCAAGTTAATTTTTATTGATGCCTGTGTGCATTCCATGTGTCACCTGTATTTGTGATGTAGGATTTGTTTTCTCTCTCTGGCTTTTCATGTTTTCAGAGTTGAGGGAAGGAGTCCATCACCAGTTGGATGGACAGATATCACACCCAGAGACTCAGCTTGGTGGTGTTCAGGACTCCGAAGCTTTGGTCCATATAGATTTTCCAGATGAAAGTGCCCTCAAGATGGAGAGAGACTGTTCCATGTTTTACAAGACCCCTTCCAAGAGAAAAGAGTTGGCTCAGAATGGATTGAACTCTACTACCCATAGTTGGCTGACAACAAAGAAGAAGAACATGTCAATGTCTGGAGGTCCTAGTCATCACTACCAGGGTGGTAGTGGCACATCTCGTAGATGCAGAAAAGCCTCTGAAGAGAAACTGTATGGAGAACGCTTCAAAGAGGGAAGCCATTCTAAGCACCCAACCAGAAGTGGACAGTCATCTTGGAAGACTGATATTTATTCCAAAGGCTATTCCTCCTTGCCAAGCAAGGGCAGAAGAAAACAGCAGAGGAAGCAACCAGGTGATCTGCACACCCCTCCATACTGTGGCATGACTTCCACTTCTTGCCTTTCCAATGTGCCCAGCCAGTCAGAGGATTACAGCCCCAGGTCTCCAAAGGATGCATGTACTGAAATGCTGTCCATCGCACAATATCCTGAGGAAGGAGGGAGCAACTCCCAATACTTGGATACTACAGCACAGGCCAGAACAAGAGTTCTTGAACATAGAAAAGCTGGGATCCAGCAACAAGGCCCAGACATTTCCTTGTCAAGGAATGTACCCACCACCACAAGAATGTGGAAACATAGAAGCGATAGAGAGGAACCCAACCAGTATTGGATAGCTCAGAGGCGGCACACTCAACAGAGCACCACCCCTAGGACCTCCAGAAGGCTAGATAAAGCTACCCAATGGTCTTCCACTGACAAAGTCCACCTGAAAGGTAACATTGAGCATGCATTATCATTTTTCAAGTGGGGCAGTTTAGTACCAGCATGGAGAAAAGCAGGGAGCACATGTCCACTGACCACAACAGCAGCCCTGGCTCATCCTCCTTTGATAATGTCTGGTTAAAATAAGATGCATGATGTGGCATCATTATGCAATGTCACTACAGCATGTATCCCCCCCCCCCTTTGCCAGACCTATGACTAGAGAAGGAAGAGATAAGGGGTTATGGAGGTGTTTTCAGGGGCCACAACACATTCTCCATATTGAGATGCATCTGAATATTTATTTGATTAATTCTTTGATTATGGCTGGATGGCTGGATAGACAAATTCACGGAGAATAATGCTTTCAGTAGCTACTAGCCACAATGGCTATGCTCTGCCTCAGCAGCTGGAGGCAACAATGAATCTGAAAACCAGTTGCTGGAATCCACAGAGGGGAAGTGTGCTTTTGGAAGAGAGCCAGTGTGGTGTAGTGGTTAAGAGCGGTAGTCTCGTAATCTGGGGAACCGGGTTCGTGTCTCCGCTCCTCCACATGCAGCTGCTGGGTGACCTTGGGCCACTCACACTTCTTTGAAGTCTCTCAGCCCCACTCACTTCACAGGGTGTTTATTGTGGGGGAGGAAGGGAAAGGAGAATGTTAGCCGCTTTGAGACTCCTTAAAGGGAGTGAAAGGCGGGATATCAAATCCAAACTCTTCTTCTTCTTCTCGTGCCCAGGTCCTGCTTCTGGGTTTCCCACAGGATCTGGTTGGCCACTGAGGGAACAAGACGCTGGACCCAGATGGGCCATTGGCCTGATCCAGCAGGCTCTTATGGTGTTCTTACATTCATCTCCATCATCAGCCTTTACTTCCTAAGTACAGAAGGAGAACTGAGATTATGAGCCCCATTCCCACCCCACCATTGGCCTTGTACTTAAGACCAATGGCCATTTGGCTCTTGCTCTCCAAAAAGAAGAGGAGTTTAGGGTTTAATTCCCTAATTAAATGTGATTGGGAGGCGGGAGCAGGAGATTGTGTGCATCTCTTTATCAGTTGGAAAACTGGGAACATCACAAACAAATGAAAGAAGCATACAATCCCTAATTTTATGTTTCATCCTGCAGAACATGAAGCAGCCCTTGGTCTGCACCACAATGCTGAGAGGTCGAAGTTGGAAGACGTCTGGCAACCAATCTCTTTATCAGCCCTTCACCCTTCCTGTGGAATTCCTCATCATGGGCAGAGGGAAGGTGATTTAGAGACTCCTTCTCCTCTGGCCAACACAACAGCACTTGCCACTGTCTTCCCGCCGACTAAGAACACCATGCAATTGATTCTAAAAGGTCAGGATAGGAGCCTGGGGGTTGTGGGGACATTAGAAGCTAAGATGGTGGTTGACCACAGAGTGGACATGTACCCTCCAAGGGGTGTGAGCCTCAGAACCTTGAGTGAAGAAATCCTGGATGCAGAAGTGCCTTTAGAGTCTTTTGCCATTGGCACTGCCAATCCATGTTTTGCAGAAGGTAAAGAGGATGGTGTTGGCTCATCTTCCAAAGCAATGGATCTGAATTCCTGCTATGACACTCCTATTGGCCTCCTCTTCACGACAGATGAGAATCCGTGGCTGCTGGAGCTTCCTACGTCTGATAAGAGCTGCAGCAACATGATTTATTCAAGCTTTCAAGGGGGTGGACATGAAGAGGCCGCAACTGTCACATCAAGCTGCCCTTTGGTTCAGAAAATGTGCCAGATCAATTTCCCCCTTCTGGCTGAAGAGGAAAGCACAAGCTTGCCAGGTGAGCATACGGAGGCTGACTCAGCTGATATGAGGGAAGACTGTGTGGTTGCCTATGAAAGCCCTTCAGGAAATTATGGGGAGCAAGAAGGCTGCTTAAAGACTGAACTTGATCCCAAGTCTAAGAAGTAGCCTAGTGGGTTCCCCCACCCACTCACTTGCTACCAAAGTAAAACTTTGTCGAAGGTGATGAGGCTGCAATCTCTTCCCTCAATGGAAGTTGGTTCCATTTTTCAAAAAGGAATGGATGAATGTGTCATTCTCACTGTGCTCAGTTTCTCATTCCCCCAACACTCAGTATTTTAAGTTCACATTTATGACACTGCAATTTAGAGTGCAAAACATCCCTCAAAAACTTGAACATTTTTTTATTTTATTGCCATCATTTTTTTTGTCCAAATAAAATAATAAATAAAAACCCAACCATCTCTACAGTCTGAAAAAGTTCTTCAAGATCAAAGTTTTCTGTTTGTGGTATAGGGGTATAAATTGATAAACGCTCCTTATATAAATCATCACCCTCCCATATATTTGGAAACAGTACAGACAACTTGCAACTTAGGCACATTTAATTTGTGAACATTCAGCTTTATGCACTTGGCAATTAAAAAAATAAGATAAATTAAGACGGGGGTGGAAAGGGGGCAGGTGTATAGGGGGGAAACGTTGGCAATCCTACCTGCCATTGAACCCAATGTATTTCGACTATATGCAATTTTGGCTTTAGGCACAATCCCTGGAACATAACCCCAGCGTAAGTGGAGAGTCACCTGTATATAATTTCATAAACAGAACAAATTTGCTCATATCATTAAAATGATACCCAAGTAAGCCAAGAATACATTTCCTTGACAGAACATTTTGTAGATAAATATTCTTCCTTTTTATGAATGTCCGCTGGCAGGACAGTTACAAAAATAAAATATTTATTTTACATGTGTCTTCTGATTGAAAGTAATAGAAAAATTAAACATTTGAATTCAGTAGTCCATCAGCCATTGCTAAATACATTGTTTTTCTTTGTATCTCTCAGTAGATGTAAATTTACACTTTAGAAGTAATCTATGGAATTTTTTTAAGGTGAGATGTGTTAAGCAAGTAATGTTTCATATAAAGATTGATAGGGAAAAAATGAAACCACCATAATGCCATCACTCTAATTTTAGATGCTGCTTCATCAAATTTGGGCAAGGAAGAGGGGCAATGAATTTCTCTTCTGTTAAGTCATGTTGGTCCTTTAGAATGAGAAACAAACAAAATCAGGGATGGATAACAGGGAGGGATGGGCAAACTGGTTTCTCTCAATTTCCCATTTTTCAGTCTTCTCAACATTTTTGCATCAATTTGTGCATTATTATTTTAAGTCCTCATGAAAATTCATCAACTTTATGCTGTGAATTTCTCCAAATAGATTGCACTTAATTCCCTCTAACATAATGCATTTTCCTGTTTTTTTATTAACACAGGTATTTTTAATGCACATTTTATCCTATCAGCAAGGCATTATGTATGTCTTGCTTGGCTGTAGGAAGTCCATTGCAAAATCCAGAGGTGTGCAAATGTTGAAGGACTGCTCCAGTTTGATTCATATATTGTTTCAGGAGTACTAATTAGGTAGGCTCCCCTTTAAATGTGTACTGAACTAAATTTCTCCCCCCCCCCCCAACCCCAGTAGCCGCTGGATCTGGTCCCCCAAAGGAACTTTCTCTGGCCCTGCATGGGTCCTATCAGATTTTAGTCATGGTGTGACAGAGTACTGTCTCTCTAGTTTCACTCATGAGGAAAAGAAAATGCTACCAAGTTAGAACCAAATGGAATATTCCACTGTTGCAACATTACATCTCTCCTTTGGTTTTTTGCAGACTCTGATGATGTTGAGGCACGTACACTGAAAAATAGGGGATGAAAAATCTGTAGTGCCCCAGATGTTGTTGCATGCCATCAGCCTCAGCCACCATGGCCAGTATTCAGATAAAGTCCATTCGGTTCCTAAATTGGCATATTGGCAATAACCACAATATGAGTTTTCTAATAAGGAGGGCTTTAGGGATGCAAGTGGCGCTGTGGTCTAAACCACAGAGCCTAGGACTTGCTGATCAGAAGGTTGCCGGTTCGAATCCCCGCGACGGGGTGAGCTCCCATTGCTCGGTCCCTGCTCCTGCCAACCTAGCAGTTCAAAAGCACGTCAAAGTGCAAGTAGATAAATAGGTACCGCTCCAGCGGGAAGTGTTAATTCTTAAAGGTACATCATTAATTTCATTAAACATGAAAATATGGTCTCTCTCATTAACATTTACAGAATTTGTAGCCACCTGTGTTAGAATATATACTGCCTCTCTGTATAAAAAGGAACTTTGGCCAGTGATTGGATTAACTGAATTTATGTTGTTCCATGCTTCCGTCGTACAAAAATATGGTATATAAACTTGTTGTTTAATTTGTATGTTGTGTTACTTAGTTTGTATAAGGATTATGTTATATCATGTTTGTTTAATTTAGAGTATGCATGGCTGACGAAGCCCGATTGGGCAAAACAAGGTATTATCCCGGAATCCTTGTCACCATATTGTGGTTATTGCCAATATACCAGTTTAGGAACTGAATGGACTTTATCTCCTGACCATCCATTGGACTTTGATTTCTCTTGATATGTTCTGTTTGCATGATGTGTTGGTCTATGGAATTACACCTTGTGAGATATTATATGTTGAATTGTGTTTGAAATAGAAGTTACGTAGTCAAAAACAGCCTGTTCCATTGTATGTGTTGTTACCAGGATTGTATTTACGTAACCTAAGGTTTAGTAGTGTTTTGCATGAAGCCAAACCAGAGCAAAGTCACTGTTTCCTGACCCCTCACTGGCGACTTGTGGGTAATTATTTTCTTTAAAACAACCACCACCACTCAGGCCATGAAGAGGTAGAGGCAGTGGAAAAGATGAACAGCAGATATTCATTCTTAGAATCTTACACACACACACACACACACACACACACACACCACACCAAGCACACTTTTGAGTCTAGCAAGTTTACTAGCAAACTTCCATCTCCTCTCAGACAAATGCCTCTAAATTACATCACGAATGGTCACCAGTTCATCAGTTGCAAGCAGATAAAGAAAATGTGGACCTAGAGACACTGTCAGACTCCAACTCCCAGCATCATGGGCTGCTACCCATGCTGCCTGGAGCTGATGGAAGCCAAAAAGCATCTGAAGGCCCACAGGCTCCCCATCCCTGGTTTATAGGATGGGAATAGACACATGTTTTGTAATGGAGAGGTGTGTTCCTAACTCAAGGAAGATAACTCAATAAGAGACTTAGTCAAGGCCCCCTGCAGCTTGACAGTGCTCATCCAACAGTGAAGTTGTTGTCCCTTCTGTAAACAATTCTACCCAAATGGACATCTTGAGTCTCCAGCAAATGGTTACAAGCCAATACTCATGACAGTTATGACCACTCTAATCTGATTCCTTGTGTTTACCAGATTTCCTCTTATAGGACATGGCAACACATGTCTAGAGGATAAAGATATCTAGCAAATCATAAGTAACCACCACCGGAATGCTTCGTTGTTTTCAGTTTTGAAGCTCTTCTGCTTTGTACAGAATGTGGCCTTTCTTCCGGACTGGATGGGTGGCTGAAACACCTGGTGCAACAATCACCTGTGGAAACCCTCCAGTCTATGACAATGAAGATTGATTTGATACATTTTAAAAAACCCATCCCACCTTCCCTCTCCCAAAAAAGCATTTTAAAAAGAAATGATTAAAACTGAGACTTGTACGAATCATCCATGTCTTCGATTGGACCATGTTTCCTTTAATTCTGAAACTCTCAGGACCTTCCATTGGAAACTTTTCTGGGGGAGACACAAAGCCAGGTTGGGGAGCGGGGGGAGGGAATGTGACTTTTTCTCAGTGCCCTGTGGGTCACTCGGTAAGCTGCTCAGGATCCCCAACCAAGCGGTTGTCTTTGTCTTTTTGATGAGAAGCTCATCATCAATCCCTGCAGAAAACTGTCCATCCCCTTCAGCAAAGTTCATCCATTAAGTTCTGTTATAGTTCCATGCATGGACAAGAGGGGGAGGCAATAGTGTCCGTGCAAAAGGAGGGAGGTTCTCACAGCTGCGTCTCATCTCTCGTTTCGGGGCTACAGGGGTCCAGCTTGTTACTGCAGCTGCTCTTTCGACTGTGGGTCTCATTTTCGACATGAGCTAAGGGATCGGGTCGTATTAAGTACCTAGGCAGAAATGATTATGCATTGCTGTTATGTTATTCTATTTCTTGTGCCCCCACCCTTCCTATCATGAGAACCTAGGGCAGGTAACAATAACAAGACACCATGAAAGCAAAAGCAAAACCACAACTACATTGGGTTGTATTTAACACAGTGCTATGTAGCGTTTTGCATGAGCATAACAACTCTCCTCTCCCCTTTGCACCCCCTAAATTTGGGGATAGGGTGTATGTGAGGAAAGGAGGGGAGGAGAGTCCTGTTGTGCAAGTGGAGTTATTTTTCTAGCTGAATACCTCCCAAAATATTGTAAATGAATCAGTAAGATGGATAGCAATAAATTATCCAGCTAAAGGCCTGGAAGAACAAATAAGCCTTACCATGTTGCCAGAATAATCTCAAAAGGGTTGGAGTTTCAGAACTGGGGTGCCACCACTGAGAAGGCCCTGCTTCTTCCAGTGGTCCTACCCAGCCGTTTTACCCACAAAGAACTCCTGGAGCCAGATATGAAAGCTGTTCTATCTATTCAACTTACACCATCAATGGCTTCAGTCAACCACATCAAAGGTACTTACACAATGTCGTTGAGTTCCAGGCGTGTGTCTGGAGGAGGGTTGATGAGAACATACGACAATGTGTTCTGATGGTCATTCATTTCGTCTGCAAGAAATAGGAGGAGGACTGGTAAAACATCAAATCCTTTAGTAAAGAATGGCAAACCTTTGAGCCCTTTGGAGTGTTTGAATCACAACTGAAAGGGAGGGAAAATTCTGACCTACCCACCCGCCATAGTATTTTGAGGCATGCAGGTTTCCAGCATGCAATAATAGCCATTATTATCATCCCAGGAACAGTTCTGGGGCTGACTTTAGCTCAGGCGTGGTGAACCTCAGGACCAGGGCACAAATGTAGTGCTCCAAACCACTTGACCTGACCCTCATAATTCTTCCCAGACCACACACCCCTCTCCTCATGCAGCACCTCTCACTGGCCCTGCCTTGCATCCCCCTGGGGTGTTTTTTCCTGGCTGGGATGTGTCCTTTGATAATACCTCTTGCTTGCTTAGAAAGAGGACAGTGAGTGTAGAAATTATCCGGCTGTACGGAAGGCAAAATTTGCATTCACTGCTTCACTCACTTTTGT